TCGTCGTCGTCGTCGTCGTGATGGTGGTGGTGGCTTTGTTTGTTTCCTTCTTTCTTTCTTCAGAGCCCCATCATCACAAGAACTAAACTAAACTGAACTGAACTGAACTGAACTGAACTGTACGGTACCGTACTGTACTGTACAGTACATGTACTAGCCAACAACGCAACGCAACGCACGCACAGGCCTGCCTAAGTCTACCTACCACCGTACTAGGTCCTAGGTAGACTACTAGGAGGGGTATTAATAATGATGCCAAGGGGCCGCTGGTAGACAGTCTCCTACTATGTAGTATGCAGGAATCGTAGCAATTTCCAGCAAAGTCAACTTGTAAACTTGAGTGAAGGTGGTGAAGTGTTCTTTTCCAAGTTTGCTGTTATTTGTCTGTTTGCAGGCGGAGGTGACGATCAAATTGATTGATTGATTGATTGATGGCAAGTGTAACTGTACCTAGCTAGGTAGGTAACTTGGTGCTCCCTTACCTCTCGCTCTAGTGCTCTAGTACTAGATGACTATTCAGATCGGGCTCCTTACTTACTGCCTACCTAAGCTAAGGTATGCAGTATCTCAGCACAGGTGGGCAGCTTATTAGTGGGCGATTGTTTATGTTTGTGGCCGCTAGGTCGCTACCTACCCATAGGCTATAGGTAGGTAGAGATCCTGGGAGCCGGGAGCTGGGAGCTGGGAGCTGGCGCTTCTAGTTGACTTACACTGACACTGACAGTGACAGTGACTGTGACTGTGACTGAGTGACTCTCCCCCCTTGTCTGGGCTACCTAGGTACCTACCTTAGGTAGGGCAGATGACGTCGGGGGTTCATCTGGCCTGTCTCTGGCTTGTCTCGAGTGATGCCCAATGGTGATTTGTGGAATCACACTTCACCTGTCACACATCACACACAGCACACAGCAACTCATCACCCATCACTCATCACACTATCGATCTACTGTACCTTGAAATACACCTTTAGTGCCTCCTGAGGATACCTTGCCTATCTTATCACGTTATCATGATCCTAGACTTGAATTCCCTTCTTAACATTGGAAGGCTCAGGTAGCGGGCATCACCTCTACCCAGGTACCTAGCTACCTAGCTACCTAGCTAGGTAGGTGGTTTAAGCGCCCGCCGATGAGTATCCAGATGCAGGATGCATGCACAATGGCCTTACTATGTAGACCTCCCTCATCTTAGCTACCATGGGTCAGATATTCAATTAGGTACCTGTCCTAACTAGAGTGCAAGCTATATAAGCTATATGTACAGAAAATCTAGTCTTCGACGGACCTAAAGAGAATTGATTTAGGTAGATAATGTTGTATCGTATAGGTGTGAGGTAAGCAGGTATGGAGTTGGGTTACTCATCTCTCCTGTTGAACAGCCCCTCCTCCAGATTTGCTACAGATTGACCTGTATGTAAGTCAGTGAGTGAGATCATATACATACAATCCCTCGATATCTATAGAAGACGAGTAGTCGGTGAGATAAGAGGGCTATAAACAATCAAGGGTGATGCAGCTATGTAAGATCCCCATCTACTTAGTTAGGTAGTACGGCCAGGTATCCATACGAAAGAGCAACAAAAGTCATCATTTATATTTTAACTAGGTAGCTAGGTATGTGCTCATGAGTGGGCGGTCGCTTGCAGATCGCGGGGAGCTAAATGTTAAGGCAAGGTTCCTAGGAGCCACGCTGGGAGCATAGGTATATGGCCTGATCTTTCTTCTCCACATCTACCTATTTGCAACCACCGTCTAACTAACTGACTCAAATTATTCCAGGACCCTCGTCTATATACAATCATCAAATCCCGCATAACACTCGTCCCAGAGCAAAATAGCGAGAGCTAGAGAGAGCAAGAGCGACTCGGCAATTGGCTCTTGAAGCTCAAGTGTGGGGGATGGAGTGGTCTCACTGACGAGCTTTTCCTTCTCAATCACCTACGACCACATCTAGTCCCAACCTCAACCCGACACTACTGCCTCCACAACCCCATCGCCTTGAGCTCTGAGCTTGCTCTCGATCCGTCGCCATGTTGCGCCCATCAGCTGCACGCCCGCTGGCTCGGCGCATCCCCGCTACCGTCGCCCGGAGCCAGCGGAGGACCTTCATCGTACGGGCTCGTAAAGACGCCGACCGCCGCGGGGCCCTCGATACATTGAACGTCGAGCGACTCTCGCAGGAGTCTCACGACTACCATCGCACACGTCGAAACTTCCTCGCCGCCGGTGCCGTCGCCGGGATTGTGTCCTTTGTCTACACTGCGTGGAAGTTGAAGCAGGCCATCTCGAACAATGCTACGAAGCTCGACTCGCCGTTGTCGCCGACGGACCCCCTGCATGATGGCAACAGGAAGGTTGTTGTCCATGACGAAGAAGGGAACGAGATCGTCCGCACCGGCAACAGTACCGTTCCCGAGCTCCCACGGACTATCACTCTGCCGGACCGATCGGAACCGCCCGCCGTCCAAGACTCGATGCCGAGCGTGACATCGCCGACCCTGGTTGTGCCGCCGCACTCGGGCGACTCCGAGACCGAATACACCCTTGTCGGGTTTGGCGTTCGCACCGTGTCTTTCCTGTCGATACAAGTGTACGTGGTGGGCTACTACATTGCGACGTCCGACATTGCAGAGCTGCAAGCCCGCCTGGTCAAGAAGATCAACCCCATCGCATCCACGCTGGTCTCGACCGAGAAGGACCAACTGCGCGAGAAACTGATAGACGCTGCCGAGAGCGAGGAGATCTGGAACGAGCTGCTGGCATCCGGTGTCCCGGCGCGCAGTGTCTTTAGGGTTGTGCCTGTTCGGGATACGGACTTCCACCACCTGCGTGACGGCTTCGTGCGTGCTATACAGGCAAATGCCGACAAGGTCCAGGATGACCAGTTTGGCGAGGCTATGCGCCAGTTCAGACACATCTTCAACCGAGGCAAGGTACCCAAGCGGAAGCAGCTCCTCCTCGCTCGGGACAGGGACGGCAGCCTGGCAGTGCTATATGACGAGGGTGGCAAGAAGGGAAGCAAGCACCTCATAGGCTCGGTCAGTGACGAGAGAGTGTCGAGGGCCCTGTGGCTGAACTACCTTGCCGGCAAAAAGGTTGCCAGTGAGCCAGCTAGGAAGAGCATCGTTGAGGGGATCATGGAGTTCGTGGAGAGGCCGGTGGGTACTGTTGCTGCCCAGGTTGTCTAGCTGGGAGTGCTAGAGACAGGGCAGTCTTCGGGCAATGTACTTCAAAAAACACTGTACAAAATGGATCACAACTCTATTCGGGCATGCGGCACCAAGCCTGGACTTGATAGAGTCCAGAACAAGGCACACTGGGCCACCGCCTTGTATATATACAACTATGTAGACCACCAATGATTCTCTATTACCGTTCCCGGTATGCTTGACGACTCCTTAATAGACACAATCTTACACAATGGCATTGGCCGTTGAACTTTCGGTAGCCAGCATAAAATGACCAGAAGGCGACCAGCAAAGCGCAAGACCGGTGTCGTCTGATCTGCCAGCTTCTCAGCACCCTATTTCACTTCATCATAGACTCGCTTTCCTCGGCGGCTGGGCCGGCCTGAACATTGTGAGACCCTCTTCATCTAGGTCGCCGGACGAAGCATGTGCCCTTACGATGTCGCGCCAACCTCCTTCAACAAATTCTCCAGGGTTTTGCGATTGATGGCCTCTAGGTCGGAGTTGCCGCCAATGTGCTTCTTGTTAATGAAGATGTTGGGGACGGTGCGCTGGCCGGTCAGCTGGTGGAGGGCGTTCTGAATAATGTCGCCATCATCTGCAGAAAATTGCATTGGTTAGCAATGAGGCCCTTTTAGGATGTGTGCGCATTCCGTTTGGGAAGGATGGAGAGGAGAATACAACGAAAGACGGACGGACGAGCAACTTACCCTCTTCATTGAGCTCGTAGTGCTCGTACTTTGCGCCGTAGCTGTCGAGAATGCGCTTCGAGTTGCGACAGTAAGGGCAGTAGCTTTTGCTGAAGACCATGACGGCGTTGTCGTCGATCATGGCCTGGGCCTTTTGCTTTGCGGCTTCCATTGTGACTGGTGTTCTCGCTGTGCCGGAGAAGAATCTGAGGAGAAAGGACATGGATATGTGTGTGTGGTTTTGTCGGGAGGAGGGATGCGCTTTTTGGGCTTGAGGAAGTGACGCCGGTATATGTAGGGAGGAGGGGCAATGAGAGGGGCTACCTGCCTTAGTTGATTAGAGATGGTGACGTTTAGTCAGGCAAAGAATCAACAGTGGCACTGACTAGAGTAGAATACTGCGGAATGTTGAGCCTCGAGTCGAGTCGAGCCGGATCGGGAGCAGGGGGGCGATGATGCGATACCGACTACCTTTGCTTTGGTCTAGTGACGGCCGCGGCACTCAGGTCGGCTTTGTAGGTATTTGTCAGTCATTCCGCCGAACCTGGAATAGGTGGGTGTAGTGTGCGGGCGGACGGGACGCAGCGCGTATTAGATACTTACCTTAAAATTCCCCGTGTCAATTATATACCTACCTACCTAGGACCGATGACTCTGCTCATGATCCAGGAGTAGTGTATCCTGTCATCAACTTTCGATCCCAATGGCCTGACTGATGATACTTCGGCGCCATCTCTCCTGCCCTTCACTTCCATCAAGGAACATGCGACTGTGTTGAGGCATCTTCCAGGGAGCCTGGTCTAGAGTAGTCGCCGACTTGACGTTGAAGATGAGGATATTGATGAGCACGAGGTCGGAAGACCATCACTCACATTCCCGGTCAAGTGAATCCACCTGCTCGTATATTGGTCCTCGAGCCATGTTTGACGCAGCATCTACCCGGCTGTGCTGTCGATGTCGTACTGAACGGATGCTATACGTTCAATTGCCAAGATGGAGAGCGCTTGAACCGGCTGCGGTCTCCGAGAGCCATTTGTTGATGCATCCGATTTCAAATCTTTCAGCGATTGCTACCGTAAGACGACGACAAGGAAGAAACTGGAATATGTTCAATGCCTTGCAGGGTGCAGAGCTGCCCTTTAATAAGGTGCTGACAGACAAAACTGGACGCAAGGATCAGTATAGTCACTTCGAGGCGTCCAATGAGCTCTTCCCACTCTCGGACTCGCCCTCTGACACGTTCAATGACTATGCCAGCACAGTCCGATGCTCACGTCTGGTCTCTTGTCTCTGATTTCTCTTCTGTAGGCCTACCTATTCTTCATTCTTCAATGTGTTGATCGATCATCTCGCACTATCGCTGGGCACAAAGTAAGACTTCAATCAATGTGAGTTGCACTCAATGTTTAATACGTAAGATCGAGCACACTGAAGACTGCAACTTTGGTATTGGTTTAATGGACTCCTGTGCTCTGTCAAACAGTAGATTTATTCAATTGTAAAACTCATATTTAGGTACATGATAGCAGTGGACCTGACTTCACGTACTCGATAGAGTCAAGTTCATGACACCGGCCGTCACATTGGCTTACATGAGGTTGTTCACAATATTAGCAAGACTCTTGATATTAGCGGCTGTAAATTGGAGTAGCTCATCATAAAGTCATGCTTCAATGACTGGACATGCTACTGTTTAATAGTAAATTTGATGAAGTGTGGAAGGAGACCTTTATCTCGCTTATGGCTTCAAAATATATGGAAATCTGGGGCAACGGTGTAACTCCTTGTTAAGTTGAGCAAGGTCTGAATACTTGGAAGGATACTTGTGTTCCTCGTGGCAAAGATCTATCTGACGCATGAGCAAATGCTCCTTTGAAGTAGCTTCTTTGAGAACAGCTTTCACAAGTCTAATTTGAACAATAAGTTGAGGTGAGATGACAACACATCTAAACGAACTGAGTCGATGTATTGCTTACTGGTCAGGGGGTGGAAAACTTCAGTATCTTAAGAGTCTTTAGGGGACTGTTTGTTACACTCAATTATACAGCAACACCCTGTAGCACACAGTGAAATATCCGAATGGCCATCTCAGACGGTCAAGTTTCTTAAGGCACTCAGGCAGTTCCTCTAAGTAACATCCATAAAGCATACCACTACTTGGATGTCGTCGGTATCTTGTTAGCTGTTTATTTATTAGTCCTTGGCTGCACGGGGTATTTTCAGCTTAAAGACTCCGTCTGGCTGTTTTTCAGAATATAGAAAAGGGGGCTAGCATAGTGTAAGCCAGTCCGTATTGCAAAGAGAAAATAGGTGCTATCTTTTGGCATCATTTATGATATTATGGTGCCCAATAGACTCTTTGCTCTTTGAACTGTTGCAGATGAACGAATGGGCGGCAAAGGGAGAAGAAGAGACGGTTTGGTCATCGGGCCCCACGCAATAACAAATTCTGGTGACTTTTTCGCCTTGGCAGCCTCACTAAGCCACCTATCACCCACCCGCCTAGCGACTGCTGCACGCCCAAACCAGAAACCAGGCCAGACCAAACGAGACGAAACCTGACATGACAGCCTGACTAGGTAGAGACCGTCACTTACCTACCTACCCACGCACGCCACCACCACCACGAATACCCGTACCATCACCATCGCCAACTTTTGAGGGCCAGATAACTTACGGCTCACTCTCGGAATTCCATTGAAGATCTGAGTTAAGCAGCGACCGGCGTCCTTTTACCCGTTGCCCTCATCACCCCTGTCCTCCGTTTCCCGTCCGCCGTCGGGTCAGCGCAGCTTCGGGGCGTTTTCTGCCAAACCGGATCGCTCGATCTTCGCGCCCAGAGGGTGCCACATCAGCAGACCCAGAGCAAGCCTTGTGTTGCGGCATCCCCGCCATTACACCCAGCGACGACCAGAGCGGTTACACGCTGCCGCACCCTTTCTCTACTGCGTTATATACCCTCACTGCTCGCAACGTGACCGATCACTTGGCCTTTGCAAGACACCCTGCGTCTGCTCGAGAGAAGTCAACCGCCATACTTGCCCGGCGTCCTTTTCAGGACCACCCTCCGCCAAGGTGGCTTCCGGTCCAGCAGTCCTGGCATCTTCCGGTGCCTACGTCGCCGGCAACATCGCCAACTTCACCTCTAACCTGCTTGACAAGATCCCACCATCTGTACAGACATACATCGACACCGCGTCCGGATACATCGAGAGCGCAACCGGCATCAACCCCAACATCCTCTACGGCACGGCTGCTGCCACCGTCCTTCTTCTCGGCGCCATCCCCACAGCTTTTGCAAGGAGCAGCAGCAGCAGCAGCAATAACAACAATAATAAGGCTGGTCAGAAAGGTAGCAAGACCATGTCACGATACGGTTGGTCCACTGGGCGGGAACGGGGCGCTCTCTCTCCGTTTAGCTCGACTCTCGGCGACGGTTCAGGCGGAGTTCCTGCGGTCACGGACGATGACTTCAGCTACATTACCTCCGAGGACCTGGAGAATCATGGCATGGAACCACCAAGCTCGCGTTGCTATTCAGACCGTGACCGCCGCGAACCTCGCACCGGAGGCAGCCAATTTTCCAGAACTGGCGGCGCGCCAGCATTGGTCATTGACGATGATGACATCCTCCTCATCAAGAACAAGGGGGCTACCTACCCAGAGCATTTCCCCGCCTATTCAATTGGAGACGGACAGCTGCTCGTCGGCGACATCCGTGAACGTGTCCAGCTAATTATGAAGTTGTCGGACAAGCGGGCCAAAAGAGTCAAGCTGCTCTATAAAGGCCGACAACTGAAGGATGAAAACGAGCCAGTCTGCAAGTACGGCGTCAAGAACAACAGCGAGATCATGGTTGTTCTGCCGGACCCCAGTGTTGATGACGAGAGCAGTGACGAGTCTAGTGAGGAGATTGTCGTGGTAGGGAAGGGCGATGACGAGAGCAGCCGATCCTCCCGGAAGACGAAGACAAAGAAACGACGAGACAGGAAGAAGGAAAAGGGGCGTGGCAGCACAAGCCCGCGTGACAGCAACAACGGCGCCAGCCTGGACATTCCTGTTGACGACAAGCGAAGAGAGACTACGAGTGGAAGGCAATCGCCTGCTTCCGCTGTGTCGGGCTCCAGTGCCGCTGCCGTACCGGGTGGTCCGATCGACAAGCTGAATACCATCTCAACTCACTTCAAGACTACGTTGCTGCCATTGTGTGTCCAATTTACCGCTAGCCCGCCATCTGACCTCAAGAAGCGTGAGGATGAGCACCGGAAGCTCGCAGAGACGATCATGCAGCAGGTCCTCCTCAAGCTAGACGAGGTGGACACAGGTGGCGAGGAAGAAGCAAGATTTCGACGGAAGGAGTTGGTTAGACAGGTGCAGGAGGTTCTCAAGGGCCTTGACAGTAAACTTCACGGTTGAACGGTTACTGCTTTTGGGCGATAGTGTTGTCATGGCACGCCCTTTCAGCATCGTCATCAATTAGTAGCCATTGACATGACGGCGCTGTTATCATATATCCCATATCCTGAGAACTCGGCCCCCTCACGCAGCAAGAATGCTATCCTGCCTGAGGTTGTGGCTCATGTGTTCTTTAACTCAGCAATCATCACAGAAAGGAGCGTCCACCAAATGGAGGAGAGAAGGTTATGACGACAGATGAATGGGTCATGGTCTCGACGAAGGACGGCATACTATAAGCAGGCCATCGATCTCGGAGGCGGTAGCATGTTATTTTGTAGAGATTTGGCATTGTAGGCGCTCGGTTCAGCAGCGTAGAGAAAGCTCAGGCATGTAGAGACAAGACAAGACAGACGGGCATCATTTGGTTGCAAGATTGTGGTTTTCCCAAGCAGGAGTGGACGTTCATGGAGCTAGAAAAGGTCTGGTTCATGGTATGCCTCTCATATTCACAGTGACGGTCATGATGTGTATACGCTACATCTAACATTGTGTTCTCCTAGACTCATTACCTGTGTACTCAGTCAGTTGTGGAAATGTTGGAAGATGAGGTAATCACCCTGGTTTGTGGGACCCTGTACATTGTGGATCCTTTTCATCGAATCGATCCACATGTCGATCGGGCGGCAGGCATCTCTCCCACGATAAGATAAGGAAGCTGCGATCTTAGAAATCCAATCATGTGATCGAAAAATGGGCATCACATGACCAGGTCACAACAGCCCTAAAATCCTGAGGCAGGAGCCCTCTGGGTTGTCGCTTCCAGCAGTTGGCCATTGCCCAAAGCAGCCCTAGCCGGCCCGCAGCACACCGACCTCTCTCTCTTTTGTGGATTTGACAATTTTCACAGGAGCGACTCAACCCATCACCACCACCACCAGCAAGTTCCGGGAGGACCAACAAAGCAGCTCAGATTCGCAAACTTCGCTGACTACCCAGCCGAAGTTTGTTCCTGAGCGTCGCCGTCTCATTTCTACTTTGTTTTTCCCTCGTTCTTTCCCACATTTCCCCCGTGGTGACGACAGACAAGATGTCATCTTTCGAGTCGGTTGTGAGTTGCCTCAATTCCTCTTCCGTCTCCTACCATGGCATGGGCGACTTGTAGGATCGCAGCGCGCTTGACAGTTACTTTGGGGCTTATGGAAAAGCCACCGATCCATCCGTGGCCCATCTTCCAAACCCCAGCGCCCGCAAATGCCATGGACGTGGAGGGGAACATATCTTGAGACAAATAGTTGCTGACTTGGACGTTTTCTCTCTCTAGGTTGTCATTGATGGCAAGGGCCATCTTCTCGGTCGTCTTGCGAGCATTGTTGCCAAGCAGCTGCTCAGCGGCCAGAAGATCGTCGTGGTCCGTTGCGAGGCCCTCAACATCTCCGGCGAATTCTTCCGCGCGAAGCGTACGTCTCACTCCCGCACCCAGCACAGTCCCGCCTATTTGGCCATTTTCGAGTCGGGCAAAAGAGGAGGATGACCTAGGGAGGAGAGGAGAACTTGGACTGGATTGACAAGGCGCATTTCTATGAGCGATCGAGAGGCTGATCTTCCACCCTATAGTCAAGTACCACGCCTACCTGCGCAAGATGACCCGATACAACCCGACACGAGGAGGTGAGTCAACTGTCTTAGCTGCGATTGCGCGCAGCGATGTCTGACATCGTTCCAGGTCCCTTCCACTTCCGAGCCCCGTCGCGCATCTTCTACAAGGCCGTCCGAGGCATGATTCCCCACAAGACTGCTCGTGGTGCTGCCGCCCTTGAGCGTCTCAAGGTCTTCGAGGGTGTTCCTCCGCCGTACGACAAGCAGAAGAAGATGGTCGTCCCTCAGGCCCTGCGTGTTCTCAGACTGCAGCCTGGCCGCAAGTACTGCACGGTCGGACGACTGAGCCACGAGGTTGGCTGGAAGTACCAGGATGTGGTTGAGAGGTGCGTTTGTTGTTCCACGGAGATGGGAACGAGAATTGCATTCCTACCAAGGATACAAATCTCGAGTTCTCTCCGAAGCCGAGAGGGCTATGGTTACTGACTGCTCTATAGACTGGAGGAGAGAAGAAAAGCCAAGGGTGCTGCATACTACGAGCGCAAGAAGCTTGCTCAGAGACAGCTGTCGGAGGCGAAGAAGAACACGAAGGTCGACAAGAAGACGGCGAGCGCCCTCGAGTCTTACGGCTACTAAGTGTGGCCATTAGGCAGACCTTTTCTGTCCTTCCTTATGCGTTTTTCACTAGATTGGCGTGGTGGTTCAAGGGCACTAAATCACATCTTCATTTGCGACGGACAGGCAGGGATGGGGACCGGCTTTTGTCTCATCAATTGTTCCGTGAGGGACATCTAAACTAAAATACTCATTTCAATCGAGATGAGCTTGCAATGCAATGGGCAGAACGATATGATAAAAAAAATCCTGTCAAAAACCGAACCAAGGCTGCTCTACCGTAGGATCGTGTTGGCTCTCATTGCTTATTGGTCTTATGTGATTATCTCGTGTTGCTGATTCGTCATTTCTCGACAGAGCTCATGTGGACTGGATACTCTAGCATGTCTGGCTTCAGGAGTTTTCCATGGCCTACCGGATGTCACTGACTGTCAAGAGCGTACCCCTTTTCGTGCTGCTGCCCACCCTATGCTAAAAGCGATATGGTCAACTTGTGCCTAGTGCTGATGTCCTACAAATAGCAGACAAAAGGGAGTCTCTTCTCTGATTGTCCGCAAAGGTAACACCACTTCATATCTCATAGTAGGTTATGATCATTAGGAAGTGCCACGCCTTTCGAAGTTTGGATGCCTATGAGATCTATGGTTCTGGATATTGGAGCGATTTTATTCAATAGTGGTCTTGTGGGCGCGAAGCTGTCCGCTGGGTCTAACATAGGGCTCCACTCATGTAATGGCTGGGATGTGGCAACAGTTATCATATCCCAACATAGCAATGACTCGAACTTCTCACGATAGAGAGCTATTTAGTTTGGCATGCTCCTACGGGCAGGGTATCACTACTAGGCGGCTCCAGTCATTCGCGCAGAGTGAACTTCCTAGATCCGAATAAAGTCTCTTACACTTTGCCTTAACCGGCCGGAAGTCCTTGACGTTTACAGTCAAAATTCAAAAGCATCGAGCACGAGGGAGATCCTTGACAGCGTTCTACGGTGAGTGGACCAATGAACTACAATGCTGTATGCTATCAAGTTGAAACTACGCAATGTCTGGTTTCACCGTGTGAAGAATGAAGATAATCTGAGCGAAGGGAGAACTTCATTATAATTTGTATGTATGTATCATAGAAGTACCGAGCAATATTTCATGTTACATTCATCATGGACAGCAAGCTGTCCTGGCATGATTGCTCTCCAGCCGAGGCCGGAGGACAAGTGTTGGGCTTTGAGAGTTTCGCGGAGTTAGGAGTCGTTGACTAACAAGAGTCAGCCGGGCATGCAATCTGTGTGCCGTACACGTCGCCGCTGACACCGCCAAGCTGCAACGCGGCGCCGACGACACCACCAAGACCCTCGCCGGCGATAAGTCCCGCTGCAATAGCGAAGCAGTACCGGTCGAAGTTGGCTGGCCAGCGCTTGACCCAGAAGTGGGCAATGAGGGCGCCGGTGAGGGTGGCAGTGGAGTAAACTGTCTGGGGGATAACAAAGGCAACGCCAATGGCCATCCAGTTGGGGAGCCAGATGCGGTACTTCTCGCGGTCCCCAAAGAGTACCATGCGCTTCAGAATGACCTGGCCGATGGCCACGACACCAAGAACAATGGCGAAGATGCCAGAGCTCAGCGGGATGGGGACGTTCGGGTTGGTAACAGCCTCAGCAACCGCGCGCCATGCGCTGACTGAAGGTGCAGAGAATGCACAGTGATCATAGTCATCTGGGTTGATGACGCAGGGGTAGGCAGCCATGAAGAGCACGAAGATACCTGTAAATCGATGTGTCAGTGAGTTGTCCTCCCATACTACTCGCAGCATGCGAAGCATTCGATACGTACCTGGAGCCAAGAACATAGCAACGAGAGTGCCCACTGCCTGCGCAAAGAATTGCAGCTTAGGGGGGGTCCTAAGCAGGAAGCCGACACGGAAATCGCTGACGAGTGAGCAAGACATGTCGGCACCACCAGAGGCAATACCGCCCGCAATCAGATTGACGGTCTGCGCATCCGTGACACTGAGGCCCTGGCCAGTTGTGATACCACCGAAGACAAGCTGAGATGCCTTGGCTGAAGCAGTCAAGGGGGTGATGTCGGTGACACCAGCTCCGTGGATGCTAAGGAAGGCAAAGATGACGGCGAAGATAGAGGCGAGGATCGCGAGACCGGCGTTCATGTCGAACTGCAACTCGCCAATGATGCAAGTAGCGACGACAACAATGACAACACCAATGGTCCAGAGCAGAGTGGGAACCTGCTGATCTGGGGTCGCAAAGTCCTCTACAAGATTGTCCTCGTCGAGCTTGCCGCGGCCCTGCTTCTCAAGGAATGCGACGCCGTTACCCTGGCGGCGCTTGGCGATGAACTCGTTGATACCGGCAGCTGAGCTGTGCCAGGCATACTTCAGGCCGTAATACAAAACCTTCCAGTGCACGAAGAATTCCGCCATGGAGTAGCAGATAAGGACCATGACACCTGGCCATAGGAACCAATAACGTGGAGAAGGCACCCAGCCCTCCTTGCCAATGTTGGACAGGGAGTAGAAGCTAACATAGCCATCCCATTTTGGATCATCAGGGAGGAGCTTCTTGCCAATGCAAATGTTGTAGTGGACCAGAATAGGACCAAGGAAACCCCATGCGAAGAAACTGCCCAGGAACATGGAGACACCAGTATTGATACCGACGAGCATACCACTACCAATGAAAGCAGGTGTCCACTCGATCATCCAGCCCCAGTTCTCGATATTTAGGGCCCAATTGTTGTAGTTGCCCCAGATGAAGAACCAGGTGAAGATGTGCCAGTCATACAGGATACCAATGGCATAGTATGACGCGACACGCTGGATGAGGGCAACAGCGAATGCAATGCCCAGAGCCTTGATCTTCTTCATTGCCTCGGCCGCACCAGTCCCAACTGCATGCATAGATCGGATGGCTACAGCAGTGGCGGTGGCTAGATCGGAGAGTTAGTCCGGTTCTTCGCAACGATCATCAACGAAATTGGCTTGTTGAACTCACGAGAGGGGAAGATGAGACGCAGCTCCCGCGCCACATTGACGATGAAGAACTTTCGCAGGGGCACGGCAAAGAAAAGACCGAAGGTAGAGCACACAAGAGTCAGGGTGAGGATTCTCTTGAAATCATCCTTGGGGTTTTCGGACATGAGGTGCAGCTGGTACATGGCTGGCAATGCTGCCACGAAGAGGCCGCTCATGCCACCAGCACCCGTAGCGGCTGCCTGGATGATGGAGTTTTCTTGCGGGCCGAAATGCTCAAGACCGACAAAGGGAATACCTGGGGCAACTTTCTGGAGGATCTTGACAGCGCCGAACCCGAAAATGGCGCCCATCATGGAGGCGCCGAAGGTGAAGCCGGTTTTGAGACCTACCGTATGTGAGCACACGTCAGAAAGGCTTGGAGCTGTACATCCACTTACCGAGATAGACATTGGATGCGTTGACAAGCGATCCGAGAAGGATACCAACAATGACAGCTCGGAACGTGAGGGGATTTGGCTCGTCAAGCACGCCCTCTAGAGGAGGCAGTGGCTTGAAAAGGTCGAGGATCTCCTCCTCCTGCACCAGGATCTCAGCCTTCTCATCCTGAGATTCGCGTGTTGGGACGGCGTGGCCACCACCGATGGGGACGGCCTTGTCTTCGGCGTCCGACATGATCGGGGTCAATGAGACGTGAGATTTCCTTTCCTAGGTGATGAGTAGGTGCAAGTTAGGAGAAATGAAGGGAGAGGATGGAGATTTATGGCAATGCTGGAAAGTGCTACGCCAGCAATATATCCCGTCTGGGCTACAGGGGTCTTGGATAGCTAGGTTGCGTATCCGAGCTGGCTTTTTAAGACAGGGCGTGACAAGTTCGCTGTTGTACACATAAATCAGGCACAGCAGGTCAACACTCTTCCACTTATCTGGGGTGGTGTCCTTGACTATCACAGGCTGGGTGTGATATGTGGCACAGACTGAACCGTGCTGACCCGGGGCGAGGAGGAGATGGCAGTACGTCGATGGGCCAGACCCGGGGGCAAGGTCCTCACTAGCGGAGATCGTGACAAGATGGGAAAGTCCTTATCGCTGGGATGGCGAGGAGACTTCCTGCCCATCTGTTCATGGGCTCGAATTTCAATGGTCTAGGGTCGCATGAGGCAGTCGAGTTGCATTGTGATCTTGGCCTCCCACCAACTCAAAATAGCGACATCGACCCATATGCTACCCTCATCCCTGCTTCCCTCGCACAGCAGCTGGACGCTCATCCCATTGGCCGCCGTGTCATGGAGCGCGCTCAGGTAGACGGCGATCTGCATGAAACACCAATGTCGAGAAAGCACTGCATCGCTGATGGCTCTTCCTCTCAGCCCCCTCCCCCATTTGAGGAAAGCTGGCAGAGTTATCAGCAATACAATACGACACATGGCGCGAGAGCCCTCGCGTAGAGTCGCCGGGGACTGCAAGAATTGATGATCCCACACCAATCCAGGCTGGCGATATCAGATCCGTCTTGCTGATACCTGACCCTGTCCACACGACTGAAGGATCGTCCCTGCGCCGAGAATGATGGTAATGAGGGTCAATATTTGGGAGCAATCTTGCAGACGAATGATAAGCCTACAGGAGGCCGACGATGGCCTTGGCTCGGAGTTGGGGTTGGATCCCCATATGCTCATCTGGGAAGGTGTTAAGCATTGCCCAGAACGCCGCCAGAAGGTCCAAGACGTTCCTGGCGTCCTTCGGTGCTTCTGGTTGTGCCTCTGGCCCTCTGCTATGGCGCGGTGGCAGGCGGGCAGCCGATGCATGGCGATGCATGGTCGTTTCTCCAACCACTGGGGCACTCAATGGGGGGTATCTCGTGCAGCCGGCCACCTACTTCAGGCAGTTCAGGCAGTTGGGCGGCCGCAGCCACCACGGACGCCCTGATCTTGCGATTTGACCGTTGGATGGACCTCCGTTCTTGGCAAGCCACAATGATAAGTGAAATCTGGGCACGCCCGCTTGGCAAGCCATACCCTGTCGAGCCTGTCAAGCAACCCAGGATAATGCAGCTACAATGCTACATACAGCACAGCTGCTATCAGGCGGCACACGGGTCCGCATGGGGCAGAATAGTCAGGTATTGTAATGTAGTGCAGTGCAAGCTGTGTCAGTCAGGAGGCAAAGCAGACTCGGGTGTGACCAATAGGACCAATGCTTGGGTGATGATAAGGGTCATGACTTCAAACTGGCAATTTGCTGTTTCTGCTGTTGGTCTGCACGGTCTATCAGGCTGTGCCGAAGACTGCAACGATAAAACAAGCGAGTCATAGAGTGAGCGCCGTTTGTTAATGGAGTATCAAGGAAACAGATGAATGCGCGATACGACGATAAGTGACAACGGGGAAGCAATGGTTCTTGACTTGCAGGACATGATAGAAGCTTACTCAATACAAGCACCCTCGTCATTCTTGATCACCACTTGTTAGATCAGAATGACTCGGGCCGGCGAAATGCATGCCACGCCTTTCTGTCGTGTGAGCAATGAGACATAGCAGCGCAGTAGGAAAAAGTCGATAGATCGATCGGATTGCTGTATTGCATCGCGATGCAGCTTCCTGTTTCAAGCCAGCTTGAGGCAATAGCCCATCAAGATGGAGCAAGGGTGTGTGTGAGTGCCCACGAGTATATGGTGAACAGATATGTTGTACTCTACATGCCATCACTCTGCCAAGGACGAGGAAGGAGATGGGGGAGAGGATACGATATACCCAATCTAGTCCAATAATCGTTGAAAGCCTTTGATTGATAGGGAAGGCAAGGTCCTCCGTGAAGCGCGCCATCACTCTCTGAGTCTGGCTCTCTGTGATCGGCCTGGTGGACTCCAAGCAGCCAAGTCATTTGGCGTCTTTGCATGCGGAAATATGCGCGATGGAGGCGTCTCGTCTCAGCAAATTGACTGGTGGCCCGACGAGGATTGTAGAGGGGTCAATCGTCTTGGCCGTCTCGGCAAACAACATAGTGAACGATAAGTCGAGACCTGAAGGCGTAGCAGTGCAGCCCACCCCAGACTTGATCAGCCGTTGACGGAAACCAAAATTGCACATGGTTGGACAGGGGGCCCGTATGCTCATCCACATTCCGTATACACTGTAATGGACGTGTGCAGCGAGCACTGGACAGAATCATCTTCCAGGACAAGACGGCATATGCTAAAGTGGAATGAAGTTGAAATTCAACGGGAGCCTCATCATTTATACGAACAAGATACAGTAGCTGGCAGGGAGGCGCAGTCGCAGCGCGCGGGTGCGCGCACCCAATCTTGCCTTTCACGGCAGCGCCGGCACCTCGATGGATTCAGTCCAGGCCATGAGGTAAGTTGGTCAGTAAGGGCTACGGATGTCTGATGCCGTGTAAGGCAGGTCCGGCGTCTAAACACAATGTTGTGGTACGAGTAAGATGGAGATTAGTGCACTTATTGCAGTGCGAGCTTCGGATTGGCAATGTACCGCGTCTATGCTCATTACTGTATTGTCGCGTAATTGTGGTAAGGCCGACAAACGGCTGAAGCGTCGCCCGTCGACTGCCGTTATAGGAAGGCGACCGGACATAACACGACTTCGAACCTATCCGGACCCGGCAGCTCGACCGATCTGAGGTTTGTAGAGATGGAGTAGATATCCCCTGTAGCAATCGCATAGGAGAGTATCTGTACAAAGGACATCTCAACCGTAGGTATGTCGATCGATCTCTCGGTCTCTTGCTCCGAACCCTTGCCCCTGGGAAGCCATCCCTTCACGTTCCGCTCGGCATCCTGCCCTGGCTCCCCGCAAGGCGCATTGCATCTTTTTAATGACCTCCCCGGTAATACCAACCGAACGCAGTTGTGGCCTATTTTGCCTCGTGGTGTGCGGCAAAGACTGAGTGAAGTGCTCGCCTTCCCTTCTTGACGATGATCCTACGTTCGGCGTCGGTCACCTGATTCCTTAGTATGATGGTGACCGAGTGTGTTATACCCTGCTTCTTGAGGCCCGGCGTAACGACCGGAGTAGAATGCGCATCTAGATTTGAATTATCTGTGATACCACCTCACCCGGAGCAGTGAATGCAGATCAGAGAGCCAAGGGTCGCCGTATCATCGGTAGTGCATATGATATGCTGTAGTCGTCAACGAGGCCCGGGGTATTATGTGGACTGGCCATGCTTCGCAGCCGAGACATCAAGCATCCGGCCCTGGCCTGCCATCCAGCCACTTGCTCATGTAGGGGCCGTCCAACCAATATCCCAGCTTCTTATAATAACTTCTCACTCCGACTCCCGAGATAACGCTGATCTTCTCACTGCCGTGCTCATCCCTGGCTATACGTTCGGCCTCTTCCATAAGTAAGGTCCCGAAGCCCTGGTGCTGGAACTTCTTGGGATCTCGTGCATGCACCGGCACCGCGGTTCCATACACATGCAGTTCACGTACCAAGCTCGTTTGCTGACCCACAAGTTCCTCTCGGAAGGTGTATTTCTCGGAGCATTTCCGCAACCGCAAGAGGGCGACGAGGATGTCCTGCTTCGGATCTTCGTACGCCAAGAACGTCTCCCAACCTCCGTTCGCCGTATAGTCTCGTCGGACAAGTTCAATCTGGTTGGGTCGGATCTTGTGTTTGACCTCATTGACTCCCACCTCCCGGGTCCGGACGTCTCGACAAGTTGTGCCAAAGTCCTTCATGCGAGCCAGGGCAAGCTCCCGGAGATTACCATTTTCAACGCCAGATGTCACCAGCGGCATCGGGATGTCACGCTGTACTCGGTAGATGCGTGTCCATGGCGGCACGAGCGCCAATATACGCGCAACTAGGTCTATGAGGCCATTTGGCGTATAATTCTGGTACCGGCCTGTTCTCCATAGCTCGTATAGGCCAGTACCCCGAATGACCAGTGTCGGATAAATCTTCAATCCGTCAGTGCGAAATGCAGGGTTCTCGAAGTACTCCCTGAACTGATCCAGGTCTCGCTCCATTCCCACATTCGGCAAGTCAGGCATCATGTGGCTGACGACCTTATAACCGGCGTCTTTGGCTAGGCAAAAGGTCTCGGCGACTGCGGCAACAGTATGACCGCGATTCGTGTCCCGCGCAACATCTTCGTAGAGAGACTGCACACCAATTTCCAGTCGGGTGCAGCCATAGCGCAGCATGCTAGATAGATGAGGCTGTAGGCAGTAGTCTGGTCGGGTCTCAATGGTGATGCCCACACATTTGATATTGCTCATCTCGCCAGCCTCCACAGCCTCGTCGACATTGGACGTCTGGTAGCCGCTCAGGGCATTGTGCAATTGCGAGATGAAGTCATCCCTATACGACTCGGGCAGCGACATGAATGTCCCTCCCATGATGATGTACTCGACCTTGTCCACAGAGTGCCCAAGAGCCTTGAGCTGATCCACGCGACCTCTTGCCTGTTCAAACGGATCATATCTTGCGCGAATAGCCCGCATGGAGGTCGGCTCGTATCCCGTGTATGACTGTGTGCTGTATTCAAAGTCGGAGTCCGGCCCACCAGGGCAGTAGACGCAGATGTTGCCTGTGTAGGCGATATGCGGACATCGATGCGGCTTGCACATGACAGCCACGACGGCTATACCTGACGAGGTTCCTGAAGAAAGAGGGCGTTAGCGCCTATAATATCCTCGTGTGAGGAAGCGTAGTCTGCGTAAGCAAGGATACATACTTATTGGCTTCGCTATCAGTTTGGGCAGGATGTACTTCTTGTAGTGCTCTGGGACCGCAGCAATGATTGCCGTCAGAGGAGGCAGGTTGCTGATCTTGTGTTTTCTGGCCAGCTTTGTCCGCAGACCGTTCAGGTTGACGTCCCGCTTGGGCCGGCTGGAGTCCTTGGAAGCTTCATGGTCCTCGATGAGGGCGTTGGCGATTTCGGCGCAACATCGCAGGAAGCGCTCGTTCTCGGGAGGAAGGTTGGCGTCCTTCCTTCGAACAACGGTTGTCGTTGCTGTTACCGTTGTGGTGGCCATCTTGAGGTACGCATTGGAAGAGGGATCGAATCCTCTTCGATTTCGAGCTGTGGTTGTTTGCCAGTGGTGTTTGTTGTTGTTGCTGCAAATCTAAGATGAGACGACTTGGAGAAGTTGACTCTTCACCACAGCTGGAACTCTCTGCTCCAACAATGCAAAGCACCTTCCTTGAGCACTACCTGCGAAACTTTTAGGCGGGGTGAAATCTCGTTATGGCGGGATCCCAATGAACAAAGCCCACTAAGATGCCCAGCAATGACCACTGCAAACCGCTAATTGGAGAATTCAGGCTCGCCTGTACTGAAACGGCATGTGAGAGACAGGGTGGGGCGTCGGGGCTGGATTAACCGCAACCACCGAAGGGAGAGGCAGACAGAGCGCAGAAGGAAGGAGCGGGAGAGACCGGGACAGACTTTGCCGGCCCGAGCAACAGCAAAAAAATATAGGTGTCTACACTGGTCAGTACTAGGTGTATCCCCTGTAAGCTGTAGGCAGTGTAGGTACCTAGGTAGGTGGGTAGCCAAAGCCAGCCAGTACCTAGACCTCCCCAGTGAAGCAAGCTCCCTGCATTTGGCCTCTGCACTTTTGGGTAGCGCGAGTTTTCCTGCTGTGTTCTCGAGCGACGAATGACGGAAGCGAAGCTCTCCTGAAGGACGACGACGAAGACCCCAAGAATATTGACTGCATCGCGAAACGGCATCGGGCCCATCACCACGCACTCCCTGGAGTTTTCTTTCTTCTCCCCCCTCCCTCTCTCTCTTTTGAATTGCCATTGCAAGGTTGCATCAATTGCTAGCCAACAGAATCAAACATGCAGGCTGCTTCGAGACATTTTCGGCCGGGAGCTGCTGCGCTTCGACAGCTCTCCCGGAGGGCATACAGCGCCAGCTCCTCCCCTTACGCCGCCACCATCGAGAACCTGCGCATCAACGGCGACACAAAGGTCATCTACCAGGGCTTCACAGGAAAGCAGGGCACGTAAGTCTACCCCCCTCCTCTGCCGCCTCCTCGTCATCCGTCGCCTTCCCCATGATCAAATCAACAAGAAAAAACCCCTTCGCGATAGCAGCATCGGACAGAGACACATCTTCCATCTCTCCCTGGTTCATACTCGCCGTTCAAGCTTTGCTGACTCTTCGCCACGGCTCTAGTTTCCACGCACAGCAAGCCATTGACTATGGTAAGACCGTCTCGATCTCGATCGCACCCATGAGCTGGAAGAACAGCAAGCGAGACACGATTCTGACACAGGATATCAATAGGCACCAAGGTTGTTGGCGGAACCAACCCCAAGAAGGCCGGCTCAACACACCTGGGTCTCCCAGTCTTCGCCAGCGTCTCCGATGCCGTGAAGGAGACCGGTGCCACGGCAACTGGCATCTTCGTCCCGTATGTTACTGTTGACTCTGGTACCCGTTGATGACAGCCCCTGACGCAGTTCGTATACAGACCCCCCTTGGCTGCTGGCGGTATCCAGGAAGCTATCGAGGCCGAGATTCCCCTTGTTGTCTGCATCACCGAAGGCATCCCTCAACATGGTTAGTGGGCAATATCTTCGAGCAATCTAAGGAAGTATGACATTCTCTAACCGTGCTGCAGACATGGTGCGAATCACCTCGATGCTGAAGACCCAAAGTAAGACACGTCTTGTCGGCCCCAATTGCCCCGGTATCATCGCCCCCGGCCAGTGCAAGATTGGTATCATGCCCGGTTTCATCCACAAGCGCGGCCGCATTGGTATCGTTTCCCGGTCCGGCACCCTTACCTACGAGGCCGTCAACCAGACCACACAGGCCGGGCTCGGCCAGTCCCTCGTCGTTGGTATTGGCGGTGACCCCTTCAGTGGTACCAACTTCATCGACTGCCTGAAGGTCTTCCTAGAGGACGAGGAGACGGACGGTATCATCATGATTGGCGAGATTGGCGGCTCGGCCGAGGAGGACGCTGCGGACTTCTTGAAGGCGAACAACACCGTTAACGGCGGCAAGCCTGTTGTCTCATTTATTGCTGGTATCTCCGCGCCCCCAGGCCGACGAATGGGTCACGCCGGTGCCATTGTCTCCGGCGGCAAGGGCGGTGCCGACTCCAAGATCAAGGCTCTGGAAAGCGCCGGCGTCATCGTTGAGCGCTCGCCGGCCGGATTGGGCAAGGCCCTGCGGGATGAGTTTGTCAAGCGCGACTTGCTGTAATTCCGTTCAGGGCAGGTTCGGTGTGCTTGGGCTAGGTCGACCGGGGAGTTGCGATGTCCAGGTACTGTAGCCATGCTTCCCCCCAGTCCCTCCCCTAGGCATGTGTATGAGGTGGGCTAGTTGGGTACGAAGAGGGCCGGAAGGGGATGGGCGATCGTCTCCGGATGTAGTTTGTTCTCATATGTCTTCATTACCGTAACACAGATCCGATAGACTGGGATGGAATGGCGGGTTGGTAAACACGTGCATTGCATTCACATATAAGATTTTATATCTCTCGAGATGCTCGGCTTCGCTTTCACTTTGCAATATCCGAGACTGTGTAAATGTTGTCGGACTCCTCCGGCCTTATCTTCAAGCACTAACTAGGATTGTCCCAAGTCGCTGGGGTGTAGTCTGGATACAACCATACAACTGGACTGGTGACATATCATCAATAAATATATTATGCTGGGAGGGATGGACTCTCGGTAAACTCATGCCCGCTCAGAGGTAATTCCATGATCTGCTATAACGATGAATTGAGAACCCTATCTGAGCTGCGCGCAGAGCGATGACAGCATTCAGCCCCTGAACTCCAAAGTGCGCAGTAAAACAAGACGCATGCCATACCATTCCATGCAGGTTCAGTGTCCAGTGTCGTTATATCTAACATTTCATTGATTCATCTGTTCTTGTGCCCCGCCAACATAACCTTCTGTTCACGTAGTCTTCCCTCGAGGTACTTGATGCTTTCTCAAATTACCAAATTCTTTTCAGAGACCGTGACTACAGAGCAATCCCCCGTCATATCACTACCCCTTAATGGCTATGCTAGAGGCAGTCCAAGTAGGCGGAGTTTCTTCGGCTTCAGGGTCAAGACAAATGCGCCTGTCTTGGGGATCGGTGACGACGCAACAAGTCGGAGCGGAGTAGACTTTGCCCAGTATTGGGGGGATACGGCTGCGCCTATTGCTCCCCTAATAACCGGGCAGTGATGTCGCCCATATATGCCTCCTCCAGCTCGTAGTCATCGCCCCCGTTTCGATCGATCCCGACGTAGTTGAAGGCATCTACCACGGCGTCGACATCGAAGCCCATATTTACGAAACGATGAACCAGCTCCCGGTTGTATCCTTGATATCTAACAACCATCACGTCAGCACCAGCACTTCTCTTTCTCGGCTGTGTAGCCACCCGCCGCAGGGAGCATACCTGGAAGGGTCCTCCTGCTTCTTCTCTGATGCTTTCTTGACATACTGCCCCGGCGGTGGCTGCCTTCGCGGGGCACCGGCGTGCCTAACTGCCCAGTCGTGGGCCACGACCGCGAAGTATTCGGGATCGTCCATCATCATCTTGGCGACCTCTGCGTCTTGCGGGTCTTTGGGGTTCGGGGACTCGAGGAGCATTCGGAGGGATAGCAGGGCCATCTTGATTGTGCCAACGGGAGACCAGCCGCTGCCGAGGGTATCGAGACAGATGGCGCCCTAGGGGAAGAGACAAAGCCAGTCAGCTTCCGTATCCGTAGACGAGGAAGCAGGTAGGTGTACATGTGTAATGCATATGACTTACAGTTTGGCTGCTGATATTGGGGTGCCATATCTTGGTGTCGAACTTCATGATGGGGGACTTGAAGGGGTACATGTCCGGGATCTGAATGTCGACGGTGTAGGTGCCTCCAGAGTAGGGAGTATCTGGAGGGGCGGGAAAGGTGCCTTTGAGGTGCATCAGGTTGCCTTGGTCGACGGGGGTGGCATAGACGCCCGAGTTGTCCTTGTCCTGGTGGATGTCGTTGAGCTCTTTGGCGATCCTCCGCTCCCGCGTACTCGACATCTTGCTATGGGATGCGATGCAAGTGAGGCGAGGCGAGGCGAGGGGTGGGGAGGGGAGGCGATGTGAGGTGATGTGATGTATAAAGTTCGTCTTCTAGTTGAGCACTTGGGATTCGAGGTTTCAGGATTTGATTCTGGAGGAGGGGTTCGCTCTGGGACTTTGCTCAGCTACGGCTACGGCTAAGTCTAAGAATGAGGCTGAGGCTGAGCCTGCGTGGGGATCGGCCGGTCGGGACAAAGCTCTGCTGGTACTGATGCTGTACTGGACTGGACTGGTGCTAGACTAGAAGGTGAGGGAGTTGAACCTGTCGACAGAGTATAGAACTGCTGAACTGAAACTGTATGGAAAGAGCCTGGTAGTCCAGCCTCGAGGCGATGTGATGGAGGCGAGGCAAGGACGATTTAAAGAAAGCAAAGTCAAGTGACTGACTAGAGGCACCTCTTGAGCTGGGCCGGCAAAGAAGGTAAAACGAGAGGGGCAAGAGGCTATAGGAAGCACCCAAGGTAGTCGTAGTACCTAGGCAGTCATCAACTTGCCTCTTACCTGACTAAATCTGACTCTACCTTGAGTCGACGAGCTGGAGTTGTGAAGCCTTGAGTCAACCACGAAGATGAGAACCGAGGGCCGGAAGAAACGTAAAGAAACCGTCAGAGACCCCCGTCGGTCAGTCGGGTCCCGTCCCTTCTGTCACTTGACGCCGGCGAATCTCGAGCTCGCTCGGCTCAGTCCCGCCCGCCCCGTCCAGCACCACCCTCCAGCACCAATCTTGCCGACTCTAGGGGTGACGTCTACGCTAAGAGCGCTGGAAGTGACCTGGAGGTACAGCTGCTGGCGTTGGTGGGGCTGTTTCATGGTCCTGTAGGCTGTACCAAAAGCCCATAACATACTGCATAGTACATATTAGGCCTACTGAGGACTACCTAGGTACCTACCTACCTTAGGTAAGCTTAGGTAGCGCGCTTCCAGCTTGGGGCAACCGGGGTGGCCTGAGCAAACGGGAGTCTTAAGCAGCTTGCATCACACGTGACAGCGCTTAGGCTACCTGAGTACCTTAAGTCAAGTGCTGTCGTGTCTCGCTGGGCGCCTGATTGCTTGCATTGATTACCTAAACCCGACCAGCAGAGAGCTCCCTGCCCTGAGGTACAGCTCCTTGCCTCAGCCTTCCTCCTTCCATCCTCCATCCTCCTCCTCTCTATCATCGACAGCCTCAAGAGGTCTTCCTCTACCGTAACAAAAATACCATCGCCATTTCCTCTGTTGGCGGTCTTTCTGTAAAGGTGCAGAGGGTCTCTTTATCTGCTCATCCCAGATTCTTTTTCACTGGGATCGGGCTCCTGCTTCTAAACCCATAACGGACCACAACATCCAGGACTGAGCGTCAGAAGCCGTAATCATGGTGAGCAGCGCCTTCGTCATCCACTCCCAGTCACTTTCATGGGTATCTCTAACATCTACTCTTCTTCTTGGTAGGGTCAGAATCAGTCTGGCATGGGCGGTGGCGGCGATGGACAAGATGGCAAGGATAAGAAGGTTAGTCTTTCACCGTCCTTTCTCATCTCCCTCTATCAAGAGAGTGCGCTTCCCTCGATGACGTGTTGCATCCAGCTCGCTTAACGCGCGTGCGCACCATGCTGACTTCAATCCGCATCATCTAGAAGGATAAGCCCAAGTACGAGCCTCCCCCGAGACCAACGACCCGCGTCGGGCGCAAGAAGAGAAAGGCCCCTGGCACCAGCGCCGCTGCCAAGCTGCCTGCCGTCTACCCAAGCCAGCGATGCAAACTACGTCTGTTACGAATGCAACGTATCCACGACCATTTACTGTTGGAGGAAGAGTATGTCGAGAATCAAGAACGTCTGAGGAAAGCCAAGGCCGCAAAGGACAGCTCCGGACCCGCCACCGATGTCGACGCTGCTGATCGCTTGGCCGACGAGCGCGGTCGCGTGGATGATATGCGAGGTAGCCCTATGGGCGTCGGTACGCTTGAGGAGATGATCGATGATGACCATGCCATCGTGTCTAGCACTACTGGACCAGAGTACTACGTCAGCATCATGAGCTTCGTCGACAAGGATCTCTTGGAACCCGGAGCCAGCGTCCTCTTGCACCACAAGAGTGTCAGTATCGTCGGTGTCTTGACCGATGACACCGATCCTCTCGTCAGCGTCATGAAGCTTGACAAGGCACCAACCGAGTCGTATGCCGATATTGGTGGCTTGGAGCAGCAAATCCAGGAAGTTCGTGAGTCCGTTGAGCTGCCGCTGCTCCATCCCGAGCTGTATGAGGAGATGGGAATCAAGCCGCCCAAGGGTGTCATTCTATACGGTGCGCCAGGAACGGGAAAGACACTGCTTGCCAAAGCTGTTGCAAACCAGACTTCAGCTACCTTCTTGCGTATCGTAGGCTCGGAACTCATCCAGAAGTATCTCGGTGATGGTCCCCGTCTGGTTCGCCAGCTCTTCCAGGTAAGTCCTATGCCTACGTTTACACTGTCACAACTCCTAACACATCACAGGTCGCTGCTGAAAATGCTCCCTCGATTGTGTTCATCGACGAAATCGACGCTATTGGCACGAAACGATACGAGTCTACGTCTGGTGGTGAGCGCGAAGTCCAGCGAACTATGCTTGAGCTTCTGAATCAGCTTGATGGTTTCGATGATCGAGGCGATGTCAAGGTCATCATGGCGACCAACAAGATCGAGACTCTTGACCCTGCCTTGATTCGCCCTGGCCGTATCGACCGCAAGATCCTGTTTGAGAACCCCGACCAGAACACCAAACGCAAGATCTTCACACTGCATACCTCCAAGATGTCTCTCAACGAAGACGTGGATCTCGAGGAGTTCATTGCGCAGAAAGACGACCTCTCAGGTGCCGACATCAAGGCCATTTGCTCAGAGGCTGGCCTGATGGCTCTGCGGGAGAGACGTATGCGCGTGCAGATGGCGGATTTCCGGGCCGCCCGTGAGAGAGTTCTTCGCACGAAGCAGGAGGGTGAGCCTGAAGGGTTGTATTTGTAGTGTAATATCATTGTACCAGGGGGAAAGACGCTAGATGATACAGTTGTTGCATGGCAGGTAGACAATTGACCCCAGCAGTGGCCTACGCACATTGTTTCTTCCTCACCTTTCTCATGCTTGAGCGCCACCCAGCTGCACTTCACGGTCCCGCTCCCCTACACCCAGATCCCCTGGTGTCGGACCAGCGTCCACCTCCTTGAGGATAGCCTCGTTCACATCCCTCCTTCCCTCTGCAGACTTCAGGGCTTCGATCAAGTGCCTCGCACCTCCAGGCCACATGCCTTCGGGTCCACGTCCCGGGACCTCGCCCTTCAGGATCTTCTCCACGCTGATGCCCTTCTGTCCATAGAACGCGGCGTTGGCATCGTTCCTCGCCACCACGATCGTGCCATCGGCCTGCACACCGGCATACAGCCCGCGGCTCTTCATGTAGGCCCACACGGGCTTGGTGCTGGACGCCAAGGCGCCCTCGATGCTGGCGCCGGCGCCGACCGGGCCCGCGACGAGGCCGATCTCGCCGCCGAGCGAGACCCGCGGGTGCGTGAACGCCCGGACGGCCTCCGGGGTGCGCAGCACGCACACGCAGTCGTAGATGTCCAGCCCAATCATGAAGCCGGCGCCCAGCGTATGCACCAGAAACCCGGACGGCGGCGACCACGACCCGTCCGGCAGGCGGGACACGACGATGCCGCTGCCGCCCGCGCCGGAGATGTGCAGCCCCGTGCGGAAGGTGGTGAAGATGGCGAGGCCCGCCGCCTGCTGGAACACCTTGGGCGGGATCTTCACCAGCACTTTGGACTTGGACTTGGGCCCGCCTGCTGGCTGGCTCTGCTCTGTGGTGTAGAAGCCACTCTCTGTAATTATGATGTTATTGCTGTGTATTTACTCGGACAGGGGTGATGGTAGACTTACTGGAGAAGGACTGCAGGATGCGCGCGGCCTTGTCACACTCCTTGTCCATGCCTGATGGCCAGAACGCCTCAGACCCTAGCTGGTTGGTGAGTTTGTTGATGGGCACGCCCGCCTTGACGCTCCATTGGTGCAGACGCTCGCCAAATGTCGGCTTGGAGGAGGCATGACTTGGGTTCCCGCTCCCGCTGGATCCAGGGGGTTTACCTGGAGACGAAGCAGGAGGAACAGGGCTCGGCTGTTGCTGAGGGCCAGTTGGTGGAGGTGGGTAATAATACTGCTGACTCTGTTGCTGCTGCTGCGATTGAGGTGCTGTAGGAGGCGGAGGATAATAGTACTGTTGTTGTTGTTGTTGTTGTTGTTGTTGTTGTTGTTGTTGTTGTTGTTGCTGGGAGGCTGGAGGTTGCTGGTATTGTTGCTGTTGCTGGGGGTAGGACGGGGTAGGATTGCTTTGAAGAGGACGCTGAGGTTGTGGTTGATGTTGTTGCATATTATGGGGAGTTGGACCCAGACTGGCCGTTTCGGCATAGTAGTCTGGATTCTGATGTTGTTGCGGGCCAGACATTGTTATAATCGTCAGTCGAATCAATGAATCACAAGACAACCCTTTTGGGTACTGGCTCTAGATCACTGGTGTGTTCTGCTTGGTGTACAGGCGGAAGAGTACGACAAATCCAATTGAGATCTTGAGACGAATGATACCAGACAATATTCCGCACTTGGAAACTGATAATTGTGAGAGTTGATATGAATTATATAGATTTAAACAACCGCATGTGAAGTATGAGGTTGTGTTTAAGTCAGTTGTTGCGTGCGGATCAGGGTGGCTCAGCAGCAGGTTTCTGCAATTGCATGGTTGCGATGACGATGCTCATTGGATTACTCGGACATTTCCAGGCACACTTGGCACAGCCGCCCATCCCAAGGTACGCAACCATCACCGCAGCTATCCGCAGCTCGCCATTGAATAAGCTAAAGTGATCTTCGATCAGAGATTCTGGAACCATAGCTCAGGAACATGTTGATCAAGACAACAATTCACAGTAGACTAAACAATGCCATGCGGGGCTCATGCTACTTTGGTAGTAAAAAATATGACTTGGAAGTGTCGAATTCTAACCGACAGGCGACTCATGCATGTTCAACTTCTCTATAGTGAATAGGAGCGATGTACACATAACTGAAAGCAGACTAGCAGGGACGATGTCATGCGTAGGTGAAGTGCCTTTGCAAATCATCACAGAGGACCTGGTCATCGGAGAGGTGATGGTCGGTCGTTTCCTACATGTTATTTGAGCATAAGTATCCTTGACGAAGTGGGAGAATAGAACTACACGGTATGATCCTACCAAGCTGCGTGGGAGCACAAGACTCTCTCTTCAAACCAGGGGTATCTATAATTCTGCTACTTGCTTGAATAGAGCCTAACATGCTATCGTATATACTCCGCTCCTTGATCATTAAGGAGCCTCTCCAAACGGATAGTTGAACTTCAACAACCCATTCAGACCTCCAACCCATCCGTCGTCGTCTTCAGCTATGCCATCGGCATCGCCCTTGCGAGGCGCCCGGATTACGCACGGCACACCTCCCCTCCAGCTTCCATCCCCGGACCGGCCAACCATTTCGCCCTCGACGCGGACCTCCATCCCAATTTTTGCGCCGAGGCGCCTCTTGCCATCAATACTGACTTCTAGCTCACGCCCGCGGTTTTTCTCGCTCAATTTTAGAACAACTTTGGTGTTCAAGGGAAGAACCAGGGGGCGGAAGCTTAGGCTTCTCGGGCAGATGGGTGTGATCAGTAGAGAGCCCACGAGTGGGTGGATAATTGATCCGCCAGCGCTGAGCGAGTATGCTGTTGACCCCGTAGGCGTACTTATTAGGATGCCGTCAGCGACGGCCTCGGTTAGAAAGTGGTTATTTAAGTAGATATCAATGATTGCAAGATGAGGATGAGGCCCCCGATGGATCAAGAGCTCATTGATGGCGTGAAAAGACGGGAGTTTCTTGATAGCCGGCATGGGCACTCCGGCTTCTGCTGTGCCCGCGATGGCCGAAGGTATACGGTGCTGAGGTTCAGCCGTGGAGGTGGGCATCAGCTGGTTGCTGATGTTGACACCGTTGTTGTCGTAGACACCGACCTTGAGTCGATGGCGGAGGAGAATCTTTGAGGCCCTGTTGACGCCCATTGACTTGCCACGTACCGGTGACTCCCAGCCGTGTATGGGAGCCTCCAGTTCCCTTCCTTCCTCGGCGGCCTTGGCCTTGGCGGCTTGGGTGTGAGGGCCCACGAGGTCTTCCACGGCCACGCCGCTGCCGCTCATGTAGACCTCGCGCCATGCCCTCTTGTACTCCTCGAACTTCCACTCGCCAAGGAAACCCAAAGAGCCCATGCTAAAGGACAGGATGGGGGGCACGCTAGACTGCAGCGAGAAGAGGCTCGCCGCGCGGAGGATGGTGCCATCTCCGCCGAGGGTGGTCACGAGGTCGATCTTGTTGGGGAACTGCGTGGCGGGGTCGCTGGAGCTCGTAGTGTAGACGGGGAAGGGGAGATCCTCGTGGATGGCATTGGCGATGCGACTCTCGAAGATGAGGTTGAGGTCGGGGTAATTGCTGTGGAGGTGCTTTGCGAAGGCGACTGCGGAGAGGGTGACCTGGGGCGCATGCAGCTTCGGGATGAGAAGAATGTTTCTCGGGGCCTGGGGCCAATGCAGGGCCAGCAGAGACGAGGTGGGCGACTCCTGGTAGGCAGGAACGATCCTGTCGGGCAGCGTCGACACGTCGAGGATCTGCCGCCGTCGTGTGGTGGCCGAGAAGAGGCGAGAGGAGGCTGGCTGGCCGTGCCTGAGCAGCCATGAATTCATGTGGTTTCTTGAAGGCCCAAACATGGCGGCCGAGGCCTTTCTGGATGCCATTTACGGCCAGGGACGCGAGTGGCTGTTGGGGAGGGCGTTGTGTGCCAAGCAAGAAGCCGACATTCTCGTCTTGTCTTGATAGTCTTGTAGTCTCGACGTTGGTAGACAGACTGTCGATGGGATGGGATGGGATGGGATGGGATGGAGAGCCGGATTAGTTGCTGTATCTATTCGGCATTTTCTTACTGTCGATCTGGGTTCACTCTCGATACGATCAGATAAGATTATATCAGGGTGTTCTCGGCATCGTAGACAGCAGTGGCAATGATTCCGGTCATCCACGTCTTGTCTTGTGTGCTGGGAAGCGGAGGAGGAGTGGTGATGATGCAAGTGTGCATTCATGCAGGTAGTAGGCCAGTCAAGTAGCACGCGGAGAAAATGCTGTGGTACCTAGGCGTGCTAGGTACTGCATAGTAGTGCCCACAGGAGCCGCTGGCAGCCCTGGAGCCGGGACCGAAGGCAGAGAGGCCCCTAGAACCAATGAGGAGGCAGCCATTTCCTAGTGGCCCATTCAAGCATCTCCAGTCAACGGTACTGCTTTCAGGGTCTCCCTCGCCAACAAGCTTATCGCGTATCTACCTGAGTAGGAGTTACCTACTGTATAGTAAATAGGTAGGAGGTAGGTAGGCAAAGCAGGAAGAAATAAATCAGCTTCTCGCCGTCGGAGGCTGGAAATGCCCCGGATGCCGCCTTGCAGGTCAGGTGGTGCTGTAGTGATGGGGTTTTCTATTGCTTGCCATTCTAAGACTGGACATGGATGTCTGTATGTGTCTTGGCTGTTGAATACCTCGCCCTCTCCCAGATGAACTCCAGATCTGGATCTGGATGAGTGGGAAGAGTCTCTTCTGAACTCCTACTTGAGTAGTTGTCTCTCGTTCTTTTTCTTCACATGTGTACCGTATAGTTAGTAGACTGGGTTGGTCTTGTTCTTACTAGAGACTACCTGGGTAGGTACGCAGGAAGAGGCAGATCCAGCTCTAAGCCATGTCCGGCGGGGGGAGGCTGACGGCTGAAGAGCCAAAGAGCCTAGAAGCCTAGAAGCCCTGGTGTAGGTAGGTATGATCCACCACTTGCCGAAGCTGCCGCAAATCTGTCTGTCTAGACTCTAGAGGTAGGTAGGTACATGTAGGTAGGGAAGCAGGTGGGCATCAATGGAAGCCTCGGTAACTTGTCCAGCTGGTGAATTCATGACGATGCTGCATTTTCATACAAGAATACGGTAAGAATCAGAACAGGTGACGATCCTGCTGCTTGTTGTATCAAGCTCCAAGCTCCTTGTTATCTAAAGAGATATCACTCAACTCTCTTCTCTTGTGTACTGTTGACAGCTCAATATAGCTAGGAACCCACTCATATATACCAAGTATACCTGCTGAGGCACATCTAGAGCTTATCGCAATCAAGACTCTGGTCGTCTCTCTTGGCTTCAAGGCTGTTCAACTTCCTGCCGAGAGATCGTCTATACAGCTCCTATCAGCAAGAGCAAGCTGTCTGTCTGTCTGTCTGTCTGTCTATCTATCTCATGACCGCCTGCAGCTGTGGTCTTACTCCCGTCTATCTATCAGTCTGCGTGCGTGCGTCTGAAGAGCCAGCCACCTAGATACATACCTCGGTTCAACCCAAGTCGAGTGTGGCTTGCCTGCTCTTGGCTGTCTGCATCTGCATCTGCATCTGCATCTGCATTGTAGGTGCAGAGACGAGCTGTCTTCTTTTGGCTGTCCTCGAGCTGATGAGCTGTCAGCTGTTTGCTGGCTGATTGACTGATTCACTGGTTGGCTGACGGCACTGGCACTGGCACTGGCACGCGACCACGAGCAGGAGCGCGCACGCCGATTCTGCCTACCTGCCCTGCCCTGCCCTGCCGTACCTGACCACCGCCTGAAGAGGACCGGGAATACGTGGGCAGTTTCACTCACTTCACTTCTGCCTGCTCTATTAGAGTGTGCTCGACCGACTTTATCTGCTTGAGGGCCAGTGCAGTATCACTCTCTTTCATCACCTTGAAATCATTCATCCCTTCGATATCATACCTACCCATTCGCTCTCTTAGCTAGCCCCGCCCCCGCCATTACGGACAGCTTTCCACCCCGCTGATTGTCGCTTAACACACCACCACAAGTCCTGGATAACTACCTAAGGTGCCTAGCTAGGTAGCACGCTGCGTACATATAAGCTTGGCCAGGCTGGCTCTCGACATCTCCGCCATCATCACCGTCGCATTACCACCGCCGCCGCCGCCACCATCATGACTGCCGATCTCCGCCACCGCCGGCCGCAACCCCCGGACGACGATGATGTCCCCGCTCCGAGCCTCACCGCCGGCGCTGCCCCAGCTGCCGACCCAACCATCGCCCATCCCTCCGGCAAGAGGAAGAAGGGTCGCTGGACCCAGCTCCTCAGACAGCTCACCTTTGCTACCTACTTCATCGGCAGCTGTGTCACGTAAGTAATTGCCTGATCCACCCAAAGATGCTGGGTGCTTGAGCCTCAACTATTTGCCTGGCCCGTACGGACGTACCTGACATGATGCTCATTTTCATTGATATAGCATCGCCGTGACCCAGTACCTCGGCGCACCCCTCTACTGGATCAACAGAGACCTGTACTATGCCTACATGGCTCTGACAAAGCAGTCCTTTGGCCTGGTCATCACCACCATGACCAAGTGGTGGGGGCCTACCACCATCCGCATCAGCGGTGACGCTTCCGTTGCAGACCAGATCAGGCAGACCGCCGACGGCCGCGTCGAGTTCGACTTTCCCCAGCGCATGGTCATGATTGCGAACCATCAGGTAGGCCAATCATCCATGTAAGCAGAACACAATGCTAATCCTCACTATCAGATCTACACAGATTGGCTATATCTTTGGTGGGTGGGCTATGCCAACAACCCCCAGATGCACGGCTATATCTACATCATCCTCAAAGAGTCTCTGAAATGGATCCCCGTCATGGGACCCGGCATGATGTTCTACGGCTTCATCTTCATGTCGCGCAAGATGGCCGTCGATCAGCCCCGCATGGCCCACCGCCTCGGCAAGCTCAAGATGCAGCACACGGCCCCTGACGGCCGCAAGTACCTCAACCCCATGTGGCTTCTCCTCTTTCCCGAAGGCACCAACCTCTCCAACAACGGCAGGGCCAAGTCTGCCAAATGGGCCGAGAAGACCGGGCTCAAGGACCCGGAGCACGTGCTGTTGCCACGCAGCACCGGCATGTACTTTTGTCTCAACGAGCTCAAGGGTACCGTGGACTACGTCTATGACTGCACTGTTGCCTACGAAGGCATCCCGTAAGCCAATTGTATAAACCTACTCTACCATAATAGTCTTGACTAACGCGATGCTTCAGCCGCGGTGGATTCGGCGAGGAGCTCTTCACCCTCAGCGGCACTTATTTCAGGGGACAGCCTCCAAAATCTGTCAACTTTTACTGGCGCCGCTTCCGCGTGGCAGATATCCCGCTCGAGAACAGCGAGAAATTCGAGCTGTGGCTGCGGGACCGATGGTATGAGAAGGACAGGCTCATGGAAGAATACATGTCGACAGGTCGCTTCCCCTCTTCTCCAGTCAAGTCAGACAAGGTCGAGCAGAAGGCTGTTTCCCACATCGAGACAGAGGTGCGGACAAAGTATTGGTGGGAGTTCATTCAGATTTTCGTTGTGCTGGGCGTCTTTGGCCTTGCGAGCAACATCCTGGCCAAGATGTGGTACCGCGTGACCCACATCTTTGCATGAGATCACTGGATTTTGGTTTGGGTTGATATGAATTGTCGTTGATGGAGGCATGTGAGACTGGCGCAGGGGGAAATCGGGTTGATTTTTAGAACGGAGATCACTCATGACATGGTCGGAAATTGGAGAATCTGGATGGTTATGTTCAAGGCGTTTCATTCGCTTGTTGACTCTGGGGACCTGAATAGGAGTTTTGTCTTGCGAAAGAAGGCGGTATGTGGTATGGGCGACACGGCTGGCATGACTGGATGTGGCATTGTTAGACCCGCATACAAGGGGTCTATACGAATTTTATATGCTGAGGGGACTCTCACGACACGAACTGCGGAGCTGGGTTCAAACTTTCGGACATTTCATAGATACAGATATCCACCAGGAGTCTAAGCATAGGCATTTTGGCTTTGCAATATCGCAACTCAGCCTCTCTTCAGAATTCAAAATCAATTCATGAGAAAGTTGGTGACCGAACACTAAAAATAATGAGTTTCTCATTGTGAAAGCCCGACACGACCGTTTTATCTCTCCTCAACACAAAAGCGAAAATACGTGTTTTGTAAACCCGAGTCAAGCTGCAAGAACAGCAGCTTTTAAACGACAACTGCGCTGCGTATTCGCATCTCGCCGAGTTCAAGACCTTTAGACGTATCATCACTTTAGTACACCTTGTAGCTGCGAATCTTCCGCGCCGGGGTCAAGGTGAAGTCCCCCTTGCCATTACGATAGCTGAGCCCCTCGCAACCCTTGTTGACGTACAGCTCAAAAGTTCCAGGGTCACTATGCAGAGACGTCTTAGGGTCAAACTTTGCCCGGTTTACATTCAGAGCTGGCGTGAAGCTGATGTCCTTGCACCCGCTGTCCGCGTGGCCGTGCACTATGAAAATCAAATTAGATCGTGTCCACGGGCTCTTTCGATATGAATATCGAAGTAACTACGGGAATGGCAGGGGAATTTGTGTTGTGCTACTTACTGTTGATGTGGCGGCCATCTGTTGCCCAGAGGTCCACATTCCATGCAGAGGTGAGAGTGGCAAAGATCAGAGCAAGAGCTGAGGCGGGCTTCATATTGTCGAGATAGTTTAAACAAATGTGATTTGCTCGAGGTTTAGGAATGAAGAGAGGAGAACGATGCGATCTCTCAGTGAATATTGGATAGAGTGTTCGATTGCAGGAGTCGATGACTTGAGTATGATTGTGTCCGTTGAGAAATGAAGACCATGCCTCTACTTATACTTGAATTCTTGCCAGGTCTCTGTCTTCAGATTGATTCGATCTCCTTGCAGGCAAACCTTTCTCAAATTTGCCATATTACTTCGATTAGCATTGACCTGTGTTCAAGCTTAGAGCAACTGAAGGCATGTCACCGATCTACAAGGCAAATCTACCTTGCCATTTCCTACCTACATGATTTCGGCCGTCTGATAGGATGCAGCCGTTGTATTCTATTTTCTGTCTCCCTGAACCCTGCCATTTTGATTCTGTGATCACGCGTACTTTTATTTCACCAGTCATTGAGCGTATTCTGCCAGTCGTCTGTTTTTCAGCGTCTCGCAAACGTGAACCACTGAAGCACATGAAGCGTTGTCGTCAAACAAACACTAATTGTGGCGTGGGGAGTAGTATGGGGCGAAGCATTCAGCTGGGGGTTTTAGCCGGCCTGAGAAGGCGGAAAGGCGCAAATGCAGGAACCAGCAAGCCACTCACATGGCGAGCTGAGGATAAATTTGGATATGTGGTACTTTGGGAGCACGTCGGTGTATGCAAGTGTGACAAACCGTTTCCGGGATTGCTGTTATGAGCGAAGAGCCGGGAGCCACTCGTGCCTGACTATGTTATTACACCGCAGACGTTTGAATATATAATGCAGGCGTTTTTCATAACCTCGAAAGTAAGCACATTAATTGTCGGTATCAACATTGTCCCGACTTTCGAGGTTCTGACATTGATAGTGGAAACTTAGAGTTGGGGTCGTTCAATTACGGATTGTTGAAACCGAGGTTATGAGCTGAATATAGAATCACTTTCCTTTGGCCTCGTTGTTCCTTCATAAATAGCAGGCGGGCTATTACAGTCAAGCACACCACCAAAACATTTCAGCCAGTCTGAGAGAGGCAGCAACACTGATTACCTAGGACCATATTGTGAGTCTTGATCACACTATGTTTCCTGTGCGAAGGGAGTGAACACACAGGTGTAGCCGGAGCTAACGAGGTAAACATAAATCAAGTACCACAATGCCTGAGTGGAATAGAGGACAAGTTCTAAATGGGAAGAGAATCAGTCACAACTGCGCGTGTCCCATGTTACTAGTTCACGCCCTTCGTGTAATGCGGACCCAGAACTCTTCAATTATCCAGATCCCCTGAATCAGCGTATTAGAAAGACGGACGATACACTTTCGAGACACAAGGCATAGAGATTTCAAATTCGCTCACCGCATTCTTGATTCGCGCTGGATTCTGTGGATTCACAATAGAGAAGTCGAACCGCCTTAGCAACTAAAGATGACGAGCGTTATTATTGAAATTCTAGAAAATAAAAGCTGGGAGCAGCTTGAGGCCAAATCTCACCTCAACAAAGATCTTATTGAACTCCATGAGAGCCACCGTCTTCCCAAGGCATTGGTATTTGCCGTAGTGAAACACAAGATCCACAGTGCTGGTCATTTGCGCCATGTGTTCTCCTTCTGCTTCCAACCATCGTTCAGGTCTAAATACTTCTGCGTCTGCACCGAAGAGCTTCTTCGAATGATGAATACCAAAAGGCGAAGATCCGATTTGAGTTCCCGCTGGAATGTGTCTTCCATTGATCACATCACCTCCAGGGGGAACAGTCTTGAAGAAAGCCCCAGCCGCGGGCGGCATGATTCGTAGTGCTTCCTTGATTACCGCTTGAAGGTATGGCAATCGCCGTGCTTCGACATCCTTGATAGGCGAGCTTACCTTTCCGGCAGCAATGCTGTTATCAATTTCTTCTTGTAGTCTTGTATAAGCAGCTGGGTTGGTCAGGATACTCAGCATCACGATACGAATAGTCGATGCAGACGTATCGCTTCCAGCCACGACTTGGAGCAGCGCTTCCCCGGATGCTTCCTCTTTGGTGAGCCCATGCCGGATGAATGAGCCCAGCATATCAGATTGTGATGCTGCTTGAGGCTCAAAGCGTTGTGCTACGACTTTCCTCGCAACGCTTTGAAACTAAATTAGCGCCTGTGTCAATTTCAATAGGAATACAGAACTTGTAATCTAACCCAATGAATGCGCCGAAGCCGAGCTTATCACTCTCCTTAGGGAGGAGCCCTCGGAAGATTCTTGACTGCAGAAGCTTCGCTAGGGACGGTATATTGGCTAATACTAACATGATCGGGATAAATGAGCTGGTAATCTTGATATAGTTGAACACATCATCATCTTCCTCTAGATAGCCAAAAGGATCGCCAAAGGCAAGAGCGCTGATGACATCCAAGGTGAAGTACTGGCCTTTCTGAGCGAAGTCCATGGGATTGTAGACTAGGTCTGACGAGATATATCTGCTCTCAATGAGGTCAACCAGCCTTGCAATTTGCACTTCAACGGTGCTCTCCATTGATTCGTTCTCTTTGCCCGAATACTTCAATCTGTCGCATGAGTTTTATCTTGTCTCTGATCAAGTGAGAAAGAGGCACTTCTTACCCCAGCAGTCATCTTGCCACGTAGCTTGGTGTGCGCGACTTCGTCACGCATGGAGAAGAGATTGTCTTTGGTAGGATCGAAACGCATCGCATCATACCCTGTAAGCATGTTCTTAACTGCTGTCAATTGACTTTCGAGCACGGAAGGAGAACTCACAAGGGCCTCTTGTGTAGGCAGAGCGAACACCCATCATTTTTCTCAGGACCTCTGGATCATCCGTCACCAGTTCATTCGGTCCAATCCGTGCAAGTGACCCTGTCGACAGATTGTCAAAAGCTGAAGTGCATATGATATGGGTTTTCAGAGAGGCGAGATGGCAGCTCACCATATTTATCTGTGACCTCCTTGATGGCGGTGGGCTGCCGTCCGTTGAGCGATTCCTTTACCATCCAATATTTGGAAAAGGCGGCCCAAAATGGTCCTGGTACATGCGAGAGACGGTGCCATACATATGCCAAGTGCACAGCATAAGCTATTATGAAGAAGGAGGCAAACAAGACAACAGAGGAATATGGACTGATTCTCGCGAGGGACTCCATTCTGATGTCTATTAAGATGGTGTCCGAGGCGAACACTATGGGTTGTATTGTCTGCGTCTGAGTGGGAAGTTTTCCTGCTTCGGGTGGTGGGTGAAGTGCATGAGAGCTTGAGGGGAAATCGCAGGGGTTCACCCAACCAACAAGCAGGTATCAAATTGTGATAACACCAAGACCTGAGCTAGCATTATCACTGGATCTCACGCATATTCTCACCTACAATGAAGAGTCACTTTGGATTGAATGGCATTGGTTGATATCACTTAACAAATTACCGGAGGCCATTGGCAGTGTCCTATGAACTGAGCACCGTACTGTCCTCGACGTGAACCAACCCACGAAGCCTAAAACCAATTGGCCCCCGCAAACGTTCATATGTTGAATATAATTCTCTTTTTATACAGCTCACATCAAGCACAGACGTTTGCAAAGGTGTCGCTCAGTAAGACAGTGTTTAAGAACATTGACAAGGATGAAACTGTTGTCATGTTTGGGTCCACAATACATACTCCTCTTATTGCCATGAGTGAGAATATAGCGTTTCTGCTTCAGCTTCATAATTTAATGCCGAATCTTCTATTACTTGACAACGACGGGTAGACATGTCTGAAAGTGGTTGTGTAGCTACCTACCTAGAGACAGGTGAAGCTCTAGTGTTTGGACGCCATTTGGTGCCACTAATGACGTAAGATTTAGATGCGGTCGGCTTCTGAACCGTCCATAACTTTCTCCCCCTTTGATTGTTATTCCTCCAGACTGACATATATTCTGTCTACCTTTTTTCTGCCTTGCTTGCGCGGACCCTATAGAGAGAAGCTGCAAATCGCGAACATGTCAGCAACTGTCTCGCCAACATCACTATCCACGCTGCGGGTCAGCTCGCACAAGATCCCCGCGCATGGACTCACTCCCAATAGCAGCGCGCTCAACAAGCCGCTGCTCATCTACCACAGTGTATTTGCCCCATCATCTAACGAATCTGTGGCGGCATCAGCAATTGAGTCGCACTTGAAGTCCACCGACGTCGTGATACCACAGTGGAGATATACTATGTACTCGACCTCTCACTTTCACAGCACATCCCACGAAGTACTCTGCATAAGCAACGGGCGTGCCAAGCTGTGCTTCGGGGGAGAAGATAACGAGGGGCGCGTCGAGCCGATAGTCACTGCGGGAGATGTCATCATAGTTCCTGCTGGAGTGGCGCATCGGTTACTCGAGGATATGAGTGCCGCGGGCGGTTCGTTTGAGATGGTCGGCAGTTATCCTAAGGGGTTCAACTGGGACATGTGTTACGGGAAGCACGGTGAGGAGAAGCAAATCGAAAACATCAAGCAACTGTATTGGTTCGACCGAGATCCCATTTACGGAGATAAGGGCCCAGCTTTGGTTGTCTAGATTGCTTCAAATGGAGGTGGGAAGAGTCGACATTGGCATATCGGCCTCCTGGAATATATAACCCAGTTATTCAGGGTCTGCTATAATACTGTTTCTAGAATACCCAAAGTACTTCCTGTTGAATTTCTTTCTTTTCAGCTTATGGCAACATAGAATATTCTCTAGTCAAGTTTCAATCACCGTGGACGGTAGGTACTCGGGGTTGCCGCCGGCCTCCATTCATGTTGGTAGGTCGAGTCGTTCAGGAGAACTTACCACGACATGCACTGAAGATCGTATGCTTCAAAGAATGCGGGTGCAACTCGACGGTTGAGAAAATTCCCGAGTGTCGGAATTGAGCTCGTTCTTTCAGTGGCGCAAAAAAACAATGCGGGATAATAAGCAGAGGATCCTGTCTCGACGGAGAATTTTGGCAGATCTGGAAAACACCACTCCACACCGTTCCGAACCGTGGCGGTTGAATTAAGGTGAAGGGGCCCTTTCTCTTTCACCTGCGGCAATGTCATATTTGAACGTGTAAAGGCCCTACTGGCAAGGTTCGGCTGTTCAGAAGGTGCACTGCATGGGAGGCTCAACGCCTAGAGGGCATGCGCTTGGCTCCCGTTGTTGTATTCAGATCGGCGGCTCCATGTTCAGATCTACCACTAAGCCAAAGAGATCACCCACCCTTAGCAAGACATATCGTTACAGAGACTGCAGTCGGAGAAATGCGCTCTGTGCCGTCCCTGCATATTGAGGTGCACGTATCGTTTAGCCTATTTATACATGGAACAAGGGTGGAACGCCGACTTGATGATGCTTCACAGTCATGGATGACGCCTTGAAAAGTATTATTAGGCGGCAATAATAATTTACCACAATCTGTGGTGCTATTGTGTGTCCTTACCTGAGACGGAAAATTGCTGAGTGCGTACTGTTAGTTTACATCCTAGCTCTTACCATACGTAGTGTGGCATAACAGAACTATTACTCTGGGTCTCAAAAACACCACGTTTCCACGCGAGAGAATCTCTCCACTATTCTTTTACGCTTCTTCCTTCACAGTGATCAGTTGTGCTTGGATATTGAAGAATATGTCAATATCGAGACTTACGAGACTGATCCCCAGGTCAGGGACAACTCATTCCATTCTTTGATTTAGTATTTCAGTCTTTCGTTCGTTTTCACGAAAGACAATCATTGTCTTTCATTATGGATCAAATTACTGCCAACTATGGGGATGCGTCAGGAAGGCTACAAAACATATACGACTCAGAAGACGCGAAATGGACCATATCACCCCTGCCTCCAGTTCTACGGCACGGTCTAGGAGCCGTGGCAACCTTCGGATTTCTCTCGTTTTTTACGACACTGACTCTCTTTACATATCTATCTTATAAACTAGTAATATGGCAAGTGAGGCCAATTCCTCCTGAGAGACCAATTACACCTGAACTGGATTCACCTACAATCTCCGACATTAATGGATTTCTTGTTCCCGATGCCCACTTGTGTCCCCAGCTAGAGGAACAAAACACCAAGTCCAACAAAGAATCGTTCTGGCAGAGACTACATAAAGAGCCACCAAACCAATTCCTGGTTCTCATATACAATTTGCTGTTTGCGGACATCCAACAGGCTCTAGCGTTTCTTCTTAATGCCGCCTGGCTCTCCAAAGATGCCGTGGCTGTAGGGACGAGCCAATGCTGGGCACAAGGATGGTTTGTCTCAACAGGAGACTTGGCGTCGAGTATATTTATCAGTGCAATTGCAGCGCACACATACTTGGGAGTCATCAAGGGTTACAGGCTCTCCACCTGGGCTTTCTATTCGGTCATCATGAGCCTTTGGGCGTTCATATACGGATTGGCAATACTCGGGATAATCATCACCAATAATGGACAAAGTACTGGAGGCCTGTATGTCCGTGCAGGGGCTTGGGTGAGTTTTCTAGATCATTTTGAATGCTAGATCGAGCTGACGTTGCCTCATACAAAGTGTTGGATCAATCCTGCTTACCAGAACTTGCGTCTGAACCTCCACTACTTATGGATTTTCCTTTCTCTCAGTTTCACGTCTCTCACCTATCTCGTTATCTATATCTATCTGCAAATACATAGCAAGCATAGCGGTGCAAGTTGCCTATCTACCCATGGAGAACACTATCCGAACCCGGATCCCAATGGCTCCAAGGTATCATCGCTTCCACCCATGTCGCCAAGGTCGCAAATGACAGATGTGAGCGCAAAACGACTTCCACCCATCCCATCATCGGCGCGACACCCAACATTCCTTCTTTACCCCATCATATACGTCCTGTGCACCGCTCCTTTAGCTATGGGTCGCATTTCATCCATGGCTGGCCATGATGTTAGCCTAGGCTATTTCTGCTTTGCCGGCGCAATGATTGCGTGCAATGGCTGGATGGACGGTGAGTAGAAAGGGTATCATTAAGACTGGGACTTAGCTGACTTTAGACTGTAGTTCTCTTATACAGCTATACGAGGAGGTCAATTGTCTTCAGCGGAGAGGAGCCGCCAAGCCAGGACACTGGAATCGAAACATTTGCCTTTATGCGCACTCCACCGAGAAGAAAGTTTGGCAATGTCGTCTACGTCGCTGGAGGAGACCAAAAATGCCACGAAGGAAAACGCTGGAGGCGATGGAGGGGGGCAGTCCTCGACGGAACTCGACTTGGCTCTCTGAAGAGTGAAAAAAACGCCAGTGCAGATACGCTCAGGGGGTTTGGCATGGGAGCAGGGGAGGTTATGGGCATGGCTATTCAATGCGAGACAGTGACAACTGTTGTTGTAGAAGTACAGAGCGATGAGAAACATACGGACTCTGGAAGCACAATTGGCAGTGTAGCTAGTATGGCTACAACCAAGACCGCAAGAACTCGTTGAGGATCCTGTCGAGTAACAGGACTTGTAAAATGGCAAAAGGCTGCAAGCAATAGCATGCATTGGCTCGGGAAAATTGGCTTCTAAGATAGGAATGGGACTCTAGCGAAGGGACCGGAATGGGGCCGGCGGTTTAGATAGGAGTATTTGGGGCAATTTGGGTTCGGCCAGGTGTACGGTAGATATCACTGGCTCTGTATTTTCCTGGATAGGCTTGAGATGACCCCGTTGTGGGTCAGCTGGTCTGTGAATATGGTGTCTTGTTTTGGTAGCGTTATGTAGACTCACAATCTCGACAAATATCATGTTCAGACCAGATTCATTGTGAGTATGATTGATGCGAAGACTATATTACTAGGTAAAATTGCAGTCACATTTCACAATCGTGGTACACGCCTCTATTCACATTGATTGACTAGCCGTTGATGGCCTGCAATGTCTCAAACGAACCAGTCGGTAAGACATGTACCTCGAGCTATAGAAACTGTGCTGGAATGAGATGAATGTGAGACCTTTGGCTGGACGGCTTCAATTATCTAGTTTCCTTAATTAAGTGAAGTGCCTATAGCACCTGAGCCTTGTCCGACTGATAGCCCCTGGTCGTGATTCAACGAATATAGGTACTTTCGACAGACTTCCTACGATCAAACAAGCATGCCTGAGCTTAATGGGTTTAAACTTCCAAACAGACTGCCGTCGATCCTGTAGCACTGTTTGAGATTTTTTCTCCGGCAGATCTGGGACGTGATTACGGGCTAGGGTGACATTTCACTGCAAAAACGAATGGACTGGTAGATGAAACCAGTCGTAGCACACGGCTAGTTTGTCAAAGGCTGTCTCAATAAAGAATACATCTTCTAACATACTGCTGCTATTGGCTAGTACGGCATACTGATGAGCCTTGATATGGCTGGAATTCTTCATGTTGAACGAAATAATGAGTCGATTGTGATGATCGATCAGTATGGGCGACAGAGATATTGGAACAACTATTCGTAACATATATTGCAATATGACATTCGTTTTGTATCCATAATAAAGTCGAACTGATGTCTTGCTTATTCTGCTGAGGTCAATTCCTTTTTTTTTTTTATTCCCAGAGGGTGCAAGGCTAGCATCGTCGTCGCAGATCCATGAAGATCTGTCACATAGGGGTGTCAAAGCGGGCCACCACACGGCTGCAATAGAATGGTCCCTTTCGCGTGAAACGGCTGAGCTATGCACTCAGCTCATTAATATCGGATTTTTAGTGAACGTGAGAGCTGCGAGGGTATACCAGACAGGTGATGCTGACCACCACTAGGAAACGGCTGGCACCTGCCGCTTCATCGCTGAAATGGTCGCGGCGCAGTTTCAGAACGAAGATTCACTCATTAGGCGTGAGGACGGATGAAGCCTCGAGGCTGAAAAGTTGACGACGGCATTGGATCCAGAAAGCACCAGAACAGAACGACAGACAGTTCAAAGCCTTCACTATCATGTTGGAAGATAAGCTGTAGTACTAAGACAGCGGGACCTCATTTCCCGTCTTTGCACTCTCCTTGACAGCCTCGATAATCTTGAGAACTTCGGCAGATTGGCTCGCGGGTACCGGGACATCCTCTTCTTTGCCACTCGCGATCGATTGTGCGAGCAGCTCGTAAAATCTGAGGTATGTTTCAGGCTCGACGTTTGGATATGTCTTCTCATCAACGGAGCCATCGTCCTTGAGGATGCTTAGGCGGCCATTGAAAGCCGCAGTGTCCACGCCAAAACCGGGATCGGTCACAGCCTTGCTTCCCGATCTCAGTTGAGGCTCCTGAGTGTCCAAACCGGTCTTGTGATAGGTGCCTTTGCTGCCGCGGACCCAGAAGCGTGGCTGCTGGGACTCGACGCTGAGCACGCCAATACGGACGTGAACGAGGAGGCCCGTCTCGGCGTAGCTCAAGATCGCATTGATACTATCTGGCTCCTCTTCTGGGGTCTCGCCAGTCACCAGCTTGCCCTGGCGCTGGTCCACGAACTTGGCATATGCCGCGGTAGGCTTGCCAAAGAGTGCGAATACCTGGTCTATCAGATGTGTTCCTAGATCGTACAAAGCACCGCCTCCTTGTGCCATGGTCAACTCGCCCTTCCATGTGCCCGTCGGCTTGTCCGCGCGGTACCGGTCGAAATGAGTTTCGAATTCGTACACACGACCCAGCGTGTTCTGAGCGAGGAGTTTCTTGACGGTGAGGAAATCTGCATCCCAGCGCCGATTTTGGTAGACACAGAGCACTTTGCCCTTCTCTTTGGCCAATGCAGCTAGTTTCTCGGCCTCGCTGGAGGTTGGGACGAACGGCTTCTCGACGAGCACATGCTTGCCGTGCTCCAGAGCCTGGCTGGCGAAGGAAAAGTGTGTGTTGGGTGGCGTGGAGAGGACGACAAGATCGACTTCGGGGTCTTGGAGGAGCGGGTCAATGGATGTGTAATGCTTCAGCGAGGGATAGTCGTTTGGAGCCGAGTCGGTGGGTGAGGGCTTGCGCTGGACGATGGCGTAGAGGTTCAAGCCCTTGGTCAGCTTGATGAAGGGGATATGGAAGACCTTGGCCGAGAGACTGGAGACAAAGGGGCCACATGTTAGTATCTCGTGGTGGCCACTGTATGCTGAATGACTGCGCGCTCAAGATTCGCAATTGGAGGTGGCTACTTACCCATAGCCAATGATACCGACGTTGAATGTCTTGTCGGCAGCCATGTCGCAGTTGCGATCGCTGCTTATTCTCTAAGGTATTGATCCTTTTCTCTCTTCAGATTGGGTGTGACTTTTCAAGAAGCTCTCAGCAGGTATAAGGGCACTGGCAATTAACGGATCAAGTAATCGACGAAAGATTGATGCGAGAGCCAAGCCGACAGGATGTCTGAAGTTGGAGGAAGAGAGGCTCAATAAATAACCTTTCTTCGTAAGAGCCGCAGGAGCCACTGTAGCTCCTTACCTACCACCTACCCACCTAGCTAGTCATTCATTCCATTGCTTAGCTCCCCGTTTACCTATGGGTAGATACCTGCCTTTTCTTAGCTGCGGAGTGCATAGGCAATGTACCCTATTCTATCCTATCGGCTTCTTGGTGATGGATGCGGGCCGTTGAGCGAGCGCATCACGTCAGGAGACGGCGGCGCTGCTGGCGGGGTAAAGCACTGGCGAGATACTGGATACTAGGATGGAGCTGCTCCACCCCGGCGGTGGCTCGGGACTATTACTACGCAATATTGCCAGAACTGCCGCCACGCCTAGTCCCCTTTCAGTAGCATTAACAGTTGAGGCCTACGTGGGGCCGGCCGTCCGGCAACACCTCGATTTCCACCACATCACGAGCATCCTCTTGCAACCCGGACCTTCCTGATATGTCATCAAGTTGGATAAATCATGAGCGATAGAACTCTTCAGACGAAGACAGTATCATGACTCACCGGCATCAACTTGATCCTCGCACCATTCGAAAATCCCTTGAGCCGCTGTTCCCGGAGTTGATGGTTCTCATGTCCCTACCGTCACACTCCTCAGAAGACTGCATGAGATAGCCTAATCACATAAGAATACTGTTGGACTATCAATAGCTGAGTGGAAATCCCTCCAAATCTTGTAGCCTTCCGCGCTTCATTGTTCTAAGGATACGTTCTCTTCTATCGACACTATCTCGAGCCATCGTGTCGACAAAGCCAGACTGTACCTCTAGCTCAATTGCAATCCACCCAAGGCATCAAGTTTCTCGTCTTGTTTCCTTCGATTTATTTCTCTTGTATATAAGACTGCCATCACAACTGTGTAATACTTGTTATTGTGACGGACAAGATAACAGATAGCACTAAGTCTTACTGCGTATGCTACTATTGGTTTCCAGAGATTTTATACTCTGAAAACATTAAATAATAAAGATTGGTATATCGAGGTTTCTCCTTTCTGGAAACAAGGAGCATTCTTTCATCTGAACTACTGGTCAAACTACTTTTCTGCTCTTTATATACAACCTTTAGATTGGGTACTGTCGGTCATTGCTCGCTTCTCCCCGACGAAAATTTTTGCTGTTTGGACTAAATCAGCGCGAATACCACTGGATTGGTATACATTCTGTATTTGCTAAGAGTGTAGGAACCTTTCAATTTCTGAATAGTGGCCGAAGTTGAGGAGAATTCCTTGGAAATCGTCTTGTGAACCACTCTCGTGCTAACTCAATATTCGCAAGGATGATGCGAGATTGCTGATTTCCGGAGGTTAGTGTAGAGCCTGTACTTACCTGCTCGTATAGCATTTGCCAGGGTTTGACAGTTCCATAATCAACATTATCAAAGCCCTGCCAAAATCACGAAATATACTTGCGGTTCATTGCAAGGCATCAAAAAGAGGACTATTGATTGAGAACATTTTACTGTGTTAAATTGGGTACTGTGAAGAGAGAGACAATGGTATTATGTCTCATTGTGTATCTTATGGTGTATTGGACAGAGTGATCTGAGCTAAATCTGATCAAATAAATACTTGCGGTTCAGAATATAAGAAGTCATCATACATAAATTTCAAGTCTTTATAGACTTATGTCTCTCGAGATGCACGAAGGACAGTGACATCGACCGAAAGCCACGTCGGGGTTGCTCGTGAGACTGGTCCCCATCAGCCAATCAGAATCATGCTTTTGCTTGTTTTGTGTAACGTCAGCCACGACCTTCATAAACGGAGAGATCTGGTTTATGCTTCCAAAGCGGCTGAAAGAAGCTGTTGGGTGCTATCTACACACGTGAACCAGGGGAAAGGGCTCCACGTCTCTTATAATATAGCATGTGAAACAAAGATGTGCTGCGACGGGCGTAGGCGAATTCACCCACATGGCCTTGTGCTTTTTACGACTCAAGGCTCAACTCGCGTCAGGTCTAGCTTTCTTTTGAGGATGGGAGCTTGACTATGATAAGCGCACTGCGTAGGTGCATGGTGATTCAGCAAACAAATTTGCTACCCATTACTGAAGACAGGAAAGCCCGCCATAAGCAGGGATTGTATCAAAATATGCTTATCTCCAAAGACAGCATAAATACGGTATGCAATCCGCGCATGGAATCTTTGTCAATGATGACAGTGCAGTATCAGGACTTATCGCTTGGCGTAGAGGACGCAATAGCACGAAAAAATTCAAAATGTCTACGCACGTTCTGATCTCTAAAGGCTGCTTGCCGCTCGGCAGTAAAGCGACTTCATTTTAAGTCTTCTCTTCATAAACCTCACATACTCAGTTGCTTTGAAAACTACGTAGGTGGGAACTTGAGTAAGGGAAGTACAGTGAAGGCGAAATTGAGAGCTAGAAACAATAGTCAAAGCTCCGCTAAGCATCGCTGCGATTCGGCTGAGGGGATGAGTCGGTACACTATCGGATAGCTGTCAAACAAACATGAAGTGCGCCAAATCACCATTACATAAGTAGTCTATGCATCTTCAGGAGTAGCCGGAAGGAATGTTAAGCAGAATGTGTCAACCAGTATCAGCTTGTTATGTGGCGTAGGCTTGTTTACCTATTTGCGAACGAAAGTTGTGGCAACGTAATTGCCCCACGACACATCTTGGGATATGGTTCGGCATATGGTTCTTAAATCCTCGGCTATTTCCAGATCGGAGTTCGGCACAAGGTATGTTGAACTTGAGACGAGTTCCCAAGTTACAAGATACAAGATACAAGATACACGTGAGTTGGAGCGGGAGTCGGCCAGGCTTTCCGGGCAGGAGGTATGTTATTTGGACGCCTTATCACAGTCGAAGCTTCTCAGCGCTGAACTGTGATTACGAGTGGCGGGGGAAATGTTCCGTTATCATACCATCCCTATTGGTGTCTCTGTGCTCTAGGTGAAAGCTCAAAACGGTGTAGTAGCTTTTGGTGCGGATCTAGGAGAGGGAAATACACCACACACACCCCTCTCCTGAAACGTTGGTGTCAAATAATTGGCGCTTGTGGCGGGGGAGGACTGTCCAGCTTCTATTTTCAAAGAGAATTCATGTCTATCACGGAGGATGGCGTCATTTGACAGTAGGCTGACAAGTATAAGCCAATCACTCCAAGATACAGATGATCTTTAGCAATGATATTGGTCATGCACCTGTCTCGATCTAAAAAGCCGGTGAAGGTGATTACACGGACGCTATTCGTCTTAAGGACTTTGGGTATGAACGGCCTAAATCCTTGGGCAGAAAGGTCGAAGGCCTGAATGTACTTCACAGACCGTAGACGATGACTATTGCTTTCCGCATCAGAGTGTGAATCCTTTGATTATAGACAAAATCTGGAACATGATACATCAAACCTCCACATGGCGATTTGTGGCTATAGCTTCCTTCCAGGAAGTAGACTTTACTCTGATGGCTCAGCCATCAGACTTGAATATATTGTAAAATAAATTGTCACATATCGCTACAATACATTTAACTCCATCAGAAATTGTTGCCAGGTTTGATAGAAAGTACAGTGAACGTGAGACCAAGTTACATTGCCCAGAACGTCGAGTAGTTCTTGGGTAGGAATGGCGCAAAGAATGGAAGTATTGTATAGAATCATTGATGGAAAGCATGGTCGTGGAAGTCGTTCCTGGTCGAGTAAAACCAGTAAGGGGGAAATAGGAAGGAGCTGATCTGAGATTGGGCTCCAGAGTAGATGAGAATGAATGTAAAAGAGAAAGAGCCTCAAGAACCATCCTCATCACTATCTTCCAACAAAAAGGCTGCAGAGCCGGCAGTATATTTCGGCGCCCTGTACTCCTTTGTGGGAACAACGGGATAGTTTCGGTTGCACGATTTCAACATTTCATCGGTACCGTTGATTTTATCCCCATCGATGGAGCCAAAGGCGGCTTTCCAAGGTATCTTCATGCTCGCAGGTATCTTCCAGCCCAATTCCGTATTGTGTAGCCAAAGGCGGACAACGTGCCGGTTATTTTGAGCATCGTCGTCTTTGTATGCCTCGCGTCCATGAACCAGCGCCCAGTTATTAATGAACAGAATATCGCCTGGCTCAGCAGCAATCCTGACACAATGCTCTTCTGCGATTCCTGACAAAGTTTCCAGGGCATGAAGTTGAGGAAAGGTCAGTTCCGGAACTTTTCTGTTTGATTTTCCATCTTGATCGACTTTATTGGATTGTTGGTTGCCGAATCGTCCGGGGTCAAAGCTGAAGAGAATATGCCCATCGTGGTGTTGAATCAAAGGGGCTAGAATGTAGCGGGGTGGATTTCCAGAACTGATATCCGATCAGTCAGTTTCAAACCTATCGGAAAGGCTGTATGACCACAAGAAGAACTTACACCTGTATTGGCCAGTCAGGTTCAATGAGGGTCGCAAGGTGCTGTGGGTGATTTCGAAGTAGTTCGTTGTAAATCGTTGATGCTGACGCGAGCAAGGTTTCGCCGCCTTGCACGGCGCATTGTCGAAATTGCAGTGCTAGAATACTTGCTCCCATATCAGAGTGGAAGGGCTTGGTAGGTCTATGTCTCAGCTAACTTTTCTGTGCTTATTGGTTTGATTCTGACGCACCAAGTCCTTGTTGGTATGTATTCCATGCCGAAGCTCATAAGGAACCGTCCAATGATGCGAATCAACAACGTGTGCTACTTGCTTCAGACAAAATCCTCAAAGGAGAAGATGGCAACAAACTCAGCATGTCTCCCTTGCGATTTTGCACTCCCCGCTTATCTCCAATATAGCTAGATACTCCAAGGTAAACTAACAAGAGGTCTTCGACAGAGTATCGAGAAGGTGCAAGTCCCCGTAAGAGACAGAAACCTCTGCCATTGTGGATATCGACAGCCAATTGTCTCAGGGTGTTCTGAAGCGTGGGTAGCGGGAAAGTATTTCTGGAAATTTCGTCTCCGTCCAGCTCGAGCTCTGGGTCAGAGTTAACAAGGTACAATGCTGTCGGTTATTGGTGTTCAGCTAACGCTTGAATGCTTCGAGCGCATTATCCACTTCAACAACTTGATGCTGTTGGAGTTGGAGAATGTATGAATCGGGAGGAGAGATTTTACCGCTCCAGAGGAGTGAGTTGTCAGAAATTTCTGGGAGCCCACCAATGGACGCGGCTGTAGGCCTGTTGCCGTCTGCCCTGGCTCCAGTCATCGTTTCTATTTTTCAACTCTTCTGTTGTGCTGACACACTCAGGGCGTGGGGAAAGACAAGGAATCATGGCCAGAGAACCAGAATGGCGCCCAGCGTGTCGTGTTATAGATGGTCCAGCTGGACAACGGATCTGTGGCAAGAACCAGTCGCCCGAGGAGTCCACTGCTAGGTTTCATCCTAGCCAGTCCCGAAGCGCGAATACCACTGGAAATACAACGCAGCCTAGGTAAGTCGTACAACACTCCCAGAGATGGGTTGACACGCAATCAGAGAACTGGAAAGAGATAAGTAGCCCCGACAAGGAGCGATTGGTCGGGATCCACATGGTTCTTTCGTAGACGAGGGAGAAGTAAGCCTCAATCCAACATTATCCGCACCATTTCGGAGTCAGGCATCATTGGACGAGACGATCGATTGGAGATCAGACAGACAGAGGTCATATAGAAGTATGGTACGTTGCGCTTTGACTCGGAGTGGTTCGCTGCTGGCATGGCAGTGGATGTTGATTGGGACACGTTGGGTTGCGAGGTCACCATCGTGAGTCTCGAGTGTCAAGTTGTCACAAATTTTAGGCCCAATGAAGATCTTGCTCAAATCAATTGATACTGTTTCAAACAACTATAGCATATCTTGGAGTGCATTAGGAAACGTCAAGCCTGTCAATGATTTGCTCTGCCATGATTCGAGAATTGTGTGAGGCAAGTTGTCGAAAAGGGGGTGGAATACATCATACACCTGGGCACTAGAAGCGCTGACGTCGACCCCTATCTCATTCAAAGCCAGATTGTAATAGACAACACACATCAGCAGCACTAGCCACCTATGTAAAGGATTAGTTTGTGTCAAGTCACAAGGCCCCATCTCCTGAAGCAATAGTCGTTCATGAGCCACTCTGCGCTGTGGCCCAACACAGTTGCAGTATCATATCGAATGCATCAATCAATCTAGGTCCACCTGCACTCACTCACATCAGATGGCGAAAAGCACCTTACCCGGCAATGAGTGGAGCTCTACTCTGCCTTCCCGTCGGCCATGGTGCGTATTGGGTGGAAAAGGGCTTCCTGTCACCGGTCTCTTTCCTACGACGACTGGCCATACTGTCTGCAGGCCCTCGGCCACAATTGACGGCGTGGTGCTGTATGTCTTCTCCGGTCTCCACTCTGCGGCCTTGCGACTTTTCGGGTCTGGGTTGGTCATGGAAGTGCCTGACTTCCCGCGTGGTCTTCGTCATGGCCATATTGATTGGCCTGACCAGATGTGGATGGCATAGTCGACCTTTGTATCTTCTGGTGCGTGCAGGTGGCGCTGATACAGGCGGCCAAACGCGGATCGCAGCCCGTTGCGACTCTGCCCGCTCTAGTGCTGAAAGGGAACAGTGTGGATGCAAGTTCGTCCGGCAAGGTGTGGACAAGTCACCTATCATTTTCTAACCCTTGAAGCAGAGGACAGGATTGAAGCCGGTGAGTAGCCTCGTAGACCGGTAACAATTGGAAGGCCTGGACCTCCCAACCCCCAACATTTCGCGCATTCTCACCGGCTGAGCCCTTTACCGAACGGGGAGGGGTGGTTTGTGGCTCGGTGCTGCTGCTGCTTTCGAGTCCCATCGTTATCGTTGACGGGCGTCTCTGTCTCTCTCTCCCTTTCATCTTTTATCTCATCCATTGGTCCAGGGTCCAGATCCAGCAATCGATCCTGTGTCTGTGCAAATTGCGGTATAGCGGCGTGGGTGAGCACATATTGCTACTTCTGCTGCTGCGCCAGTCACGGTGCAGCGCGCGGGACGATCCCTGCGACTCACGCCCAGAGATCAAACGTCAACGCTACCGTGCTGCGCTGTACCACCACCGCCCGTTTCTCTCCTGGCACTGGTGATTAGCATATGTTTGCGATCTTGGGAGATACGGGCGATCGCTGCGAAGCAACGAACTACCGCTGGCCACGGCTCCCAGCAGCAGATGATCCCGGTACACCGTGGCTCGCTAGCCTTACCCTGCCCTGCCCGGCCTGCTGAGCCTGATGTGCCCAGTCCGATTTGCTGATCGCGGAAACGGGGACCTAGATCCAACGAACGGGGTACAGGCGCGGCAAAGCAGCATTGTGCCGCGGCGGGTGTGAACACATAGACATACACGGACCAGGTCTCGCTTGCTGTCAGACACAGACACACGCCCGCACGCACGCGCCACGTCGAGTTTTGAAGCCGGTCAGCCGCCCTGACACCACTCGACCCGGAGGAAGGGTACGCATTACTTGCTTTGTGCTGTGCTGTGCTGTGCCTTGTACACCCCGTGTTCTCGTTGGGAAATTGTATGTGCGGTGAGTCCAGGGTCGAGCAATCTATCGGCCGTTCATCGAATGATGATACGCTGAGCCCTCTGGTTGTCCTACCCACCGTTTACGTCCCCCGAAAATTAACTTCAGCAGACGTCACCATCGACGTACCGGGGCCCGGGATTTGCTCTCTCTCTGTTGGTGGCGGGTGTCCGTGATACCATAGATTAGGGTTAGCCGTTTCGTACGGGGGGGACGGTGAAGCCCCCGGGGCGGTCGTAGATGGACTTCATCAATGATGTTGCCGTAAGTGATATTAAGCTTTCCTCGTCCTCCCTCCTCCCATGCACCGCTTCTCCTTTCTTTATCAACCCCTCTCGAGAGGTATTTTCTTCGGTGAGGCAGGTCCATTGTGTCGACTGACTTGCTCACCGACACTCTCAGACGCAAAACCCTCTGGGTGCGAGTAAGAGGCACTTGCCTCACTCCTGCGCGGCAGACTTTCTCGGTGCAACCCCCATTGGGAGGGATGTCAAGAGGAGAAAGAAAGAGTCGGTAGACCGGAAGACCATTTCTCCCGCTCAGTCCAGACGTAGGCAGTACAAGAACTCCGAGAGTGTCGTTGCAAAGTTGGCCCAACACAGACCATCCACCGAGTATCCAGTCGAGGCTTTGAAGACAACATCAGAGCCTTCAGTCTTCCCTAACTTGTACACCGCTGCTCTGTCAGCCACTACAACGATACCAATCTCGGTCCCTCCGAATCAACTGTCTGCTGCTGGCACCACCACAAACCTTCTTGCTGGCGCTCAGAGCTCGCCGGGAAACACCTTCATGCAAGGACAGACCTTACTATCCGGCCAAACTACGACTGATCAGGGCAGAGACGTGACACCACGTAGCAACCTAGCCAACATAGCACCTGTGCCCAACCCCGCAGAAGAAGAGCGACAGGGTCTCAACCGCCACCTCGACCCAATATCTTCACAGACTTTTGCCTGGGCTTCCGGGCCAGAGACGTTGATACCGGTTGCATATGGTGTTGGAATCTTTGACACACTGAACGGTCACCCAGTTGACACCGGTTCCTCTCGCAGCCTGGCTTACCCGGCCGCTGATATCTATCCGGTGCAGGACCCTACTCGGCGCCAGCTGTCTCACGAATCAATTGGACTTTTGAGGTTTCCAGAGTATGCGTTGCTTGAACCTTGGTCACAGAATCAATCGATATCAGTGCTAGCACAGTCGTCCGGTGAAGCACAGGCCGATATGGCAATCACGCAGAGCTCGTTTCGTGTGACGGTCCCGGTCCAAACGGCCATGAGCCTGCGGCAGCCTCTCAGCAATGGGGATGTGGAAGATAACGAACGAACATATGATCGCAGCGATGCTGAGTACGTCATTGTTTCGGCAAATCCTACATTGCTTGGGAACCAAATGACAGGATCCCAGCCTGAGCAGGTTGAGGAGACACCTGATGTCACGAGTACCCAGTCTGCACACGCTGGTTTGGAGGTCAACACCTCGCCACAGGTTGACCCTTCTTGGGAAATCATTGTGCCAGGACAGGACTTGGATGACGATAACCTCGACGACGACGGTCAACCACAGCCCGATAGTCTTGATAAAGCCGAGGTTGTCGGGTCACTTGAAGACATAGACAATTCTGCCGCCGCCTGTAAGATGCCCAAGAGACGCCAGACCTTCAATGAAATAGATCGTCAAGAAACAAGCCGAACTCGCAATATCGGCGCTTGCCTCCGCTGTAAGATGCAGCGCATCCGTGTAAGTTGTGTCTGGTTAGATGGGATATTGATCGAGATATTGATGACTGAGCTAAATAGTGCAAGGAAAACCCAAATGACCCAGAAGGCCCTTGTCTCACTTGCGCGATGGTTTCGAAGACATCTAAGAAGGTGATTCATCGCGTGAGTTGCGTTCGCTACAAGCTGCAAGAGATAACTCTATATCGAACGAGCGGTCTTGGCATCACCAAGCGATGGGAGGGTGTGACCATGCGAGATGTCGATTTCACCGATGCTCCCGAACTTGATATTCGCTTCATTCAAATGGACCAGGGACTCTGCAGCGAGCCCATGGCATTCAGGGTCAGAAGGTTTGTACCTCAGCCAGGGGATGTGCTGTACCGGAAATGGCTTGACAAGAACGACCAAATTCATAAGATGGTTGAATTAGCACCCTATGCTCTCGCTGACATCCACGAGACGAAGGACATATTTGTCAAGTACATAGACAACCATGCATTCGAGTGTCTGCATCGATTCGTCAGCAATAGTCATACTGAGACTCTGGGAAATGCCCAAGATGTCATTCGGGACACGTACACCATGGCTTTGAGCCATTTTCAGTCACTTGGGGTAGGAGTTTCCGCCGCTCCCGCTATTGAGTTAAACTGACGTTTCTCTACGCCTAGGATAACCCGCAGCATAATGACGAGAAACTATTCTTGGCCAACTTGTTTAGGTTCTGGTTCGCCTTGCGTGAGTTCGACTCAGCCTCGGTCCATTTTCTCAACTAACTTGGTGTACAGGACATACAACGGGATCGTCCTGGATAGCGGGCCAGGAGCGACTTGGCATGATTCCGGTGCCCGATCCCAGCTACCCACCCCCTCTCAGGGGTAAAGTCTCAACGCCACGAATGATTATAGCTCAATTCGACAGTATCAACACCCAATTTGTACTTAGAACCCTTGCGAAGAAATTACTGGAGAAACTTGAGAAGTTCATGAAAACGAAGAACACCAATCGTTATCTTACGATCTTTGTATCGTGTTTCATCCTTCTCCACGAGATCTCCCACATGACGGGCGATCGATGGCGACACGGTCGAGACAACGGTGTTGAGGTAAGTCTTGCTTGTCTGCTGCTACCAAGCTAGTTGGGAGATGCTAAACCCTGTCAAGGGAGGGTATTCGTTGCCATCATTTGTTCGAGAACTGCAGGAGAGCGCCAACGTCATTCTCTTTCATTGGCATTATTATAAATCAGGCATTGACCCTTTGTCAATGGACTGGGATCAACGAGCCAAAACACCATTGGCGGACTTGTCCCAGGATGAGATAATGTTCCTCATCAACACGTGGCAGAGGATGAAGGACAGAGGTCAGTATTCCCCATGATAAAACATAGTATACTGATCAGGAGCTAACGTGATTATGCATTAACGTAGAAGAAACAATTCGGAACATGTGGAACAAGGGACTTCACTTTCATTCCCTCTACTTTGTTGCTCAGATGTTTGAGCAAAAGTGGTCGCCGAAGAAGACCTTTGCCGGATAATATTCAATAGAAGTTAACCAATTTTGGCAGAACTCGGCGTAATGTTACTAGACCGGCCGAAAACGCCTGATTACTCTCTCGAGTCGGTTGTTTGGGCATGCCTTTCCCTTTGCTGTAGCTTTTCAGCTACTATGACCTGATGTGGGCGTTTTGCTTTTATGTTTGAGGGTTCGTACCCCCACGAGATCCTCCAGAGACAATCATTTGAGGAACTTGATCTATTGTTGCTGGATTAAAAAGTTGTCTTTCGAATACTTTTTCGGAGGAGGTGGTGGCAATATCGGGTTGGCTTTCAGTTTGGCAGATGAGAGGAGGATAAGGCCGCCATAACAGCCCGTCCTAAGTCGGGCAGCCGCCCCCTAATAGTCGTCACAATAGTCTCTAGTCTTTTCTCTAAAGTGTGACACAAGCGAGACGCCTATCAGAGCCAGTGATCGTTGTTGCAACGCTATTCCACAGGCCCGCGTATCTTGGGACGAATCGGAGGGAAGCATGCTCGCCATCACATGCCTATTAGTGAATCGACAGCGTTGCCACGATAAACCCGCACCCGACTGGTCGAGCAACTTGACCGCCTCCATGGGGACGGCCTTTCAAAGTCGAATGTGTCGTAGCGCAAATTTTCTCACGCACATTTATTGCTTACGCCTGTTCCGTCAACATGTTGAACAAACCAACCAGCAGCAAGACATGGTTCTATTTCCTGATTTGATCGAAGTGCCGGAACTTATATCCGGATCGTCACAACTGATCAGTAAATAACCAAGGTTTGTCCTTGTAGATACAAAGCGTCTCGCTTCCATCGACACACGATCGAGATGTACACACTCAAATGGGCGCCTGTGATGTGGAGTAGGGAACAAAAGCCTAAAGCTGCCCTGAAAGGTTGTCAGACTTGGCGGTGAGCTGGCGAGTTAGCTGGAAGCGGAGACAGCAAATAATAAAACAGACTCGAGGTTGCTGAGAGAATACAGACTTTGCGAAGTCTCGCATAAACTAGTCCAGAAAGGGTTTGTCACGATCACTAGACTGGATCTACCATACTCGAGTAGTATGAAATAGCTGCACAAGGAGACTGTAAGCCTCTCAAAACCTCCACAAGCTCCCGGCTTCTTGACTATATCGACCAATGAGAGATTGATTATAATGGCAATACAAAGTCTTATACAAAAAAGAAATTTCCAAATTAGAGTCTTATACATAATACATTCTTTCATGCCCCAAACTACATCTACTAATTCATAAACTTACGAAGAAGCGGAATGAGTCAGGTTGTGGAGCAGGGCAATCAATTTAGTAGGTCTAGTTCTCAGTCTCGAGGTACGTGTTTGTGACGTCTGGGTGTTTAAATCTCGTCAAACACTGACACTCCGATATCACGCTCTCACGGAACCTTCAATTCAAGACTGTTCCTTGCGGCACCTAAGATCCTGGGAGCTTGGAGATCTGCCGTATTGTTCCATGGCGGATATAAACATAGGATTCTTTAAACGGGGGATTTATGTATTTACCCGCCAAATTTCCTATCGGCGCGCCGATAAGCATTTTGTGGGTAGTCCGGTCTTTTGTTAACCTGTCCTAAACTATTCACGGTGGTTGTGGACAGGACAGCTATCAAAGACCTGCCGCCGCAGCCTGAGCACCCATTTTCTCTACGACTGCACGAAATTGCCGATGCGAGCCATCTGACGCAAACTTCGCACGCATCTCTCGTTTCTTGGAAATATCCTGCTGCCGGAATCTCAACAAGCAAGTGGAGCAGCAGTCTACCTGCATCCCCTCGAAATGTCCGACCTCGACTCCTTCACACTCCTCCCGCTGAAGCTGGACCCGCAATCCAAAGCAGTGGGCAGTACCTCGTCCTCCCGCGCCCTCGAAGCCGAGCTCACCACCCTCAACCAGCTGCACCGCGCGCTGCTGGGCCTGGACGGCGGCGCCCCCGTGCCCCCGCCGCCCGTCCCCGTGAACCCCAAGCGCAGCGCCAACGTCGCCAAGCTCCGCGATAGCGGCAACGGCGAGTACCGCAAGGGCAAGTACGCCGAGGCGATCAAGTTCTACACACTGGGCCTGCAGATGGCGTTGACCCGGCCGCTGTGGGAGCCGCAGCAGCTGGTGCGCGAGGAGGTCGCCAGCCTGTACGCCAACCGCGCGCAGGCGCACATGGGCCTGCAGAGCTGGGCCGAGGGCGCCGTCGACGCCGAGGCCAGCGTGGAGGCGAAGAAGGTCGGCAATGCCAAGGCGTGGTGGCGTCGCGGAAAGTGCTTGTTGGAGATGGGCCGCCTGGAGGAGTCAAGAGAATGGGTAGGCAAGGGGCTCGAGATGGAAGGCGAGGAAGGCGAGCTGGTTGCGCTGCTGAAGGAGATTGAGGGCAAGATTGCCACCAAGGGCAAGACGGCGGCATGAGCATGCCACGATGGGGGAGCCAAGCAGCATACATATCATTGCAGTGCATCTATTGCAGCTATTGGGAAGCACCGAGAACCGTTGTTCTCCCGACAGGGTCACTTTTGAGAGCAGAAAAGGCGTATGGCGTCAATCCCTTTTAGTGTAAACTTGTTGCCGATATTCAGGAAGGGTAAACCAAAAATACTCATTCACAGAAAAGGATGGGACAAGCAAGTTGGTTCGGATTACCAATGTAAAACGTCAAGAAGACAATTCAGAAATCCTTCGGCCAACGATGCCTGTCTTGAGTGTCTCATTCAAAGTCGCAATATATGTCTAAACAGCCGTGCATGCTTGCTTCCCTATCATGTAATCATTCCACACTCTTCATCTCTCACTTGCCCACGGACAAGTCTTGCATCGCGCCTTTCAGATCGGTACAGGAAACATCAAGCAGCCCAAACGCCTTTCAGTGGAAGAGATCTGCGTATACCACCCATTTCGCTTGATTTCGAATATGGGCGTCGAACAGAACAGAATGATAGGCAGAAGAAACGCGACTGCCGGGTTGGAGGTATCATGTGAGTCGGTGGTGAGTGTTTGGTGGAGGATATATGGTGGACTGCGCGAAGAGAAATGAGCGGACCGGAATCAAGTCGAGGAGCACCCAGCTGCCAGCGTGTCCACGACAATGTACCGGTCGCTCTACTTCTGCCGAGGCATCCTTGCCAGCCCGACCGCCATTACAAGAGGAATGTCCTGCCCTGCCTAAACCTCTAGGCATGGGCCATCCATTTGTCGTTTCCATCAATCCTTAAGCCTTCTCCTTCTCCGACAGGTTCTTGGCACTGACAGTGCTGGAGGTGCGCTTGCGCATGACAGCATCCTGGCCGTGCATACGGCGGTCGAGGGCACGCTCCAGCTTGGCTCCGAGGGCCAGCTTGGACATGTTGGCACTCTTCTCCTCGCTCAACACCACTCGCTGCTGGGACAGAGCCTTGTTCTCCATGCGATCGAGGCCCTTCTCAATGTCTTGGATCTCGGCAGTTGCAGAGTCGGTGGTCTTGACGGTCGCAGCAAAGGAAGGAGCCATGCTGTAGGTGCTGTAGCGCACCGAGGTTCGTGTCTGTGGTGGTGAAGACATGGTCAGTCACTGGTGAGTATATGACCATGTGTTGCAAGAGGTGAGGTGGTGAGGAAAAGAAGGCAATGTCGGGCAATGCCGCTTTGTACAATAGACTGGTTACACACAAGAGTGTTGGAGAGAAAGGGAAAGAAAGGCCAGTCAAAGGGGGCAACAGAGGGAATTCCAGGGACAGCAGAGAGGAGAACAAGAGAGGTGACGTACAGAAGGCGCCATGATGGGGCGGGCGGAGTCTAGAGAGGCAGGCATCTTGACTTGCTTGGCCTGGCTTTTTCCTGACTTGGCTTGGAAATGAGTGCTCTGATAACGAGGTACCTGAAACTGGCCTCGGAAGGGGTGGACAAAAGCTGTCGTCTGTCTGGTGGTGGAGGGGCCTGGATGAGGCAGGGAAGTAGCTGGTTGACAGTCGTCAAGCGAAAGAAGGAGGAGAAAAGTTGTGAATCACAGAAGTGAGCGTGATCGGGCAGAAGTCAGAGAGAAGATCCCAACTGCCGGATGTTGTGTGTGGTGGTGGTGGTGGCAGCGGGAGTGGGTGAGGTCGACTGTAGAGGAATGGGGTTCTGTTCTGTTCGCTGCTTGTCGGCGCAGCAGTCACAGTGCCGTAGTTAGGCTCTGGCTCAGGTAAGGTACCTTATTAATGGTGATCGGCAAAGAAGGAGGAGCAGCAATCGAAGTGCAAGGTTCCTATAGACCCCGAATAGTGCAAATGGTGCAGTCTGGCCTTGCTGGCGTGGTAAGGATCACATCCAGATAGAGGAAAGGTGAGGAGGAGAGCGACGACGCTGGTGGATTTGGGGCCGGGGGTGATTTGGTAGGACTAACCAGGGAGAGCGGGTGCAGCCAGGCAGGCACCGTGGGCACTTTTTACGGCGGACGGACAATTGGCAGACAGCGGCTAGCAGTGGAATGAATGGCAGGTCGGGATCTAAAAGCTGACAGATGGCTTGTTTTGTGTCTCACCTATTTACTCGCTAATAAAAGAGACAAACAACCCTCTTCTACTTGAGCAGAGTACAGATAACAAGGACTCAGCAATTGTGAGGTGAGGTGATGGGATGTGATGGGATGTGATGGGATGGGATGTGAGGATGGAACATGAGGCAACGGGGGCGTCCTGATCTCTCACTCAACTCCCAGTTTCCTGTCTCAAAAGGCCTCTGAAGGCCAAAGAGACGCCTCCTTGTGCCTGGGGGATCAGCTGGGTCTGCATTAACCTCAAACACGAGCAGAGGGCGAGGACGCTGTCGATTGTTAGTGCTCTCTGCTAAACTCCTTAGGTAGGAGTGGCTTGTCTGTGTGGGACAAGGATCTTCTTATTTAGCAAGCTGATGGTTCCATTCCAGCCTGGCTGCTTTCTTAACACTGGCACATAGAATCTTTGCACATAGACTGATAAGGGACTAGGATCTCCTATAAATGTATGGGAGTATGGGAAACGGCCCCTGCTAGTGATGGACGGATAAACACCCAGAATATCCACACCACACGTTCTCTTCTAGCATAGTGCCCAAGTCGGTCGTTTCAATTGCACTCCCAATCCCCGGCCGTTTCTCCTGCTTCCCTGCTGTTAGGAAACATCGCCAACTCTGAGCCTCTCCACGCTGTCGTCATGGTTCTGAAGATCCCTTGAGCGTTATCTCTGTACCTTCGTTTTACAGTACTCTAGTGTGCATGATCGTTGGTCGGCTGGGCTCACACAGCTTCGAAGCATGACGGGCTGAACGAAGGGGCTCCCGTCTGTATCTGTCTGATCACACCTGGGAGCCACAGTCATCGCCAATCGCGGAGTACCCCCAAACTCCAACCTCTGGCAGTAAGCGTGCGGGTTATTCCGCCATGTAGATAGCTCAACCTTGCGGGCAAAGACACTCGAGACCGGGGGCCCATGAGATACGCAGTGTGCCATGCCACGAGGCATATGCATACTGAACGGATCGATAACCATAGACGAAAATTGGCCGAAAGATGCCTGCACCGCGGCCCTTGAAAACGACATGGCGCATCCATCTTGGCGTGTCTGACACATACTGCGTAGTATTCTCTCCGTCCCCCGTCCAGGGCTCGACATCATCAGTATGACACTCAATTCCTCCGGATCATACCTCTAGGATAGCCTTCACAAGCCTGACTTGAGGATAAGAAAGATAACGCCATACGTACGAGGTATGGTACAAATTGACCACACTCCTTTTGAGTCCCTTCTGTTTTGACTTTACTAAAGTTACCGTAGTGGCGGGAGAGACGCACGAGGGACGGCAGACGGGCGGAAGAGTAGGTCACCAGCTAAAATTTCATCAGCCCATGCCATGCCATGCGATGCGCTGCCCAGGTGGATGAAGCTAGGCTCGCTAGAGGAAGGGCCATGCAAGGGCGGCAAAATAGCTTCCCTGCGCTGCGTGCTTCACACGTGGCTCGAAGGTACCAATTGGGATCCCCTAGCGTACGGCCTGCAAAGTAGCGCTGCAGCCCGTCCGTCCGTCCGTCCGTCCCACCCGGGTCACCCACCTGCACCCACCATTCACAATCATCAAGCAGCCATTGATTGGCATCCGATCATGTCATGCGGCAGAGGTAGGTAGCCCAGTAGGTTGGGGGACAGTAGTGCATCCCATCGGTGATCGATTGCGTCCAGATATATCGCCAACACCAGACTGGTCATTTTGCGTGCGACATTCCAGGTTAGATACACCTCATTTCTGACGCAGAGGTTGCGCTGCCATCGGAGCTACGCCCGAAAGCACAAAACAGCCACGACGGGAGGCAGGATCTCGCGGTACTAAGGTAGGTGGCAAGGACACTTCAGTATAATAACTACTCCAAAAACGAGGACAAAAAATAACCGATAACATCCTGCTGGTTTGCATTCAATTCATTCTGTTCAACTCAACTCAATTCAGCTCTTCTAAAATGTGTTACACACCTTAAAATTACAGACCTGTTATACAGGTAAACAAATTCTCATCAGGCAAGTACGAACTTCTCGTCCTAATGCACACCTCCCTTCCTGATACCATGCACCTCGTGCTTTCCTTCAAGAAATCCACATCGGCTCTCCCACCCCTTCCTTCATGCCTTTGCTTTCATTTGTGGCTTTTTTTCTTGTGATGAGAAGACTTGCTCTTTTTGGCGCCATAATCAAGCTGAACATCGTACTGCGCTGAGCTCGAACTCTCTCCTTCTGCTGTCGCCGCTGCGGGCTGGGTCCCGTTTGAACGCCCGGCTCCTCTCCGATGAGAACTCGACCCGGACTTGTGCTTGTCTTTTCGGCCCGTGCCGCTTTTCCTGCTTTCATGATACTCTGGAGGAGGCCCCTTGGCGGATGCTGATGCCTGTCAGTATTTCCTGGTCATTCCTCAAGGTCACTATCATCAGAATCGGAACGGAAGTGCAGGAAGGGGCCTCACGGTCTCGAGTACAATTCTTGCAACACCCATGGTCACAGGTCTCAACAAGAGAGTACTCCTCGCTCATGTAATTCCTCTCCAGGACCGGCTGCTGCCGATTGAACGTGCACCACCCCTGTGTGTTTGGGCCTTGGAGACAATTGCAACAAATCCAACTCCCGCCCTTGGCCTTGAACTCGCAGTTCTGCAGAGGACACTCCGAGTTCGATGCCTGCGACACGGCAAAGGTAACGTTTGAACAAGGCGTCTCATATCCCGTCTCCAGGTCAATGAGCGCCGACGGACAGTAGTGCCATGTCACACTCTGGTGCGAGCAAGGATGGTGATGCGGGTGTCCATGGCACATTTTCGCGATCGGCGGCTTGCTCTCGCTGATGTCGAAGCAATTGTGATCTATATATTGGGAAATGCAATACCAACAGCCTGGCAGGGATAGTGATTGCCATTGCCATTGCTTTCTGCCGCGGATAATCAATATTTATATTCCTGGAGATGCGGTTTCGAACTTGTTGAAAGGTCGGTTATTCTGCTCCTCAGCTAACATCACCTTTTTCATGGCCACCCCTACAGCCATTGTCATCGCTGTCCATCCTTACCACGAAGCAATTTGATCTTGAGCATTCATTGGCCGTGTGTCATCGACATGGAGAGAGGAAATACGAGCCACCTCGACGGCAGTCAGTCTCATCACTTCTGGACCCAAGGCGCAAAGATCGGCATCAGTGCGACCTCATCGTTGTCTACTCCAAGAAAGGGGGTCTCGATGTGTTGAAGCTGACTGGTCTGTTGATCTGAGTACGAGATTGCCGCACGGCGTACCAGATGCTGCACATGCTGGTAGAGCACAACAGCCAAAAGTGTCCGCCCGTCCCCGTCGCCGCGGAACATGGACACTGTTCTTGGACCCGCCGCTAGGGGTCCTGTACTACATACAGGTGGAACATGAGTCGCGGTGTTGCAGCAAATTTGATCCATCCACAGCCCCATGGCAGCGTTGACTCAATATTCATCTTATCGCTAGAAATCCGACAACATGGTACTGGGAAACCTTTGGAAGGGACCAGTGCTCATCTTCGTCATGGTTTTACGAGTCTGACACATGACAATACTCAGCCCAGCCCCAGGTCAACTCGCTTGGGGCCAGTCTTGCCGCCTCATAAAAGGATCATGTTTCTCCACGTCTGCCCTCTTGAGCTCTTTCATCCCGAGATCCATCGGCCTGGGCCATTTTCTCTTGGGTAGCACAACGACGGACTCAATACACGCTTCGACCATTCACGACTCGACTCGCGAGATTAAGTTCCCTCCCCATTTCAGATAACCGGCATGCAGTATGCCGCTGAATCGGACCTGCGAATCTTGAGGACATTCCTCCAATCTTTGGTCACAAAGAAAGCCACCTCCACTGCTGAACGGATCAGTCCCATTGTCTGCCGCCGCAACTTTAGCAGATCCTTTCTCGACACTTTCACACACGACTAGGGCGAATTTAGGTCCGTTGATATTCAAGACATGAACTTCAAGCCATGCGATCTACCTCGCTTATTCGAATTGCAAACCAAGTCGTTCTCCTTTACCGGAACTTTGTGGGTGCCAACTCACTACGGAGAATCAGATGCTTGATTGAGTTGTCTAATACAAATCAACTTCTCAGGCCAGTCATCTTCAGATCTTTCAGTCGATGGCTGACAGCCAAAAAAAATTTGTTATTCACAAAGCCAAATGATTCACTAATATCGACTGCTCTTCGAGTCATTACAGACATATTGCATCCTCAGAAACCCCCTCCTGCTGCCTCGCATGTTCGGCAACAGATATGCTCGCACCGGACTTGATTCCCATCAATAATCATGATACAGCTACAGCGCCCTTGTTCATTCCATTCTTTTCCGCACCAGCAGCAGTTCCATAGCCTATTCTTCTCCTCGAATGGACATGGAGAGAGGTCGCATTTGGGCAGCAATGGAGACGAGGCTGCCATGGAAGGATCTCCCTGAAAACTTGGAGGCACAGGATAGGGTATTGACTGAGTCGTCAGGTTGCGGCAAGGCTGTCGCTTAGGCGGTATGGTGTTGCTTTGCGAGGCCGGTGGACGCTTTGACGATGTCGAACTAGATGCCTTCGTCTTAGTGTTGCTGCTACTCACTGCACCACCGTTGTTTCCGCTTCCAGCCCCCTTATTGGAGGCCTTGCTCAACGATTTTGTTGATGTTGGGGCCATCGGAGCATCTGCACAGTACACAATGTGCGTTCTGACATGCTCGCACGGCAGAGTGTATGTTGTTTGATGACACATATTTGGGCTTTCCGGTGCCTGTGAAAGGATATCGGGCCTACTTGTCTGTGTTTTAGTGCGGCTGGCTTCGACATAGGCAAGTTTTAGTCTTTGATCTCATAATGTTGCCTAGGAGGTGCCTCCCTCTCTTTATATATCTCGACATCACCTGACGACTCGGCCCCTTGTCTTCTGAAGGGCTGACGCTTCGATTTAGGTGTATACTATTCTTTGCCGCATCCGGTGGTGGAAAGCTCGAACCTGGAGAGTTCAATAGTCTGCCAGCTTGGTTTCCATTGGCTTTCTTACACAATCTTGATGTAAGCCTTACTGCTTGACTTGAAGGCTGGGAGCAAAGATGTAGTTCGTCTTGGCTAGAAGGTGTATGATCGGGACAACACGGCAACCATGGTCCCATAGGCCACCTGGAGCACGATCCGGTGGGCCACCCAATGTCGCACAGCACACGATTTATTATTACTTCAAGTACCCTATCGTCATGATAAACTAGCACTAAAATGGCAACGCGGAACGGGACAAATAAATAGTCTTACATCGTTTTACAGCTCCAGTCGAGCCCCTTGGCACCTTGTTTGACACACTCGAGCCCCTCCCCTGGGTCCTGTCGTGTCCCACAAGTCCCAGATCCTGCACCATTTATTGCTTCATATATTCTTTCTCCTCGCTAATCGATTCCGTATCACCATCATGTCTTTGACCCCGTATCGGAGCTGGAGATACCACATCGCCGCCTCTCAGCTGAAAAAAACCACTCAGATTGTCCCAATACACGCCAACAGCATGCGCACTTGCTTCCCATGATGAATGCCATCCCGTCGACAAATCACGTTAGACTTTTCTGCATCAAGCCCCTTCGGCGCTATTGTCTGGTCGACAATTCTGGCAGCAGACGTGATAGCAAAGGGCATCTGGGCTCCGTCGCATCGGGTGGTAGCAGGTAGCAAAGGTGTTGCCACCAAGATTGCACCTGCAGCAAATCCAAAACCCGTTCAGGTCCTCCAACCGGCAGACACCCGAATTACAATCTGGGCTTGCTAAGCAGCCACCACTCGCGCAGGGGTTATTGTAGTCGATACTTTGACTCTGGTCGAAGTTCATGTTCTGGCATGGCTGCTGCTGTCCCGACGCCGGATCCGTCGTCGCCGACCCGCAATAGCTAAAATGCACGACGAAGTCGATGTTCCTATTGCAGGGAGGGATATGATGGTGGTGAAGATAGAAGTAATTGCACATGATAGACCACCAGAGAGGTCGCTAGGAAACCTATAAAGATCGACACAGGCAGGGGTTATTGTGTGCGGGTATTTCCGCCTGGAAATGGGCGTTTGATACGTTTTGGTATTGCTTTTTCTCTCCAGTAGTGTGAGCTGACGTTTCTGGACAATGCTGAAGATATCTGTGGCTGAATCTGCAGAACGTCTAACGGTCTATCTGGCTCTACACAAAAAGAAAATAAAGCGTTACTGGTCTTTTGATTTGCAACGGGTAGCGATCTTTAAAGAGCAACTGCCACAATCTCAGCGCTTAGGCGAAAGACCAAATTCGACACACTGCGTTTCAAGACGTAGGGTTATGTCTTAAGAACCTGGTACTGATGCTTGCGGCCTATCAAATTCCTCGCACGTTGCTGTCTTGCCGTAATACCTCTTCAAACGACTGATTTAAGTTGAGTGTTTGTCGTAGAAAGTTCGAGCTCTGTCTTAGCAATGGTTCAAGCGAGATATTTTGTTGCGAGCTAGATAAGTGTGAGGAGCATGTTATTCCTGAGATCTGCAAGTAGCGAGCTGCAGTGTTCCTTTTATATAGCTTCCAGTGTCTGTCTTGGTGTCTATTCCTCACTCGATCCCACACTCTGCCCATGACTGATGTTCAAAATGGCAGTCATACCCGGTGTTCTCGAACCATCGCCACGCGGAACAGGAAGCATCTGGAGTCATTGCTCCGCACAAATTATGGGATCATAAGAGATGTCTTTTCGCAACAAACAACACTTAGCTTCAATATTTGCCCGCTATTGTCTAACGCACCCAAGAGAACCTTCCTTTTGTGTGCAATCCGACACATGGTATTTTCATGCGCACCGGCCTTCAGAGTGGGTAGGTATGTGGCCACAGTCGGGTCCCAGAGTAAGACAACCTGCGTCGCCGGGAGACACGGGGGTGAGACATCATGCTCCCTTTGGGAAAGTTTCCTCACAATGGAGCCCTTTTAACTCGTGGAAACCACTGTTGTGTTTGAGCGTTGGAACGAAGGATCGGTGGCTTTATAGAACGTCATTCACTGCTTATACATCAACGCATTTATTCTAAGTAGGAAACGAAGCCGTTTCTTGTTTTATGCTACCAGAGACTCAGCACGGGAATGAGTCCACCCTGCGCAATTTCGGGGATAGACAGTGAATAGAATAATATTTTATACTCAAGTCAGGTCCATACGGTGGCTCAGCATTCCTTTGATGCTTCAGGTTCGTTCGAGGTGAATGATATGGCGTATTGAGTGGTGGTAGGACACGTCGCAGTACCACAGCATATAAGGAATATCTTCCAATTGAACCACAAGATTATCATGTCAAGCTGGATAGAATTGTGGCCTGATTATTGCGATAGTCAAAGTGATACCTCATAGGTCCCTTTCGACGTGAGCAAAGATAGTGGGAACTGGGGGCGAAATTCCGACCAATGCCACTGCGGTGTTTTTCGAATTTCGCCTTGAATCTTAGACTCCTGCATGGTGGATGTAAAGGTTCTAGACCGGGACGTGGTTCAGTGTTACTTTCGGGCATACACACTGGAAAGAAACGTGGCAAACGCATGGTTGACAGGTGCAGCAACAAGCGCACCCGTACCAAAGAGGCATTGTGGGTAGCCATGATCACCCAATCACAGTCACTTTACCAAGTGAAGAGCGATCACAAGTGCTACAAAAGCTCATGATGTACCAAGAACTGCCTACCAAGGATGCAAAGGCGTTTGCTAGGGTGGTGGGACAGTGACTTATTGGAACACAAGGGGTTCCCAGCATCGGAATTATTGCCACGAGCTGATCCCGAAAAGGTTTCCTCTCCGATGTCTTGGACGATGATACAGAAGCCAGACTCCCTTGACGTTCATTGTTCAAAAGAATTTGAAGGTTAGAATTGGCGGACGATGGCTCTTATCCCCGGATTCTCTTACCATCGCGGCCCTTGGCGCAATATAAGCTGCATCTAGCCATGTACGGCGGGAAATACCTCCTTTTGTCTCAATTTATCCTCCCTTGGCGTCTTCTTAGTTGGGACGACCAGCCGGGGAATCATTCCGTGCAAGATCCAGATCGGATAGAACCAACTGCAATTTGACATTCGTTCAAATAAGGCTAAATATAGGCTGGCAGTATATATGTCCACTGACGCTTTCTTGAAAAGGGCTGAATATCGTATGGCTTCGGCGTCACCCAAACATCTTTGTCATCACTTCAAGAGATCCTTATTTTGACATCGCCATGAGATATCAAATAACCACGATTCTTGTGACGCTCATGGGTCTTAACCTGACGCCGTTCGCTGCACCTGAACCTCTTCAACGTCCTTGCGGATTCAAAATCGCACCGTGTCCTTCTAACTGGACTTGTTCTCGTCTCGAACCTGAATGCACTCGCGGCGAAAACTGCGCCGGCGTATGTGTGCCTGCGGTTGCGCCGTCGTCCACAAGCACCGTTGAGCCGATACCGACATCATACCAGAGCTGTGGGGGCCGTCGAATCCAACCCTTGGAGTGCCCCGAAAATCACATTTGCATGGATGATCCATACCGTTCTGGATGCGGTATGGCTTGTGATGCACCTGGAATATGTGTTCCACCAGTCGCTTGTGGGAGCAAGACTGGTGGCTTATGCACGAATGGCCGACAATGTGTGGATGACCCTCGAGATGATTGCTATCCTGACAGGGGGGGCAAAGACTGTTCTGGGGTCTGTGTTTAGTTGTACATAACCTAGAACCTTGCGATTTCTTCTGTGTCGCTCACAGCTTCACTATTTGTGCCTCACTTGCTTGAGGCAATGCGCAACATGTAGTGGTAGCAAAAAGCCTACTATTTCGTAAATAGATGGCACTGGATTTGCTAAGATTACTCAACCATGAACTCAACAACCACTTCCAAGGTTGGTATGCTTTCAGTTTTATCAAACTATTCTCATAATCGTTCTCATCGTCATGACTTATTCTGGGCTTTCTCTTTCTCGACCATCTTCTTGTATTCAACCCAATCGTCACTTCTGGGGAAAGGTGTGCCGGGGACTGGATATCCCAGGAATTCACACACCGGCGCCCATCCTTCTTTAGCTTGCCACTCTAGAAACTTCCGGCCCTTGCCTAGTGCTCTCACAGTATCATTATGCTCGTGAAAGAAGGTTCGTCCGGTTGCCTCGAAATCAGTTCCCCAGCACTTCTCGGTGTATAGACGTGAGAGGGCGGCCATGGGTGACGGGTCATCGGCCGGCCGCTTGGACTGCATATGAATGAGCGTGGACTCCATAGACGCATACCAGGCGTCTTCGGATCGGGTGGTGAGAATGATCGGTGCTTCCGGATAAGCGGCAACCAGTTCTTCGGGGAAGATGGCCGCGGGATAATCAGATACGCCCTGCATGATGGTGAGAACAAGAACCTAGCCATCGCAGCTCCTTGAAGTCGGACTCTGGATACTTACCTCAAAACCCGCCAATATCTGCTCAAATTGATCCCTGTTCCATGACTCCTGCGCGGGGTCAAACTTGGCATTTATGGCCTCTATCCAGAGGGCCTGATGTTTGTTCTTGCCCACTTCGCGCATATGGTAGATAGGAGAGATGCCAAGCTGGATGAGAGCATCCGCGAGCGCTATTAGACTAGGTATTAGTTTCCGGATCGCTCAAATGAGATTATTATTTACATTGAGTGCCGGTTCGAGGCAGGCCAAGAATGAGGACTTTCATATTGATTTGTTTGTTCACTTTGTGTTATGAGATGTAAGAGACTAGGTTATTAACTTGATGAACAATTAGCTTTATATTTCCAGCATCGCTCAAGTGTCGTTCGTGGTGGAGGTAGATGAGTGGTTGATGCGGAAATAAGCGGTAGGTGTGATGTGTGGGATCCGTAGAATTCCTGTAGCAGCCCCCGAACATTTTCGTTACCAAACTACCTGCCAACTTGAGGCAAGATTAGAGCCAAATACAAGGCTATCTAAGCCGTTTCAAAGATATCGTCACTCAGGTGACTCTTAATGCGGGCTTCTAGGGCGATAGCCCAGGACTCTTTGAAGCATTGAAACCACGGGGAAAGTCGGCCGGGTTGCTGCTTTATGAAGCTGAGCTGCGCCTGGGCATCCACTGCTTGACTTCTATATTTGGCACAGCTGGATTTTGATACAGAATGAAAGCAGAAACGACTTCATGCGTGCACTGTATTTCTGGGCCGTTGTCGATGATTTAAGTGCTCAATTCTTTTGGACTCTGTAGACATAACCTCTAGATCAGCAGCTTGTAACTCGGCACGTCTTCATTGTAACATATCATTTCGCCATGGTTTCTTTGAGAGCCTATTGAAATGCCAAACGCCGTATAGTTACAGAGCCTGCAACCGTTGATCCCCAGAACCCATCTGAACTCGACAAAAGAGCAGGCAAACCACTAGCATACCAATGAATGCGGCTATCCCCCACTGCCCCATGATTCGGTCCTGGACTTCGAAGTCCGATGTGCCACCATCATTTGTCCGATATGTTGAGGAAGCCGACGGGCGCTTGAACAACTCAGTCCTCCAGGTGTTCACCTTTGATGTCAACATCAATGCCCTCCCATACAGAGGGAGCATCTTTCTGATGGAGATCCCTAGATGACAAGCATCACCGAAAGCCCTCCCCATTTTCAAAGAGGGGACTTCATTCAATAATCCCTCCCTTCTTTCACAACGGATCACCGCGTTTCAGTACATGCCCATCGGAAACAAACGAATTATTCTTCGGTATTTCGAACACTCCGTACAATTCATCAATTCAACCGAAGGAGGTCTTGTTCAACAAAGGAGTCAAGTGGCTAGACATCTGGGAGGCAGATGACTGTCCCAGTCTGCAAACTTTCGCAGCTGATTCCCTTATTATCGCGCAGGAGATCGTCCAAGCTCATGTTGTGGTCCTTCGCAATTGCCCAGCAGGTGTCGCCCTGGCGAATGACATAGGGAACGCTGGGGTCTTCGCAGAGCGGCGCCTCGGGCGTCTGGCCGGCCATGATGTGCATGAACCAGAAGACGCCGAGGAGAAAGAGGCCGAGGATGAGGAAGAAGTTGAGAAGAGGCATCAGCTCCTGTCGCCAGGAGCGCGGCTGCTCGGAGCGAGCTGGGCTCGTGTATGGATTGAGGAAGGGCTGGCTGTCGGGAGCCTCCTCGTCGTAAGGAGGTGGCGGCTGGTCCGTGAGGCTGCCGGCATCATAATCATCGTCGTTGTGAGAGGGCAGTTTTGGGGCTTCGGCGACTCTTGTTAGATGGCCGTATCGGGCACCAGGAGGCCCTTCCCACAGGCTGCCATCGGAGTCGCGGTAGGTGTAGGTCTGGGTGTCGGCGTCATATCCCACGCGGCGCATGCCCTCGGGCAATCGTTCGTCATCGGAGTCGTAGGACGAGTAGCGGGGCATGATGCGGTCGGTCTTCTGGTTCTCGTACTCGAATGTGTCTGTTTCTTGTCTCGAATGAGGAGCACGGCTCGCTATTCCAAGTGTTATCGTAGATTTGTGTTTTTGTTTTTGTCTTTTCCGGGTGTGTTTGTAATGTTGAAGAAGTCAAGATTGTCATCGTATTGTGACCTGACAGCTGGAGTACTCTAACAGCGAAGACGTCACGCCAGTCTAGTCCAGTCCAGTCCAATCCAGTGGCGGCGGGCCGTCGTAGGTTGGTCCACTGAGGGGGCGCGTGTTCTAACGGTTTCACAGTGGAGCTGCGCCACAGGGGTAAGACGTTACAGTTGCAGCCCCAGCCAACACTCACTTTGACTGATGATGAACCAGGCAGCAACGAGACTCCTGACTATAGAGTACGCCTAAATACGAATACCTCTTCTCATTATCAAACATGACTTGAAAACATGCAACACTTGGTAATGACAAGGTCGGCACGCGACAGTCGAGAAGCAAATGAGTTCTAATATCTATCGAGTGAAGTATGGAGCAACTGGGGCCAGGTTGGATCAATTAGATATATGAGGCTTATCTATATATGTTCTGGTAGGTAGCGAGAGAAAACATTCTGTCGAAAGGAAGCTGTTTGTGATGAGTTCCTTAATAGTCTTCGTAGCCAATCGCACGCTGAGCACGCACAAACTGGATGTCAGCAAACATGGCAAGTGAGGCGCTGGGCTTCCCGCTCACGGCAGGGTCCGTTCCGAGCAGGTTTCCTGGGAACCCAACATCAAATGGTCTCACGCTCTCCAAGTGTTCGATTTGTTCTTTCGTGAGCTTGAGCTTCAGCCCCTGGATGTTGTCGTGCAAGTGTTCGACCTTGCGTCCACCGACCAGTGGGAAGACATAAGGCGCCTTGCTCATGACATACGCGAGAGCAACAGCCGTGACCGACTCGATGCCATGCTCCGCCGCGACCTTGGCAAGCGCCTCGCCCATCTTGGTCTCATCTTCGTTCTGATTTGGACCAAAGTAACTTCGAAGACGCTCGCCCCCTTCCTTCTTCTCTCCCAGTGACTTCTTGCTCTGGAATTTGCCGCCTCCAAGGACATCCCAGGGAGCAATCGCCATGCCGAACTGACGTGCCATTGGGATAATGTCCCGTTCCATGTCGCGGATCAGAGCATTCCAACGGCCCTGGTAGATGCAAAAGGGAGTCTTTCCGTGTTGTCTCGCATAGGTGTTCGCAGCGCTGACGATCCAGGCTGGAGTGTCGGAGATACCAAGGTAGAGAACCTTGCCTTGCTGCGAGCAGATATGTCAATAAGAACAATTAGATGTCTTCAAACTATTATGGACTCACCTGCACGACATTATGCAGACTGTCCATGACCTCCTCAATGGACGTAGTGTAATCCCACCAGTGCACATATAGGATATCGACCCAGTCCGTTTGGAGTTTGACTAGAGAGTCGCGGAGGCTCATGTGGAGGCATCGTTTGTGATTTCCACCATGGTTGGGCACCTGGAACATGTATTGTAAACAATTAAGCCTAGAGCGATGATCCTGTGTCGGTTCAAGTAATACCTTTCCTTTGCCCACCTTGTACGACTGGTAGTCGGTGGTGAATTTGGTCGCGATTATCATACGATCGCGGTTTTGTCGAGCCGCCATCCACTCGCCGATCCAGATTTCTGCTTCCTCGTCCTGATAGTTGCAAGCAGTGTCGATGAAGTTACCATCGGCCTCGAAATAGGCATCAAGAAGCTTGAAGGCCTGCTCCTTGTCCATGCTGCCCATGAAGGAGGACCAGGCCTGGCCGAGCGACATCGCCCCAAGTATCAGCGGTGAGACTCGAAGACCACATGTTGGGGAGAGAATACGATAAGACGCAAGCTCGCCCTTCGATCCTTTCTCTTCGGCGAGCATCGTGGTTGCTTTCAGGTACAAGGGATTTTCAAGATCAGGGATCACAAGATTCTTGCCTTACTGCGGCAGGATGAACTGGAGGCACCGCAGCACGCTGGCCCTGACGCAGCAGTCCCTTTTATATCTATCTCTAACTATGCCATTTCTACAACTACTGACGGAGTTCGCATGCCTAGTACGGAGACACCCTTGGTATGTAAATGTGCTTACGGGGCTTGGACAGCCGGGCAAGCTTCAAGGTGTCCGCCATTCCCTCCGTTTGATGTGGCCGATCCGGCCTACACATGAGAACTGTAGTTGTAAAAGGACCCCGACAAAGTGGGCCTTCGGGTGGCTGCGTTCCTCTCGGCGGAAGTTGTACTTTTGACAGAAGAAAAGGGGCCTTCTTGACGAATCATGTCTTGTATAGTCGAGTCCCACTCTGGCGTTCAGAATATTGGGTTTACCGGAATTAAGACTTCGGGGTCTAGAAGGACCCCGGAACGGCATTAAACGGGGGAAGTATCATTGAAAGGATAATATTGTGTTTAAAATATCCACTTTACAGACCAAGACTAGGCTATCCTAAAAAAGACAACATCCCATGAAGTTTGACTGAACAATTTGGTTCTCAAATCTATACCGTGAACCTGACCTACTAGGTGATTGCTCGATGGCCGGGAGCCTAATAAATGTATGGAGCATCATGAGATAGAATCCGTGTTTTAAAACAGTGTAGACATGTTCAAAGCGCCCTCACAGAGCATGAAAAAAAAAAAGTATTTGTTTGGCCAGTCATGGTGTTCATCCAAGCTCATTCTCGACAAGGTCAGTGATTTTGGTCCAAAGAAATGGAATCTCTAAAGAAACCCTTCTTTCATCATTAAGTACACTTCTGCTTGAGCCAGGTACATCGCCCACACTGCTTGCGATTGCTTTCCTTCTTGAATTTGCAGACGGGAAATAGCTCAGTAGCTTTGCATTTCCCACCAGCCCTTTGATGCTCAAAAGCCTTCGCACAATGTCCACAAGGCTTAGTAGCTTGCAAGCCATTGTCTTGAATATCATGCGCAGCCTTTTTCTCGGACTGGGTGCTGTTTGTTTGTTTCTTTTTCAACACTCGTGTCGTCCGTGAGCTTTGCGAACCTGAACTGTTGTGCTCTAGTTCGCAGGAGGTGGCGACTGTTCCTGCAAGGCGGTTTGTGGAGTTTAGATAGCCGCCGTCCTGTCGACTTGGTTTCGGAAGTTGTCTACCCAACTTTGGCACCTCTGTATCTTCGTCAAGCTCCAAGGTCGAAGAAGATCGCCGGGGATTTAAGTGATTGGCATGGTCTCGATTCACGACCGAAGGTGGTGTAGGCCGTGGAGTGAGAGAACCAGAATTTCGCAACTTGATTCGGCGAATTGGTGTTTTGTGAGCTTGGTTGACATCATCAGGCCGGTTCCCCATAGAATGGCTGGAACATCCATGGCTTTGTTGTCGATTAGCCTGATCGAGTCTTTCATTTTGTCGCATACTCGTCTCTGTGTGTTGCAAGTTGCGTTTCGCTTTCAAAATGAGGCGAGAAATATCACCCCCTTCACTTCTGTAGGCTGCAAGATGTAGCAGATCCAGTCCGTAGTCGTTGTCCCTCACAAGCAGTTGTGCAATTTGCTCGGCGATTTTTGCTCGAGGACAGTCTAAGCACACATCTTTGCACTTTTCTTGTGCCAGAGAACAAGTGCTATGACGTTGTGCCTCTTCAATCCAGTATTTATTGCATTCCATGGCTAATATTGAGTCTTGTGGTTGCTCTGCGGTCTTGAAGCTTTTTGGCGAGTGCGAAGTTTGAGCTGGTTCCTTGTGATGGTTTTCTCTCAAATAAAGAAGGAATAGTAGGATGGGGCTCAGTGGGTTTTGAGGGCAGCAATGCCGTATCGGAGATACCTCGAAGTTAGTTGATATGATTCTAATTTCAACTTTCGGAGAAAGCCTGAACCCTAAGTAAACAAAAATAGCCTGACTAAGACGTAGGTATTTCTGAATGCCCACAGAAGCTTAATCAGATTAATGAGGAAGGATGGCATGTTCCACGTAATCAATTGGTTAAGCGTGAGAGTAAAGTCTGTAGCAGCACAAAGTACGCTGTGCATTTTGCTACCAACCTTCCATCTCGATGTTGAACTTACTGTTATTAGTTTTGCCCTTGCAATCAATTCATCTATTGCTCTTAGGTGCCACTACTAACAGAGGTCTCTTGTATGATTGTTGAATTCAACTAAGTGTGCGTATACTATTGTCGCGTAAATACATACAATAATGCTTGAGGTATGATGCTCGCGTGTTGAAGAGGATGTCATTAAGGAATAGCAATAGTAGCAATTGACATACAGGGACTCGGTTTAACTAGACACAAGCACCAGCAATCCTAGAATACCGAGGCATAAAGAGAGGTCAGTCCTCAATGAGGAGCCTGCATCAGTGAATGCTTGAGTGTTGGTGGGTTTACTTGTTGCAATTGTTCCATTCGTCGGACTTGGTATGGTCCCCGTCCCTGTAGACCCTGCTTTGTTGGTGAAATTGGACTTGTTCACGTCGTTTTGTACAGATCCTGTTGCCGCAGCTGCGAGAAGGCTGGAAACGCTCGTATATGCCGGACGTCTAGACATGTTGGCATCGAACAGGCAAGCTTCCCCCGTGCCTGGAAATGTCCCTGGAATCCAGCTATATTTATCTGTGAATTCCCACACTACAACACCAACACATTTTGCTATTGCCAAGCAAGCGCCAACAACACTAACATAATCCATTGCCTGTTGCTCAAGAGCTGTGGATGAAGCAGGTAGCGATCTATGTCTGACATCGAGCTCTGTGAATGCTACTTCGACCCCCAGAGCTGTAAATCTGTTCAAGACTGTCATGAGCGCAGACTGCGGCGGTGTCTGACCAACGACCATGTGGCCTTGGAATCCTACGCCGTCGATTCTCAACCCAGCGTTTTGGACAAGCTTCACGATTTTCACTGCGCTATCGGTTTTGTTGCTGTTGAATTCGAGACTGAAATCATTGTAGTAAAGTTTGGCAGCTGGGTCGGCTTGTGCTGCTGCTTTGAATGAAATCGGAATGAAATCTGTGCCCATAGTCTCAAAGAAGACACTATTCCGAAAAGTGCCGTTATCTTCTAACGCCTCGTTGACAACATCCCAGCTGTAGCATTGGCCTGCGAAATGACCAACAACGTTCGCTATGTGCGATTGTATCGCGGCTGTGAGAGTCGCACGCGTCCACTTCCCTTGTTCAACTGTCCAACATTTTTAATACTTGCGAGCGCTTATTTTCTTGGGGGACCTACCAAAACTAGGAAGCTGTGAAAACCACGTCAAGGTATGGCACCGAAACATTTGGCTATTTGATTTGGCGAGAGTCGAGATCCGGGACGGATTTGTAAGTTGAAATATGCCTTGAGTCGGCTCTGTAGGCTGCCATTTCTGACTGTTTTCCGGCACCAAGAGTCCAAACTCGCTCTGATTATTTACTATTGCCATATATGCGGTATCATTGAAAAGGTTCGTGTCTGTTGCCGTTCCAAAGAACAGCTTGCCCGCTTTGACGGCCAAAGAGTGTAACCCTTCAGCAGACGCATGTGAGGGAACGCTGGCCAGCAGCCCAACGAGCACGAGTAAGTTGCTTCGCACCATTCTGGCAAGTATTTCCAGCGCCAGTAATGACGCGCTATTGTGCTCTTGCGTTATCTTGATCTAATAAGCGGAATCGATTGCTCAGCATCACTTTCAATACTATGACACGCCAACGACATACCAGACTGGGGTGATTGGTGGTTTTAATGGATTGGAATGCATAATTACTAGCATACCATTTCCTATAATTGGCGAATTTGCCGGCGAAGCCCTGAATCCGAGCGAGAATCCCTCACTGTTTCAGAAGCTTAACTTAGGTGCGGCTCTAGCGATCTAAAAACATTCCGACGAGCCATTCTTCAGACAAATCATCCAATTGGTGCTAGTGTTTGCGGCAAGTTGATGCTTGACAGATTACGGGGTAAAGTCTAACACGCGACGAGTATTCTTGTCTTCAGACGTTGTGATTCGCTAGATTGGGCTACAGTATGTCGGGTGTGATGATCAAACATCGGAATGTTAAGACAACATTATGCCCTTTCATCTGGTTGATAGACCACCACGTACCCTTGTGCGTTTCGGATATCCAGCCGAAATACGGGGATATTTTAGTGCGCAGAAAAAGTCGAGAAGCATTCTGTTTCAGGTGCAATGATGTTGAAAAGATGGCTCCTTTGGTTTTGCTAGTATAGATTCACACTTCAAATCCAGCGATGAGGACAAAAGTTTCACAGGTCTATCATTAATCTGACCAATGTGACCCTGTCTTGTTGCTATTCGCAAGTCAACTAAGCCATGACCGACATCGTAAGACAATGAACGAGAAATCTGGCGTTACTCACCCAAAACTTGGACCTCCGAGTTTTCTGGATATGTACCAGCATAACCTAGACAGTTTGCAATTGCAACAAGCAACTAAGGACAATACTGGTTGTGCTGGGCAAGTAGATATGAATATTAGGTGCTTCCTGTCGGCACCCGGCTCCGCCACTTTTTACAACCGCCTGTCAGCCACCTGGCCCCGGAACCAGGAGGTTCGAAATAACTGACACACCTACTAACAAGTTTTGGTGTGTCTACCACATATAAATGTTGGTGAATGTGTCAGTTATTTCGAGCCCCTATTTTGCCAGGTCGTGACACCACCCAGGTCATCCAAAGTGACTAGGTGAGCGTTGACTGAGCCTGAACCTGAAGATTTATTCAGATGTCTTGCCATCCGCTACTTATCTAGGCTCGTTATTACCTTTCGCCAACTGATGCCCTTATAGAATTATGTGAACGGTCATCACGGTCGCAACTGAGAGATCCAATAAAATGATCGACGGAATCAGCAGAGATGATGCATCCCAGCTACAGAAGGGGCTGGTCATGCCAGAAGTGCCAGGCGTCAAGCCACAATCTCAAGGTTGCCTGGGTCAACCTGAGTCCAAAGATCCAAGGCGATCGGATTGGGCCGCTAATTGGACGAGAGAGCCTCATCCAAGTGAGGGTCACCCTTGACCAGAAAGTCCATGCATGGAGGAATGACAGACCAATCATTGCACGCCCTGTTCCAGAAGTGCCACGACACGTGTCTACGAAGCATCTGCTGGCACCGGAGGTTCTTATGTGCAGCCTTCTTCATAAGGCCTGAGCCTTGCAGCCAATTCTCTCACAACCGCATTAGGCTCAACTATGCACCTTCTTGTTTGCACATCCTACAATGGCTCATGATTGGAAACTCTTTGAGCAGGACGTTATACGGCTCTACGTTGACGGAAACCAGACGGAAAGTAAAACTCGAGAGTACTTACAAGAGACGTATGGCCTCCGTGTCACGTAAGTCTCACTCATTATACTTCGAAGCCGTCTTTCTCGCTTCCGACGACTGAATTAAACTCAGATCAAAACAATTCAAGAGCAAGTTTGGTGGATTGAAAAACCTACGAGTAGATGAATGGAAGGCGGTTATTAAGGTACTTCGTCTTCGGCAAGCACAAGGGAAGGCTTCCGATGTCTACCTCTGCGGCCGAAAGCTGGACCCAGAGCGTATTGCACGAGAGATCCGCCGGCATTCAAAAGACTCGACAGACATTGGGGGGTTTGACCTTTCGAAAATAGGTATCTCATCGTTAATGAATGATCGCATGATTGACATTTGCAATTTGCTGACTATGTTCCAGACCTTGGGATCGACTCTCATGGACAACACAGAGTAGAAATCCGAACATCGGATGGGCTGAGTATCAATGAGCCTTTATCGAGGAGTCTCAATGTGTCCCACGACAGGAGGGACAACGGGCAAGTCTCTGCAGTACAGGATGCAGGCCTTGTACCAAGTCGAGCAGCGATTGAGGTCCCGTTGATCGAGCCGCTTGAAACTTTGGACTTAATGGACCTTGACGTCAACGCCGCCCCGCAAGCACACGAGCCAGACACCTTGCTCAATTTTTTCGACGGTCCGTTTCTGGACTGTGAATTCTCAGGGATAAACGGCTACCAAAGCCCGTCGGTCTTCCTCCGAGAAGATGGAGTTGTAAATGACTTACAGTACATGGCTTCACCATTAAGTCTGCAGGGTTTACCGTATCGAACGAAGGCCATCCATCCTCAAGACATTAATACAAGACATCCTCTTTCGCAGGCAATGGATAGATCTTTCCTGACAGTCGACCTCTCTACGACATATTTCGGGGGTAATGCAGGTATGTTTTCCAAGATGTTTTGCACGATCATCGCTTACAATAATGGCAGCTGTCGCTTCACTTATATTTGACACAGTACGCCCCTATAATTTTGTTAGCGAAAACCCTCTTCATCCTGCATCATGCCTCAACGGTAGGCCTAAACTTCGATGGGAGGCGAAAGGTTGTGTGATATCTCAATTAATGTGTGCGGACCCGCGGTTGGATACTCTCCGTGATATTGCCGACGTTGTTGAGTGCATGTTCGGGATTGCATCACGTGGCGCAATTCCGTCAAATGCTGCAGGAGCCCTTGCTCATCATAGTCCGCAGTCTTATCGTCAAATATTCGCAGTCGTGGCATACTTGGCTTCGAATAACCTCCTTTTGCAAGATCAACTACGACATTTTCTCGACTTTCTCCTGAAAAGTGGCCCGGATTGTGTCAAAGAGTTTCTTGACTTTTTAAAGATCAAGTCAGCCAATGTGTATTCGTTAGCAGTCGCAATATTGCAGAACAGTGTGCACTACATCTGTAAGAGTCGACGTTTTTATTCAGCTGATATATCGACGGAATTCCTTGATTCCTTACTCTCTACGAATCGTAGTGCAGTGTCAGGTCCCTTAGGGGGAAGGTTGCTTCACGAAGCGATTAGAAACGACGCGATCGACATCGTAGAGTTGCTGGTGACACGGGGTGCTGACCCTAATAGCTTCGAACAGCAAGAGGGGACGACCAAGTTCATAACAGCTTTACACCGTGCCGTTTTACGATCCCATGAACCTATCGTCCAGTGCCTTGTCAGTGCTGGCGCTGACATCAATACGCGGGTCAAGGTCGGACCGACAGAAGCTGAAGGCAACGCTATTACACTGGCCATCGAAAGTGTTGATGCAGGGATGCTGCGATGCTTACTAGAGCTTGGTGCTGAGATTGACGTCGACTTTCGCGTGGGCGATTACGGTATTCTGGAATTCGCAATGAGGACGTCAGCACATTTTTATGAGATCCTTTGCGGAAAACTAGCACCTGAAAACGTACCGGAGATCTTGCAACTGATTCAAGCGGCGGAAAAGGGAAACCGCATGCTATCACAAGTCCTCGGCGAGCGGAATCTTGTCCAACAAGAAATACTTGAGCGTGCCCTGTGTCAGGCCGTAAAGGTGGGCAACGTAGGGGCTGTCAGGACGCTGTTGTGGCGTGGCGTGGACCCCAACGCACCCTGCTGTCGCCTCAAGGAAAATGTTGTCGATGGAGATGACGATTGTCCTGAAGATGCGCGGCCACTCGTCAGTGTATTCATTCACCACTTGAAAGATGGGGATGTAGCCGAAGACATTGCCTATCTCTTGATCAAAGCTGGCGCCGAGGTGAATGATAGCATTCTGCATCGGATTCGCCAAAAATTCGCCGAATCAGGTGGTGATATCCTGGTCCGTACGTACACGCTTGAACCTCTCCTGGGCACTGGAAATGCTCTGGCCTTGCTTGGACCTACAGTATTAGCGGGGGATGCTGAACATGGATTGATTTACGAATGCGGAAATCTTCTCGACAGGGGCGTACCGATCAACGAATACGGAGTGGGACACCGAAGCGCTTTACAAGCAGCAGCGGGCAAGGGCCATCTCGCACTGGTGCAATTTCTGCTTGACCGAGGGGCGAATGTCAATCTTCCCGCGAGGGATGATGATGGGCTCACAGCGCTACAGGCTGCAGTCTTAGGAGGTCGCACAGAAGTCGTCGACACTCTGCTCGAAGCCGGAGCCGATGTCAGAGCGGCTCCAGCCAAGGAGTATGGCGTTACGGTACTGGAGGCTGCAGCCAGGGCTTGCGAGAGCCACGACCACCCCGACGCCGAATTGGAAGCCACGTTCCGGAAATTACTGGCACTGGGAGCCCCCGTCAATCGCCTGGATAGCCCCACCGGCACTGTCCTGCATCCTCTACTAGGCCAGAGATGGACTGACCTGCTGAAGCTCGCATTGCAGGCAGGCGCTCGACTGGAAGATCGAGACCCATCCAAACACATGGACACACCGCTCCAAGCCGCAGCACGCATCAGCAATACAGGAGCGATCCAACTTCTGCTCAACCACGGCGCTGATATTAACGCACTACCCGGTGATTGTTTCGGCCGCACTGCGCTTCAAGCGGCGACATCCACTCACAACCCCAGCCCTGTAACCGTCCAGTTTCTTCTGGAACATGGAGCAAATGTAAATGCAGAACCTGCTCAATTCGGTGGGGTCACCGCTTTGCAAGGCGCTGCCATCACGGGCAACTTGCACATTGTCGCAATGCTTCTGGAGCGCGGAGCAGATGTTCACGCCGCGGCAGCCCAAGCGGCAGGCCGCACCGCACTCGAAGGTGCAGCTGAACATGGGAGGCTGGGGGTTGTGCGGATGCTTCTAAGATCTGGCGCCAGGCCAGCAGACCCGCTCGTAGGTTTTGCAAAGGAGATTCAACTCGCCGAGAAAAATTGTCATCTCGCTATCGCAGACTTTCTCCGAGAATATTGGGATTCTTGTTGTGCGATGTTCTTTGAAGGATCATCTATGCTTCATCACCAGCCACCGGTACTAGTGGGTGAGCTGTTTCCCAATTCTGGGTTCTGATTGTCACGCATAGTGCTCTTGCAGACACTAGGCATGATACTGAGCTGTAACTGCTTTGTTAACTTGAGGCACGTCGACTGGACGATTATCTTTGTGAAGCTGAAGTTGTCGACGTTGAGCAAGTCTAAGGCGAACAATGTGTTGTTCTTAATCCACTTCTATGATCATATCCTGCCGAATTTAACTCAAAGCAAAGAGCTTGAGTATAGGATGACTTGATAGGGGGATAATGCTTCAGACGTAACGCCCGAGGGGCTGCCCGATTTCTGGCCGTGACACTAGGTAAGTTGCCTACTGCATTCAACTTGCCTCACTTTCTGTAATTGATCTAAGATTATATGATAGGTTTTGTTATTTTAGAGATCCTATGTCTATCCGACGGAAATAAAAGGCATCCAGGCAGATAGGTACATAAAACAGTACTCAAGCAGCTAGTACTCGAGACGAAAGTAAAAGAATTCCAAATAGAGGATAATTGAGTTGAGTTAGGAGACACTCGAAGGGTTCCGTTTTTGGCTTTTACGATAAGTCTACAGGGGTAACAGAACATGAATTCCAGACAGCCACACACCACACAAGTCAGAGGTGCAGCACTGGCCCAATCACGAAGAAGGAGGTGCTTCGCAATCAGACTCGTCTTTCATATTAAGCTGTTCTTCTTGATAGGCTTGCATGGTATCTGGTGCTCGTCTTGGGTAGAAACCTCAAATCAACAGACTTCTAAAAGATGGCTCAACTGAAATAAGTGCTGGCAGAGGGTTTTAAGAGGAGTGTTACCAAAAGTTAACTGACTTATCAAAACTAATCAAGATCTTTCCGATAGTTGCCTTTCATAATTTGATGTTCTATATGCGTTGCGATAAATAACACGCCCTTGGCGGAGAACTCACCCCTATTTATCCACTCAAGCCTTTGCTGGCAAAATACCCTGAGGGTAGTGGAAAACATCCTGTGGATCCACCGCAGCCTTGATTCTCTGCAACCTGCTCAAATGAGTTCCCCAATATACATTTTGTGCTGTAGTCTGGTCAAGGTTCGGGTCTGGGTAGTTGATGTATTGCCCCCAGCTACCAGTTTTCATTGTACTTGTCAAATTGGAGACAAAGTCTTGGACGAAAGGAAACCCAGTCGTTGGAAATGTGCCCTTGTCCACCCGGTCGTACCAGTTGATCATGTATAGATAGTCTCTGTGGGCGTATGCCGTCGCGTCAACTGACACGTTTGCAATGGCAGAAGTCTTGCCTCCATGGAAATCGAACTGTGCATACCAGTCCCGGGTGTTGGTCTTGCCGAGGGAGAACCAGTAGCTGACAAATCCTTGAATCTGCTCATCCGAGAGTGCTTGAGTATATAAGCTTGAGGAGTAGAAGGTCTCGTGCTGCCTAGGATATTAGTCTCATATCAATGGAAAGCAAGAGAGGTCTACCCACCATATCATAGGGATGTGTTTGGTTTAGAGAGATACCGTTTCCGAAATGACTCAGTTGGTCGGTCCAGCTCCCAGTCTGTGTGAGGGCCAAAGCCGAGCCAGTCTTATTGAGAAGCGATTGTAGGGCGGTCTGAAGGCCAGCTTTGTCTCCATAATACATCCCTTCCAAATTAGTGAACGATCGTTGCACGAAGAGACGCATGTTGAGCTCGTTGGGCATATCGTTCTCGACGTATTGCTGAATGGCCTTCAGTCCTGCTGCCGCTTTGTCCTGAGTCGCCCATCTAATGGGGGCGGCAAAAAAGGTCACTTGATCCGGGACCTGGAAAGTTTTGAATTTGAAGGAGGCCACAACTCCCATTGACGATCCAGCACCACGTATTGCCCAGAATAGCTCGGGATTCTCCGTCTCTGAGCAAGTTACGACCGTGGAGTTTGCTAGCACAACTGTTGCTTCAACCATCCAGTCCAAAGCCAGACCCTTGGTATGTGAGCTCACACCATATCCACCGTGAAGCGAATGTCCTCCGACTCCGACGCTGGGAGTAAAGATTAGCTCATTCTCCTTCTTATATTATGATTGTAGTCTATCATTACATACCCTGGACAAGTCCCATGGCTGAATGCTCTCTTCCCCTGAGCGTACAATTCTGCAGCAACATGGCCGAGTCTGGAACCGCCTTCTATTGTGGCAATCCCAGTTATGTTATTTAATACCACCTTGCTCATCCGGTCCATCTCGATTGTGAGGTGGCCGTCCTCGCCTCCCAGTCCGAACGAGGCGTAACTATGTCCACCACATTTTGGATTGGTCTTCACGCCAGCTCTAACAGCACAAGCAACTGCATCCTGAATGTGTTTGGTGGTTGTCGGCACAGCAATGGCGATCGGTTTGAATTGAAGGCGAAGGTTATAAGGGGCGACATCCTGTTTCCAGTCATCTGACCCTTGAGTATCGGTGGGTACACCCGCGTCTGTCAAGCAGTCGTCAAGCGCAGCGCGTTTATCGACTGCCAAACCAGTGGCAGTTATGGCCAAAGCTATTAAAGTAGCGAATATGGTGTGCATTGCGGCGTGATGCAGGTTGGAGAGAAATCTCACGACTTAAAAGCAAGGACTGCTCACCGTCTCGTGGACCTTAACGCGGGGAATCCGGGGGACGGCTCGCAATGATATGTTTGATTTGATCTTGTAAAAATCTAAAGCTCTGTCAAACAGCTTTAGCTGCCGAGGTCATAAGAGAGTACACTGAAGGAGTGGTCCCATAGCTACGTGCACATGATGAGCGATCGTGCGATTCTTAAACCATCCGCACGAGGGGTTAGCGTTCAACAGATGACTATGGTCTTACTTGCAAACAATGTCTATCCCTTAAATTATCTTCTTGGCAAAACGGACCTCCCTAGGGAACGTCGGAAGGGCCCGAGAAGGCGAGGGCGCACAGCAGATGCAGAAGTCCGTGGGTATCGCTGCTTGGCGTATATCCGCTCCCGGGCTTTCCCAGCCTTATTCCGTCTCACCAGCCGCGATATATCACCATAAGCGGAAAGGAGGAGCCATTTATGCTTAATAGTGAGGAACCGTGCTGTCGATCGTGCCATGAGCTTACCTGAGGGCGGGTCGTTCTAGTATAGGCTGTATCCAGACATATACCTCCCAGCGCCTTGATATGAACTCGTATAGCTGATTGGTTCAGTCAACTCTACAAGCAGAGGGAAGAAGTATTGTATTAGAGCCCATCCTCATCTTCGGGCCTTAAAAAACTACGCGTCTGGTAAGACATAACAGCTTCAAAGCTTCGTCCAGATGCCTGCGATTTAGGAGCTGTGCTAATTTAAATGGAAGTTTATGAGTACGTGTATGTACGTAGATCTCGAAGAGCGTAGCTGAAAACATGTGTTAATTATCATTACCAAATATCCCATCACAACTCTACTGAGCACAAAGCATGTTGATAACGAAAATGGGCAATTTGGTGACAATATGATATCTATTTCAAGAGACCGTCACTTTGTCGCAAGGACCTGTGAAGTCTTCATGCTGTAGAATGTTTCACATCTTTCTCTCTATCACCGGCTGGTCTCCGTATTTTCGATGTGAAACGACTTTTTGGCCAGGGTTAAAAAGACTAATCTATGAACTTGGAGCATTTTCTTGGGATAGTAATTGTGGAGAGACTCAATCAGGTTGGCGGGATAAAAGGGCGTTTTGCATTTAGCCACAGAACTGACCTGCAGGACCACTCAGCATGGCGGAGAGCCTTCCGCGGCATTGCCTGTTTAGGTATCGGATACTCTCACGGCAAAGTAACTTGCCTCAAGGACATCTACACCACGGCGGCTGCGTACAGGCGCCGGGAAATATCTCATTTGTATACCTGTTCAAGAGGTACTGTTACCTGTCATGAGATGCTATATGTAGCCAAGACCTGTGTTCTTCGATGGGCTTGATAAGGTGTACTACTTCCCTGTTCAGCTTTTTGTGGCTGAGTAAATCGGACACCGCCAAGATTACACCGTGAGTTATTGAAGATGAAGTTGGTTCGACCAAGCCTTTCGGCCTTGCTGTGGCTGTTACCAGGGGTATTCAGCTCGACGCTGATTGCGTCTCATTATAGCGGGACTCTATACACCTTGACCTTGACGACCACTGGCACTACGGGCACATTGGCAATCAAGTCGCAACTCAGGGCTGGCGGAAACATGCCGAGCTGGTTGACTCTTGATTCGGCAACGGGAAATTTATACGTTACTGATGAGACATCCTATGGAAGCCCAGTGTTGACCTCGTTATCAGTGGCAGCAGATGGGTCTCTCAAGGTGACCGGCACAGCAAGGACGCCGGGAGGTGAGATCCACAGTACGCTATACGGAGGTAGTGATGGACGAGGCTTCATTGCAGCTGCTGAATAGTAAGATGGATAGCCTACAGCCGACGAGCAACATGAACTGACTATGATAGTGATCCGTCCACCATCATTACCTATAAGCTTCCGTTGAGTTCTAGTTCGCAGACTCTTCAGAAGATGACCTTCACAATGTCAGGAAGAGGAACTGTTCCTTCCAGGCAAGACAAGCCGCATCCACACTCTACTTTCACCGACCCTACCGGCAAGTATCTGTTGAGCGCTGATCTCGGTGCGGATCTAGTTCGCATCTTCAGCATTGATGCAAGCACTGGAAACCTCAAGCAGTGCACCAACGCGCAGGCTGGAGCTGGAGATGGACCTCGCCACGGGGCTTGGTACACATTGCCGTCAGGAGGAAGTATGCTTTATCTTGTCAATGAGCTGGCCAACTCTGTTACTGCGTGGCAGGTCACCTATCCTGCAGACGGCTGTCTTACGCTCAAGAAGACACAATCTCTGTCAACCTATCCGGCTGGGAAATCTGCCCCTGCTGGTTCCAAAGCTGCTGAGGTTCACGTTTCCGGCAACTTCCTGTATGCTGCGAACCGGAACGACCAGTCCTTTGGCTCTCAGAAGGACTCGATGGCGACTTATTCGATTGATCCATCAACTGGTGCCATCGCTTTTGTTGAAGCGACTAATGCATACTCCTGGTTCCCCCGGACCTTTGCTATCAATAAGGCGGGTGACATGGTTGCCATCGGTGGTCAAACCTCGTCTAATGTTGCCATTGTGGCCAGGAATACAACATCTGGTCGGCTAGGTAGCCTGATTGCGAGCCTCTCGATCGCAACTCCCGGCACTGTCAATAATGAGGACGGCTTGAGTGCCGTTGTTTGGGATGAGTAGGTCTGGAGACAAGCCAAAAGTATCAGCTTAGTGGAAGAGTTGGCAAGACACCAGACATTCGTGCTGCATAAGAGTGAGACTACATGTATATAGATGCTTCAAAAATGCAATCAACAGATTACTATAAACAAAGTCAATGGTTTCAACTTGCACAGATAGATATTATCAAGGGTTGTAGACGAGTGGAAGACTTCGAATATGCAGATTTGCTCAATCGACAACCCCCTCCGAGAAGGATATTCGAAGGATGACGACCGGAGTTGTAAACACGATTCAGAGGCTGCTTTCATATCTGAGGAATGTTTGGAAACCAACTCTCACCAGTTGAATCACCCAAGCTATGCCAAGAAGCAGAAATAGGGGCTATTGGGTTGGCATTGCAAAGCCGGCCATGCCAAGAGGCACGAGTTGCGCCCTTGTGCTCCCTTCACCTTTACAAAAGCCAGTCTCTGAATAACGTTATACTTCAATAAAACATTATTCCAAGTGTGTAATTCAGTTCTGTGCACTTGAAGTCTAGGCTGTCATAGTGAGATTCTCGGTGACTGTTCACCCTGGTGTCTAGGATTGCGGGTGTGAAGAGGGAGTTGCCATAAAATTGGAGAGCCCCGAGCCTGCCGGAGAGGCCGGGCAGGTGCGGGTCGTTGCCACCTGTCAGGGAGCAGCAAATTGGAGTCGCGTAAGACGAAATGCATTGCGGCGTACCTAGGTAGGCTTGTTAGCGTGCGGCATGTACTATGCAGTAGGGAGAGAGAGGTAGACTGGGAGCCGTAGGTACATGTAGGTAGATCCACGATTATCTGGCTCCTGCAACACCAAACACTTAATTACCTTCCCTTTTCTCCGTGCAATCCGACAGTGAAGAACACCACCAAAACGACGACGGCATCAACGACTCCAGATAACCCCAGAGTGCCTCATCTCATCCCTCGATAGCGCTTAAGGAGACGTCTTGTCGGCGGCTTATCGCCCAGCGACCCTCAATCGTACGACTGCTTCGGACGCTTCGCCCTATCGCAACGCGTTTCCCACCACCGTGGCAGACTGGCAACGGGGCCATTGCGACGCTTCCCCGCAGACCTCTGACACGCTCGCCATTCCTCCATCTCGATAGGGGCCGACGTTGCCCACTCGAAACAGCCGCCATGGCTTCACTCAGATTGCCTGCTGGCCTCTCCAGCAGCTCTCAGTCCTCGAGACTGCGCGGCCTCCCTTCCGCTGCACTCTCAACATCCACAGCGTCGCTCTTGCTCGCTGTGCTATTCGTTCCCATGGCTTCCGCACACGACCATGCGACTGAAAACATACCGGAAGGGGAGGCTATTTCCGTAGACCCCATAGTACGTTGATGATTGCTGTTTCTGCCGCTGATCGACTTCGGCGGGAAGAATGGGTGTCTTTTTCTTGGCGACGATGCTAATGCTGCTGTTAATAGGACTCGACGCTATGGGCTCATATCTTTATCCAAATGCTGGCATTCGGGGTCTTATTCCCTTTGGGGATGGTTCTCGGGGTACGTTGATTGATGACAAGATACCTACAATACGGATTTATCGGAACTGACTTTTTTCTTTGGCAAACAGATTATCAAGAACAGGTGGCACGTTCCGTTACAAGTTGCTGCCTCGATCATCGCTCTACTCGGATATGCACTGGGCCACATGCACGGAGGCCGCGAATTTCTTCCTACGAACGTTCATTCTCGCTTCGCCGATATCTTGTACCTCGTAATGTTTGCACAGATTATCCTTGGTGTCTACTTGAAGCTTCATTTGGAGAAGGGTATACATGGCCGTATACGCCCGGTGATTCGGCTGCTTCATGGTATCAATGGAAAGGCATTCCCGCTGCTTTCTTGGGTGCAGATGCTCTTCGGCGGCATCACCACCCTAGGGTTTTGCCAGGGTGACCATCTCGGACAGTGTTTGGCTCACTTCATCATGGGCAGTGCTTTCATTGCCTACGGCGTTTTGCTCACCATTCTGCTCCTTGTTGGCCAACTCTGGCTGAAGCGCACTGGCAGGTCGCAAGAGTTCTTTGACAGTGTGGTCATTGCCGCGTGGGGTTGCGTTAACACCTTCACCGAGCACCGCTGGGGCACCGCTTGGGTCAAGAACGATTGGCAGCACACGACCATGGGAATTATCTGGTGGTGTGCTGGGTTGGCTGGAATTTGGCTTAGCCGAACCCGAGATGGCCGACCGCAGAGAAACTTCATTCCTGGCTTTGTTATTCTCTTGACCGGCTGGGCTATGTCTGCCCATCCCCAAGATCTAATGATCAGTGCCATGACCCACAAGATCTTCGGCTACACGTTGATGGCTGCTGGTCTTACTCGTATCATCGAGATTGCTTTCATCCTGAAGGACAAGAACGGTATTTCCGAGGATGGGACTGAAACCCATAGCTTCCAGTATATCCCCGTCTTCGTAAGTTCATCTGTTGTTGCTATCTTCACTTATCCATTCATGATCGCTAACGTATCTTCAGCTGCTGTATGCTTCTGGTTTCCTTTTCATGGGAGCCACCGAGGAACAAATGGCTCTTGTTGCCGGCTCCGGCATTGATGCTGTCGCTTACGTCCTCATCATCTACAGCCTGGCGTTCCTCCTCTTCCTCTTCGTCAATATGCTCATCAGCGTTTATGACCGCAACGCGAATGCCGAGCTCCTGGCTAAGAAGTCTGGTGGAAACCGCCCACGGCTCAATGGCCATGCTGTTGCCGATGAGCGGCAGGTACGGGATGCCGAAGAGTTCGAACTCGACGGCCTAATGACCGATGACGAGGACGAGGAGCATGCAGCGAGGCGGAAGCTGCTGAGAGACGACCTTGGTGAGGAGGAAATGGGCCTCATGAGCCCAAGCACTGTTGGCCGAAACAGTGACCGAGTAGCACCTTAAGAGTCACTCATGCTTGAACATTATTGTTAACTGGAGAAAGAAAACGGGCTTGGTTTGACCATGCGAAGAGGGGTATACTGTACATGCCGCACCAAATAGCGGTTGCTCGCATTTCTGCATCAGGGTTCGGTGTTTTGGGACCAGGCAAGGCATCATCATTTCATTATAGTACGAAGAAAATGTCTTCATCATCATCGCACGGTTACTTAGTAATCAATAGACCATATGTTCACTAGAAGAAGCATTGCTGGACATCATCATAGCTACCTAGATATCTCGATGACATCTCCTGTGGATTGATTGGCCAATCAGCCGTCACCTGTCCGCCAGCCAGAACCAGGCGCGAGTGCCCCACTTCACAAGCCAGAAAATCTTGGGCATTTGAAAGTGCCCCGCTAAAATTTACCTTCGTGGTGGGTAGGCGAAGCAGCACAAAATTGAAGAGGCTCGTTCAGAGAGCTCCAAGATCTAACATAACATATCTTCTTTAACCACTGCGTTACCTAGATCAATCACACCTTGGAGTATCAGTCAAGATGCCGTCAGTCAAGAACCCCAACACCGTGTCGCGAAACCGGCAAGTCGCCCGCGCCGCCAAAGCGAAGAAGGCCGCGCAGAAGAAATCGTCGGCTGGCAAGAAGTCACGAATCGAAAAGTCCGATGTACGACGCGGTGCGCGAGAAGGCATCCTGCCCACAAGTGGCCCTAGGGCAGCCCTGAGCTCCAAGAAGCAGAAGAAGCTCGAGAGGCAGCTCAAGTACGCTCTCAAGCGCAAGGAAGAGGCAGCGGCTGAGACGGAGATGCAGGGTTCGTTCTCCCCGATTTATGGATAACATTGAGTTGCTAGAAGACATGATTCTGACATATGTCTTTTATCCAGGTGCTGATACTGGCCGAGAGTCCAAGAAGGAGCTGAAGAAGCAGCGAGACGAGGCTATGGAGAGTCTGATGCAACTCGATCTATCCTGAAATGCGTTTTCCGTCTATAGCTCCTACCAATGACTCGACAGAAGGATTGAGCGCATCAACCCAACAAACGTCTTGCTCAATATAATACTGGAGAGCTAGGGCAACATGTTCTACGACGATCGCCGTTGACAACGGGCTGTGTCGCCAGCCAGCGAAAGACGAGAAAAAACCATGCCACCCTCCTTCAAACGAACATTCAAGAGGATGCCAACATACGATCGTCAAAGACTTGCGCTGGCAGTACACAATTCGCTTTGGTTATTGCCAGGTGGTGAATGGACCAAACACTACGGATTTATACGATCAAAAATAGAAGAGATCCAGCGTTGACGCTCTGCATGCAACAAGGAGCCCACAATGGAGAGGTTAACCAGAGCGCAACAAACACGAGCACTCTATGTCATTACATAGAGCACAAATTGACAATGAGCACCAAATTGACACAGTGCATTTTTCGTTACTTCCTATTGTGACAGTCTCGCAACCTTCGTCGCAACTTCGTCCTGAATCAGTGCTTCCTACTTTCATGTGAAAGGGGCCAAGAGCCGACATGACAGATACTTGTGGCTTTGCACTAGAAAAATATGGTCTTTATAGTGCTTTTTGAACGGATCTATAGATAGCAACCGGGATGTGGTTGGAAAGCTTGTGCAATTTGACATCCGTAGGTAACGGTTGAATATCCATCTGTCACTCCTGCTGAACCAGTGGCGTCTAAGCAGTCTCTCCTTTGCAGTTGAAAGCCCAAACCAGGTGGGCATTTGACGTAAGGTAGGGTTGCGGAAAACATTTCGCGAGAGGGCTTAAGCTCCTGTTGTCAACTTGCAGGGATCCCACCCAATCCGACCTCCCCCACATGGCTTCCGTCAATCAAGCATAGTTGAATCTGGGGTAGCAAGCAAGTCTCTTGTTGTATACCCTTAGAAGGTCGCCGAAGGAGTCGAAGCCTCCTTATTCCCCGAATCCATTCAGGGAGTCTGGAGAAAGTTTCGCGCAGGGGATAAACAAGACCGGGGCCTGTGAAGTCACAGCGTCCCACATATCGCAATGATCACCATATAAATCACCACACCACGCGTTGATTAGGCGTGGTCTCTGATTAGATAGTCATATCTCTGTATAGCGTGTCTAATAAATACAACCTAGGACATTGTTGATCAAGTAAGATCGACATCGCCCCGACAGCTCTGTCTGTGATACGCTTAAGTTGCATTTAAACCATCAGGCTCGGGATTCGTATTGGCTTCTGCAGCTGTTCAGTTGTCCGAAAGTTCAAAACCGAGTGTCTCATGGCTTCAAATCCAACTCCGGCCTCTAGGGACCAGGAACCTAGTGATCATGGTGATGCAAAGTTTGACCAGGAAGTGCATACACATGTTGAGAATGCCGGTTTCGACTCGCCTATCGGAGAGGAAGTCGCATATGGCAAGCTCAACAAGGAGACAATCCTGGCATGCCTGGTAAGTTTGCTATTCTGCCTTGCTAGGAGACATTGAAAGCTTACAGATTGCAGGCCATTGCCGGGCAAATCAACGCATATATCATGACGCTTCTCATTCCGTCGACCACTCTGCCTTATATCAATGCCGAACTAGGCCCGGATCCAAATTATACTTGGATCACAGTAACTTGGCAATTGGGTGCTTCCATCATTGTATCCATCGGCGGGCGGTTGTCGGATATTTTCGGCCGGCGTTACTTCATGATGACAGGAGCCATCATTTCTATTATTGGCTGTCTAGTTGGAGCTAATGGCAAGTCCATCAACATGATGATTGCCTCGGGGGCTCTTTTCGGTATTGGAAGTGGCTTTCAAGAACTTTGCTATGCCTGTGTCCAGGAGATGGTGCCTAATAAGTATCGAATGGCTGGTGTTGGCATGTTAGATGTCTTCCTTGCTATTGCTTTTGTCAGCCCCATTATCTCATACTCTTTTATTGCATATCAGCCATCGATCGGATGGCGAGGTGCGTACTGGTATATGTTCAGCTGGCATGTTGCCGCCTTCATCTTCTTGTTCTTCTTCTACAAGCCACCTGACTTCCGCATGAAGCATCGCAGTGATGGCAAGACCAAATTGCAGTTGCTCGCAGAGATCGACTATGTTGGCGTCTTCCTCTTCACGGCAGCTGGCACCCTATTTCTTCTCGGCGTCAACTTCGGCGGCCGCAAGTACGCTTGGTCCCACCCGGCGGTCATCGCACCGATCGTCGTTGGTCTGTGTTGCTTCATCATACTCGGCTTCTGGGAGACATATGCTACCTTGAAGTACCCCTTATTGCCACCAAAGCTCTTCAAGAAGGTCCGAGAGTTCGTTATGGTTATTGTCATCTGTTTCGTTGGCGGAATGCTCTACTACAGCATGAACGTTCTCTGGCCAAGACAGTCCCAATTATTCTTCGTACCCGCAGATCAACCGATCATGCGAGGCGTCTATGCTACCATATTCTCTTGCGGGACGTTCTGTGGTGGGCTGCTCATGGTGCTGGTCTGTTCTCGGCTTCATCATGAGAAATGGCAGTTGGTCTTCTTTATGGTTGCACAGACAGCACTAATCGGGTCGATGGCATCGGTTGGCATTCATGACAAGGCACAGGCGATCGTCACCGTTATCATTGGAGCCGCAATGATCACCCCACCGCAATTGGTATCATTTACCATGCTTTCATTCGGGCTGGATGATCAAAACGATATGTAAGTGCCGGAACTGGAAATCATGCAGATTGAAGAGTGCTAATGCGTGATGATAGCGGCGTTGCAGTTGGTCTGGCAGGAACATTCCGGCTTCTGGGTGGTGCTGTAGCCACGGCTATCTACACAGCGATTCTTACTTCTGGTTTCAACTCAGCCCTGCCGTCGGAGATGACAAAGGCAATAAACTCGTCAGGAGCGCCGTTTTCGAAGGAGTTGCTGGCTGCCTTGATCAAAACCGCTCAGACCAATACTGCTGCTGCATACAATGCTGTGACGGGTATAACCCCGGCCTTGGCTTCCTCAGCAGCCATAGCGACCAAGCTGGCTTATGTGCATGGTTTCAAGATTGTGTATCTTGTTGCCATAGCCTTCGGAGCAGCCGCCATTCTGGCATCATTATGCACGGTCAGCACCGACAGGAAGCTAAAGAACAACCAGCGGGCGGTCGTTCTCAAGAATGAGCTCAAAGGAAGTGACGAGGTGCTCTCCAAGGCCGTTTAAATGCAGCAAGGGTTGTCAGCCTTTAGTGCTTACCAGCCATAGATTAGAGTTATTCAACTTGCCAATCTCAAGTTGGTGTCATGCAGCCTTAATCATGTGCTCGCTATTGAAGGCCTGAAAGTTGTGTTCAAAAGAGGCTAGCCCAGTGCAACACGGCCATGAATCAATTGTGTACGAAACGTACATTGAATTGCCTATTACATTGGAAGGGATGTAAGAATTATGACACCTGCAACATTTGGTTTCTGTTCCGAATCGGCGGTACTCCTATACGACCGATGCAGAGAAGTAAGCAAGGCTATATTTGAGGTCACATTTCATGGCGACCAGTAGAAGAGTAGCCTGTATTGTCTCGGATGAGTCTAGCGCCGCTACCACGAACATGATTTGTAGATAGTTTCGATATCATATAGTGTAGCATGTAAGCTTCAGCCCTATAGGACGTGCCTCGGCGAGCTCGGGTCGTGCGGTTAGGGGGGCCTCATTGACGGATACGCCACTTAGATTGAGGGTGCGTATCAAATGAATAGCAAAAACAAAAGTGATTGGCGTGTGGATTCGACAAGCTTTCTTCCTACGGGGTGTTTGCCCAAAGAAGCCAGTTCAATCTTACTTCAGAGGTCGAAGGATTCTCAGGAATCAGTTTAGCTTATAGCTAACCGACGGGCCCGTGAGCTCGGAATTCCGCACTGATGTGATATGCTCTGAGAGACCGAGCAGTTCGGATAAGTTTCAGTGCACTTGCAGAAAGTGAGAGAATGTCTCCTTCATAAACTTATCTCTAACGTCAATGTATGCCTATCGAGTTGGGTATTATTGCACCTTAAAGACCAAAGAAAGATTCTAGACTCGGCCTCACCACACACGGCCCAAATGGTGTCAAGTAACGAGGCTGGGATAGCCCCCAGCACAGAACTCTCGGATAAAGAGTTAAACGAGAAGAAATCCGATCTAAGTCCTCAACCGCACACTGTGCATCAGCAATCTGGACCAGACGTTCAGGCATCAGGGGAGAACAATACTCAGCCTGGCACCGAATATCCGTCATCAGGATGGGAGAACCCGGCTTCAGGGTGTGAGTTGGATTCGATCGAAGACGCAACTCAGAAAGATCCTAGAGAGGGAATACCAGAGTGGAAATGGAAGGGGTCGGTATTTTTACTTTGCTTGATCGGCGCAGTCTATGGTGAGTATTGTTCCGCAGATTTCATCATGATTTCTGACTAGCTGTGGTACTTTTAGGATACGATATTAGTAATATGGCCAACATCCAAGCACCTGTATACGAGGCCATGGGGCATATCGAATTACTTCCTTGCGCCGTGCTCGCTTATTCTATGGCCAATTTCGCCGTTGTTTTGCTCATCAGGAAGATGACGGCGATATTTAACTTGCGGTATATCATGGTCATTGCGATTATCACCTTTACTGTCGGGTCTATTGTTTGTGGAGCGGCTCCAACAATGAACGCCATTATCATTGGACGCATACTTACTGGCTGGGGAACCTGTGCTGCATACCAACTGTGAGTAATGGTACTTATCATGTAATTTCCGTGGCTAACAGTGGTCTCCCAATGCTAGATGTATGTCGTATGCAGCAATATTTGGACGGCCGCATGAAGTTCCTATGATCATGGGATTTATCGGGGTATCCTACTCTATCGGTATAATCACTGGTCCAGTTATAGGAGGAGCGTTTGCTGAAAACCACAATGCAACCTGGCGATGGGTTAGTAAAGGCAAAACAGTAATACTAATAACAAGAACTAACGCAGAGGTTCATTTAGGCATTCTACATCAATGCTCCATATGCCGCCGTCCTTTTCGCGTTGTATATCTTCGTCCTACCCAACTACACAGCGCCAAGCAATGTCTCTGTCCTCACACGGCTCGCGCGTATCGACTGGGTCGGTTTTATACTTCACGCCAGCACTGTTGTTCTCTTCCCAATGGCTCTAACTTTTGGAGGTGTTGTGTGGGCATGGGATTCAGGTTCCACGATTGCGATTTGGGTTGTTTGGGGTGTCGCCCTAATCTCTTACATTGTGCAACAGTATTTCTGTCTTTTCACGACTGTTGAGGACCGGTTGTTCCCAGCCTACCTCCTCAAGAATAGAGTAGTGGCATTGGTTGCTCTAGCAAGTGCCACCGTCTTGTTAGCACATCCCGTTGCGCTATACTACCTTCCGCTCTTCTACGCCTTCGCCCGGGGTCATCATGCTTTAGCTTCAGCAGTCCGTCTTCTCCCTTATATCTGCGTTTGCATTGTAGCCTCATTGATATCTGGGGCTGCACTACGAAAGATCGGGCGCTTCAGCCTGTTCTTCTTGTTCTCCGGAGCGCTGTTTCTCGTCGGTGGTGTTCTGATGTCCAGAATCGATGAATATACCCCAGAGTCCACAGTCATGGGCTACTCTTCCTTGGTCGGCTTTGGGGTTGGGCTGACTTTGCCGCATGCTTTCACAATAGCTAACGCAGTTTTGCCTCGCCTCGACCATCGATTCGACGCCGCCGCAGTCATGGTGATAGCGCAATTGGGCACAACCAGCATCACTCTAGCAATAACTGGTGCCGTGTTTCAGAACGTCGGGTTCCGATTCTTGAAAGACGCTGTGAAGGAGTCTGGAACAACTAGGCCATTTACGGACGAAGAAATCCGAGGTGCACTTTCTGGTGTTATATCGAGCTTGTTCCACTCTGGGGACCCAAATCTGGCTGCCCTTGCAATCCATGCGGTTACCGACATCATCAGAAGGCTATTTTACATGATCGTCGCAGCCGGTGCCTTATGCATGCTGACATCGCTGTTCATGGGCTGGCAGAAGTTGAATTTCGATGTTGCTCCAAAGAAGGAGACGGATGCGGAGGCAGGTCTCGTGTGAGGGCTGCCTCATCATATGGACGATATTAACTGGATTTCGATGACCTTAACAATACTGTATGACTCGAACCTCTGACTTCAAGATGATAGATCTCCATTAATTGGATCTGGTGGAACAAAGAGCCTCCAGAGAAACGGCATATAATATAATACAAATGTGAAAAGTCTCTCGAACCCAGTTTTCGAACTGAACTCTGCTTCCTTTTGTCTCATTGACTCCCTTAGCAGCTAGTCCAAGCTTGACCTTGCCACCCATGGCAAGCCAGTACCCCATTGTTATTGTCGACAATAGTATCTGGTAAGAAATGGTAAGTGCTTAGCTAGAGAAGAGGAAGGGAAGTTGTGGAAAATACTTATGTCGAAGATGGCAGTTGGCCAAGTTGACGACACGCCACCGGTCCCGTCATTGCATTGACAATGTAGTAGGGTTGGTCCACTTATCAGTATACCGCCGCTTGTCTTTTCATTACTACATGCGGTACAAGAGTCTATGAAGTGAGGACTACATAACTTGTCAATTTCGAAGTTCAGACCTGATCTGTTGATGGGATACGGCATGGCTCACCCTTTTCCGGACGGATCGTCTTGCAAGGACCCATAGTTGTTTTTCAGGCAGTTGCTCAGGTCCAATCTGGTGCATTTTGTCTGACCAGTGATTGTCTTGCAGTTGGCTGTGACATATTTTCCGTCGATCTTAACCGAATTTGAGTCGCAGGAGGCGATGAAGTTATCTGCAACAACTCCAGAGGCAAGTATGAACACGAGAAAATTTGCAATTCGTCGGTTCATCTTAACTTCGCAGAATCGAAAGCCGATCTTGAGTCTAGATATGTCTCGTCGTGAATAATGCTTGCAATATCTATGCCGTAGTAACTCGAGTATCTATTATCGTAGAGCCTCCCACTCGCACGCCAGCTCACATATATAGGTATCCATGCTCCTGGGAAAAGACGGTGCTAGATGCGGGAGGAGGGGACTTCATCTCTCAATCAGACCGAATAACGTTGCAGTGACCGGGTAACCGATAACCTGATAAGAGTGCCCGTCGGTTCCGTTGAACTCGAAGTTCCAGAGCCGGACTAGATCCTATAAAGAGTCGGGACTAACGGGCTCCTTTGAGCCCTCGGCGGCGAAGACTGGCTAGCTAACGTCACAACACAGGCTTTCATTCAGCGGTGACATTTAGCCTTTAATATATGGAGATGCTAATTTTAGTCCACGGTCATCGTTGAAGACAGGATGGAAACGTGAATTTGCGGCCGGATAAATTGACAGTAAGAAGCCCAAGCTTCTTAGATCAGGAAGAGGACCGGAAACAATCATGTATATATTGCGAAGTGATGAAAACAAGGGGGAATACTCTTCGACGCATGTGAAGCGACTAGACTACCCTTGGTTTAATTAGTCAAGTTTCTTGCCATCTTACTCAAGCGTGATCTACTCAGGAACTCCTGAACAAATTGCAGCACTACGGTTCCGAAACTGCTTTATTGGCGTCATATGAATTACTAGCACTCACGTAGTTTTTGCATGCTGCCTTACAGGACCATAAACCCGGTTACTACATCACCAGAAATATTGGTCGCTTGTCATATCTTGGTTGAACATGTGTAGGACTATATTGGTATCATTCCACTCTATTCAAGGTTCCATATGACAAACTCCCCGAGAGAGATACATCTAAATGTGTTGCACTTTCCCAAAGCTGCTAGATGGTAACTCGGACAACACGAATGCAGGAATGTTTCAGACCCTCTTCCTATTGTAGTCGACGGGGTTGCTCGGCCAAACAAGAGCCTTCTCTCTAGTGTGCTGCGATTTCTGCCTCACCCACTGAACCACCGGTCGTCTTCGGGCCCTCGTAGCCCTTTCTCGCGCCCGCAAGCCACCAGCCACCCACCAAGATTGTCAGCCCACCCCATATCAGGCAAGCGTAGTTCATGCTCGTGGCGTCTGTAGGCAGATAAAACGGGAAAGAATAGATGACGAACCAGACGAGCATATACGCACACGCAATGCCGTTCACGGCGAATCCAATCCAGCCCTTCAGATGAAATGGGCCGTAGCGGATATTGCGGCGTCTCGTCAAGAGGTTGGGCAGGATTGCGGCGAGGAAAGAGCTGCTGGAGAGAAGGATGAAGGACCCGACAAAAGCGTTGAAAGCAGTCGTGCTGCCAACGTAGATGCAGCCAAGAACTGTAACGAGCACTGCAGTAATCAGGGTTGGGTATAATGGCATGTCTAACCGCTTGTTGACGCGGCCCAGAATCCCAGGTAGTGGTGTGGCACCATCGCGAGCCAGGGACCACAGAGTACGTCCGCAGGTGATGTATAGACCGATCATGCACAGTCCAATGCAGATCATGACGAGTGAGAGCAGACCTGTGGCGCCGGCTGCGCTGCCTGTGGCTTGTCGGTATATCTCAGCGATGGGATATGTTGCAGCGAAGACGGCGTCGTAGTCGTTGATGGAGTACATAACTGCAATGAGGTAGCAGAAGCCGGTAACAAATCCAATGCTCAGTTGCAAGGCCACGGCAATCGGAACATTTCGCTGTGGATACGGAATCTCCTCGGCCAGATGGGTAACAGCATCGACAGCACCCACACTATATGCACCGTTGAGCATGCCTGCGACGAATACAAATCCGTCGGGATAGCCCAGCTCTTGCGTCCAGTCACTCCATACGAAGTGATCTGGCGCGTGCGCCGGGCGGCCATCGTGACCGGGCATCGCAGCCACCACGATGATAGTGATGAAAAACCCAGCAAGGATGAAAAAGACGCCAGCCTTATTGAGCTGCGGCAGTGCCGAGTTGTAAAGGCACACAACAGCACATGCAAGCCAGGTCGAAAGGATGTATACGACGAAGACATGCCACGGCTTCGCCTCGAAACTCGGGTGATTGACAGCGTACATTTGAACAACAGTGTTCCCGCTGTGTTCCAAGTCAGTAAAATGCGATATTTTCAATCAACGTCCCGGCTTACAAGATTGATGCCATGCTTGCTCCTCCAAGTACCCAGGCCAGGTAATTCCACCACCCTGCAAAGAATCCAACGACGCGCCCCCATCGCTTGCCCGGTGTCACGGACGCCCAGTGATACACGCCGGCGGAGCTCGGAATGGCGCTCGACAGCTCGGCGATGGATGCGGCTACAAGCCAGTAGAAGACCGACACGGTGATGAACTCGTAGATGACACCCGGTGAGCCGCCATTGTAAATGGCTACGAGGATCGAGCCGCCGATGGCAGGCCACACATTGCCGACGACCAGACCGACGCCTGCCAAGGAGAGCAGATTGAAGTTTCGTGACAGCTCTTGAACGTGCCCAGACGCATTGATCAATGTGTCCTGAACAGCCCCATGGCCGCTTTCCTTGGACTGCGGCGCCTGTTCGGGATCAGGGCGACCAAGATGCTTCTCTGATTGCTCCGCCATTGTAGCTGAGGATTTTTGGTCGACGACTCCCGCTTCGAGGCTCATTCAAGTTTCCGAGTGGCGGACGCGGAGGCTTTTAAGACAACGAAGGGTGTGCATTGAGTCCACAATATCCAAAGACATGACACTCCAAGACGACGTAAACCGAGTTCGGATCCGCGCTACGAGGCCCCTGCAGCTGGGCATTCTGCAAGATAGGGAGGAGCCGATAACATAACTGCGCACTGTAACATCATGACCCCGATGTTACGCGGGGTCAACAGCGGACTGGATTGGTATTTTGGGACTAGGCCAGAGGACAAGCCTGCTCGGCAACTGATAAAGGCTGCTGTCGCGGCGATATCATTGGGTCAATTGGTGGCGGTTTGATAATGAATACTTGTGTGCTGTCAGATTGACTGATGGGGCTCCGTAATCGTAGATCTTTGGCTCTCTGCCACTGCCAGCTCCCGGCTCCCGCATGCATGCATGCTGCCCGCATTTACTATTTACTGTCAGAACAGCCCTGATTCGGTATCGAATGTTTCAATCAGCCAGACTCTAGTCTAGACTACAGTTCACATTGTCTTTAGGTCTTTCTTTCGTTGCCCTGCCTCCATTCGAAATCATCGGTGTGATGCTCGGAACTTGCATGCCTGTACTGTACTGTACTATACATAAGATGTATACATAAGATGATTTGAAGTGGATGCTGATAAGCAACCACTGCACTAGGCCCACTGAATCTGCCGAGGCACGATCACTAGCAAGGTTGTGGGCCTTACACAGCGACTCAATCACATAATAATTGAGGCATGGAATAAGGTAATAGGCCCTAATAAGCTAACATTAGTGCCTCTGGCTGGACTTGCCCAATGTGCTCTAATCAATCAAGCCCTCCACCTAACAGCATCACATACGTGCATAAGCGTGACAGAACCAAAGACTTACATATGCACCCCAGGGATTCTAGAAATCCAAAAAAGACCCCATCATATGTCGTTCCTGAGGTGTGCTTGGATTGATCGGCTGGAAGGCCACGTGGGTTCCTCTGTAGCAGGGGTTTACCGAGTTTGCAATTGGCTGTCTCGGGGGTGAATGCTCCCTCTAACTATGCTATACTATGGTAACAGTGGTGGAATTCACCCCAGAGCAAAACAACTCAATCTCCTCGAGGTGGTATATATTGAAAAGCCCTAGGCGGCGATAATGAATCTGGACATGAGAGTCACCAGGCAGCTGCTCTAAAAGCAGGCAGGCAACGTTGACACATTGTTCGCCATTTGCTTGATAGGTGCATTCCTTGAGGGGCATGAAACTGATCATCTTCGCCTCAAGCAAGTCGGTATCCAGATTATCCAGATGTATGTACGCCTCAAAGCTGTGATCACCAACGAGGATTTGATGATTCCCATTTTCCAGGTAATGGCATCGAGTCGTGAAGATGCTTGCCTCAAGCGCAATATACCCATCAAGGATGCCCACAGTCTTATCTGGTCCTCGAGTCGTGACGCTGACATCCAGAAGTTTGACGAGAATCTTCATGCTGCGAGACTTCCCGCCGGGCCTGATCGGCCCATCAACTGAAGCCCAAGACCAAGATGGCGCTTGATACACGGACGATCGTCGGGCTGAAGGTTTATACGCAGTCCAGTCCATAAATTCAAGCAAGCGTGACCTCCACCAGCCTGCAACGTATTCGTCGCCAGTCACCTCTTGAAACAATTTTGCAATACCTGACAAGGCGAACAGCTTGTCGGATGGTTTTGTTAGGGCGCACCGAGTATACCGCTTGACGAAGTCATTCCACAAGTTGAACAATTCGACAGACATCTGTCCCAGATTCTGACTCTTCTTAGCGGCGACATAATCCCATAAAGGGTCCATGTTCTTCTCGGCACAATACGAAGGAACTCCTAGGGGGAACCCCTCACATTTGTGTTCGGTCAAACACTCCCAGAGGATTTGGTGCTTTCCAAAGTAGAGAACACGAGGTGCTAGGATTCGTTCCTGGAAGGCCCAACCCCGTCTCTTCAGCGGCCCATCAACGTGCCGGTCCCAGTAGTCCTTCGCGAAGATGAAGTGATCTTGCGAATTGGCCAAAAATAATGAGGACTTCACCACGTTTGGTTGGATGACGTCCGGGTCTCGTAGGCGGAACAGACCTTCCTCCGGGCTGCTCGAGGCAATTGCAGCAATGTTACAGGCAGCGTTGGAATACACGTGTCTCATGGTTGGCGCCTGTGCTTGCCAGTCCGCTTCTGAATCTTGCAATATACATAGTGCGTCAATCCAGATATATCGAACAGAGAAAAGCCTCGCAATAGCGACCAGGTCTTTAAACATTTGAGGAAGGTCGCAAATTGGGGCACCAAGACGGAGCTTCGCCATGTTCGAAGACAGGAGAAGCAGACTTGGACTCACCCCCCACCGATAACTGAGCGTCAGGTACGGAGCCGACGGTGGCGAGATGTAGTCTTCAGAAGGAACACACAATCTCCAATTCTTATCCTCTTGTTGCCCAATGTCAATGAGCCGGGTAGGATGCCATCCGGCTTCAAGGCTTGTTGGTAATTTACATCGGGGATGAGAAGAACGACAGTCCTCATACCACCTTAAGGCCACTTCTAGTGTGGAATGCGAAGAGGTGCTAGGTTTGACATCTGAGATCTCAAAATGCGCCTTGTACTCGCTATCTGATACCCAACAGGTTAATAGTCAGTCAACTTTCAGGCCGGAATAGGTAAGTGGTCGGTATCGTGCAACAGGTAAATGGAGACACACCATCTGAGGGGATAAGACGGAACTCCTGCTCGGCCCACTCGCCGTTCAACGGGTTCTTGTAGAGAATATGAAGTTTGCTGATGTTTTCTACGCCTTTATCTTTATATGGTCGAAATATCATAGGCTCCCAAGATTCGGGCGCCATTTTCGACCATGCATCTTGATAGCTGCCACTCGAGTTCCATATGGTAGAACAAATGAAGCAATTTCGTTGGACTGCCGCCCGGAAACTTTCCAAGGTCTGCGTAGACTTTTTAATCGAGGCTGTCGGCACCGTGTTGTTTTCAGGACTCAGGATATCATCACAAGTTGGGCAGAGTCGTGTGGGATGCCCCATCTCCAATCATGTGTACGACAGAGAAGTTGACTGTGAGATACTCCGACAGAACAACAGTCTTCTAAAGTAACTGCGAGAGATGTCGGTGAGTATTCATCTTGTTGTGGTGCTCAGACAACTGGCCCACTTCTGTTAGGCACCCACCAATGGTGGACTGGGTAGGTACTAGTTTGAAACCCCATGTATACCATCACTACCCTGCTTGGAGTGCCAAATCGGAGACAGAGGCTTCAAGAGCCAAGACGGTCGACAGAAACAAAGTAAGAAGACATCAAACCAAGACATCTCGCAAGAAGAGTGGTGCTTGATCTGCGGTATCTAAGGATGAAGCTCTACTGGTAATCATGTTGGGCCTTATTTCTCGTAAGCAAAACTCTGTAGGACGTGTATAGCTAATCATGACTGAGTGAATGTTTCAAATCTGATCATAAAAGTTGTGTGGAATGCAAAGTCAAGTCACACTGCTACTATCAACATGAGATCTCATCAGGTCGATACTGTGCTTGAGACATGTGGGTTAAGGTCGCTTGAGGGGATCCAAAAGCATTCAATATATGATGAAATTTGCGTAAGCAGTAAAGAGTATAGTTGCTGGATGCTTGAATAAAGTACATAATTCAAACAGATTCATAGGATTATGAGTTGGTGAACATGAAGTGAGAATGTGGACATGTTTGCCAAAACCACCCAATATCAGTACAAACTCAGAAGACAACCAAATATTTTCTTTCTAAATACCAATGCCCTGCTCTCAGGTACCAGACAGACTCTTTCATGTATTCTGCCCACCTTTTTGTCCAAAAATTTAAGCTACCCATCCATGACGCCCTCCCCCAATTTCTGCCCCTAAGTCGTTCTGAGCTCACCAACCATCCATCATCACGACAACCCAGTACCTCCCAAGCAGTCTCATCGTCGAATCCCCATACAAGCGGCAATATGTGCGAGGGAAAGTTCTACAGCTTCGCCTGTGGCCATTGTCAGGAGGAGTGGAAGTACTGCCACAATGCCAAAGAGCTCAACCAGAATGGCATCGTCGTCAGAACCAACTCAGTCTCCACGCAGACGCCTACTCACAGAGACTCTTCCTCAGACTCATCTTCTTCAACGACCGACACTGTGCCTGTTGACCCCGCGTTGACTGCTGCATCATCTGAATCCCGAGGATCCTCCCTGTACATCGGGGAGTCGACCGACACCTTCTTCGAGCAGGGCTCACCCAAGCTCCCCTGTGTGAACGCCACAGTCGATCTCATCGAGAATGACGAAGAGATCAAATGCGAGAACCTAGAGTGCCGCATTCAGACATACCGCGAGCGCTGGACTTGCTGCGCCTGTGGCCACCAGATGAACTCCGAGGAGGCCTGCGCTGGTCGGATCCCGCGCCGTTGCAGACATCATGTTTGCGAGAACTGTCACTTCGCACGTGAGTATAGGCTTTCTCCTTTCAGGAGATAGAATTCTACTTCAAAGAAACGGGTCTAATTCTGGTGACAGCATTGCCGCCTGTCCCTACCTTCGATTCCCAGGTCAACAACTGGTCATGATTCTCGGCCAGCAAGTTCAGTTGTACCTGACGCAATTAGTGGCGCCACAATAAGGTACCAGTTTACTCGCAAACAATGAAGCAAATTTGTGGCTATTCTGGAAGTCGAGGGGTCAAAGTGGTTTACGCGAGGATGATATGGATGGCACCAGGGGAAGGGTAATTAATTGTCTCCCGTCTCAGATGGTACCTACAATTTTCGAAGTCACTGCTCGGAATCCGTTTGCTTGAACATGAACAGTCATTGATAATGATCCAGATATACAAACTTCGCACTGTTCTCTAGTTGCAAAATCTATTAGTGAAACAGCTATGATGGAAGGGCAATTTGAGACGGCAGGCTAATCTTTATTTCCCTGAGGAAAATGAGACCACCGCCCACTTCCCACTCCATGCCCATTTCCTCGCCCCCGAGTCTCCTCCACCTCCCTCCGTTTGCCGGATCTTTTCGTCTTCTCCAGGCTGGAGACCAACCACCACATCTGCCTTGCACGTACGCAGAGCGAGGACGTTCACCCCAGAGCCAGGTCCAAGCGGACCTATCGCCTCGACGAAAGGCGTGGTAGGATCCCATTGTACCTAATAAATTAGCCATGATGTTTGTCTGGGAGAGGATGCTATGTTGTGACTTACATCACCAGTGAGCTTCCTGTAATTGAGATCGCCTTTGAAGATGACAAGCTCGCTGGTCTGAAGGTCTGACAGCAGTTCCTTCTCCACGTGGGGCAAGCGCCAGTAGCTTCCAGGTTGGGTCCAGTACCTGTTCGGCCGCATAATGACTTGACCATTCGCATATAGCTGACCCCATTGTTGAAAGAGGAATGTCAATTCATCCGCTTCTTTCTCAGAAAGCGGCTCTGGCGTCTTGTTCTGCAGTTGTTCGTCCTCGGATGGTGTCTCGTAGAAGTGTTTCGGGCTAGCCAGAGCATTCAGGAGTGCAGCGAAGTCGCTCGGCAAGACATCACTGACAAACCACGGGATTGACTTGGGATGTAGTACGACCAGAGTAGCTAGTCCGGACGAAAGCAGGTAGCCGGCCAGGATCAAGTCAACGAAGAGCTCGAAGCCCGCATTGTCGAGCACAATGTCGACACGGCGTTCCTTCTTGCCCTCGGCCTTTGCCCTCTTTAGGATATCATAGGCGACTGGAAGATCATTGACTAAGATGTTCTTCTCTGCCGCTTTTCTTGCCTCCGAGCCTTGTAGTTTCTGAATGTCCTCATACGTGAGGTTTGTGAGCAGAGACAAATCAGTCGCATTGCCCCATAGACAAATCTCACACATCTCCATGAACAAAATCTTTTCCGCCTCTTCGTCGGATGTCTTGCCCTTGTTATCTTCTAATTGCTTGACTAGGTCCTTGTATCGAGCTGCGAGTTCGACGACGGCGGGTCGAGAGGAGCGGAAGGTCTTGATCTTCTGTCGGGCGAATACATCGTAGCCTTTCCAGTGGGTGGAGAGTGTGAAATAGGTGCTTATACGTCTATCCTCTGTTATTAGAAGAGCCTACATGAGACGGTGTTCCAGATACGGCCAGGCATACCTGAAGAGATAACATTCGCAGAACAACCAATTGACGTTCAACCAAGTCGGGTTGTTTCGTTGCTCTAGCTCAGCGTTATATATGGCTACGTCGGGATATCCGTCGTCTTGAATGGGCCTGTGTAGCTCTTGACATCAGCAATGGCTAAGGACTATGCGTGTAAGGTGGGAATAAGTCGGGCACACACGTTACGGCTCGATCATGTTGAACCTCGTACTTGAGACGGGCCAACTCCTCCACGATCTTCTTGCCCTCCTCTCGCTTGGGGGCATCGTCGCATTGAGAAACGGATCGGTATGTGTCATCTATGGCTTGTGTCTATAGGGCTAGAGGTCAACTCGAGAATGCATGTTGAGAAGGCTGGAGGCCAGCTTGACTGACAATGATGATGGGCCACCTCTCTCTACCCGTAGGCCAGCCGAACGAGTTCTTGTCCGCTGTGGAGTATCCAGCTGAGTGCACCAGTAAGTAAGCCTTCGAATTGAGTGTTGGAAATGCCTCCTACTCACGCAGCTTTGGATCGTACTCCATGGTGATGACGATTGTGTCCCTCTTGTCGCAAGGTGGCTTTGATGAAGTCAAAAAGTGTCGCAAAGATGGCGGGGCATCGCGGGGTTGTGTAGAGCTATTCTTATCGATAAGACTTTCACTGCACCTGATCCCTACTTGTAGCTACAGTCCCTCTAGGATTTGCACAATCTTCCGGTATCTCGTCCATGTTCAAAGATGAAAAGATGCTCTTGACTAAAGTGTTTCTGCCTTGTTATTTCCAATTGAAATCCCAGTGGTGATTCATTCGTTAACACCATGCAAGTGCCTATATACAACCCGGCTATCCTTCTTCTCTAAGCTCATCTGTTCAACCATTTCTGCGCCATGCTCCCAAACTTCTTCATTTTCGATTCTGAAGGCTGCCTTTGACCTGCTGGGGTCTGAGAGTGTAGAGGGGCAGAAGCCGGAGCGGGCGGCGGCTGATATGGGGCAGCTCCGGATGCTGGAGGCATTTGATCTCCGGCATATGCATTGTTGCCGCCTACGGCAACGATGAACACCTTTGGATCTCCAGCATTGACCTTCCCAGACTGGTCCGCTCCTCCGTCAGGCTGCACATCGTCATATGCGAAGGCATAACCCTTGCCATCCAGGTTATTCTCGTGCACGATTCTGCAATAGTGGTTCGTAGGATCTCGTTTGTAGAAGGTTGATGGATCTGACGGGTGGTCCTCGACGTCCACGATGGCGGATCGTTGGAAGGCAGCTGCCAAGCGCGGAATGATGGCATTGCGCGTCGGCGATGGACCGGTTGTGAATGGGCCACTGTTGCATCCGAAGACGTCGGCACTCGTCGGCTTCTGAAAGGGCTCGTCGGCAATGACCAACTCGTCCTTGTGGTTGACTGAGCCGGGAACAACTCCTGGGCCGGCTTGAGTGTTGATCTTCATCTGACATCGCCCATGGCTTGAGTGATACTTCTTCCAAACTTCCTCTATGAGAGGCTCGAAATAGCCATCGAAAGTGGCCCCGACCGCATTTCCATGTGTTGGGTTCAATGCACGCAAAGGAGGCTGTCCATCTCTCTGAACAATCAACTTATCCCACGGCCTGCTATCCTTCTGCGCCTGAGCTCGAAGACCGTCGCATATCCTGTCAAGTCCATCGGCAGTCATCCCGGACACATGCTGAACTGCACCGCCCGCAGTCTGCAGAGTAAGGGCAATGGGCAGCCGGGAGACAAAGTCGACATAGCTGATATTGGCAAAGAGTTGGTCACTGTTGAGCGTGAACTCTGCAAACCCGAAGTTCACATTGGCGTTCGGATCCGTCGGATTGAGCACCGAGGGCTCGACCAGTGCTGGACCAGGGTTCAACAAGAACGTCAGCTTACCATCACAGCTGAACCATATACGTCCGCCTGCCATCTGCGGAATGTGGACAGTCACAGTGTTCCCTGGCTGACCGAGAGGAATGGCGCAGTCCTCCGTCAGGGGCGAGCCGATAGCCGGAGGGTTCTGTGGAAAATACAAGCCCTTCCCATCTGCCTTCAGCAACACTCGCTGGCCATTGTGTTGCAGGCCAATGCCAGTGATATACGCATAGACCTCACTTGAATTGGTTTGGTTTTGAAGCTGGATATCGAGCGAGTTCGGCATTGTTGCTCTGAAGCGCAAACGCAAGGCGCTGAAATTATAAATCAATCGAGTCAATATTGTATCAGCGGTTTAAAACGGATTGAGGAGCTTCGTATAACCTTGAATAAATCCTCGGCAAGAACTTTCATGATCATACTTCATGATGCCTACAAATTTGTTTATCTACGAGGACGCAGATATCTTGACATCTCTTGTGGCGTTATTGATGGTCTGCGCCACTAACGCAAACCTGATCCGGGAAGAGAGCTCGGGGTCACCCGCAAAACTGGGAATCTTGGCAGCGACCAACACCCACATTCAGCCACAATTACCACACGCAACCCATCGACCTCTCGACTTGAGCATTTTAGTAGGCATGTTGCGCTTGGAGAAGAATCAATGAGAAGAGTAGGACGAGCCTTTTCAGGAAGGCCTTAGTCGAGAGAGAGAGCTCAAGCAGCTGGGGTGATATACCAACGCTGCAAGGGAGACACTAGGGGCAGCGAAACGAGAATTACCCAAGCCAATTTTCAACAACTTGCGATCATGCTTCGGCCACCAGGATGTTGTGCCATTGATACCTGCAATTGCAACTGAAGATCGTCACTGAGTGCATGCATTGTAATCGCAAGGACTGCGAAAGCGAGGCTCTCCAAACTTGTGTCCTCGCTCATATGCAGGCAAAACATTCGACTATACTGGTTGGAACAATTGCGAAAACAATGCTCAACAGCATTGATGACAGTCTGGATTGCGGGATTCTCCAGTGAATCGCCAGAGACCATACTCGATTTGTTCAGCAAGCGAGGCAACTTGAAATCGCATCGATATCTCTGTTCTCTGTCCAACATCAGTCATGCCTAACATTTGCGAATGCCATGCCCACGCCAACTCAGCTCATGGGGAAGGTGGTACGATGGGGCCAGGTCAAGAGATCAATGGATCCATTACAGGCCGTCTTGGCGCCTTGGCCTCAACATCAACAACCTGGGGAGATGGATTGTGCTTGACGCCAGCCTGGTTTCGAGGAAAATGACAGAGCCTTCAGCTGCGACATTTTTGTTTCGACTCAAGCAGCACAAGCACATCGGTGAGTGACCTGGCGGAGACCTGTATCGCCCTGCTTATTTCGTTTTCTCGAAAATTCGATGAAGCTAATGTCTTCAGCGGGTCTGAGAATCTCGCAGCATCTCCGCATGCTGAAAACTGTTCTCGCCTTGCCTCACCCCGTCTTGTCTCGTTCGGAGTGTGCGCCAAATCACCATGGTTGGTGATAAGACCTATGCCTCATTTATGCCCTTAGCAAGCCTCGAAATGCGAGATAAGAAATTCCTTCTTCATGACGGCGAATGCTCATAATTTGTACATCCCCTATCCTGATAGTCGAGATATGGGACTTCCTAATTGTGATGTCGCCCGGGATTGCATGGGCAGGGGGTTTCAATCGTTACAGCGCAATTCATTTCCGAGCGTAGGGCGATCGATGCAACCAACCTTTTGAACGGTGGGCCGATTCGAATGGCCGAAATCCACCGATTCCACCACCACTCAAAATACGCCCCCGTCGCCCACTATTCTTTCAATTTCAGTCGGCTCCGCTGAGAAGCAAAAGACGGGATCGTTTTTCTAGAGGGTCAGGCGTTGTCAGGGGGAGACGGCGTCACTGCGGTCGTTTCTACAAGGCCACTGGTGCAAAAGTCCGCGTTACAAAAGCGCTCTGGGCGTCTCGGCCAGCAAGCGACCTAACAACAATTCACGATGACGGATGACCTCACAGCTTCAGCAGGCGAGGCATGTGAAAGCCGGAGGGAGCTGTCATATGCTTTGCCAAGTTGACGTCGCCTCGGCAATCCCGGGGGCCACAAGCTGAGGCGCCTGAGGGGGAATGTCTCTCTTCTTCAGGGCGTCCGCTGTGCAGAAGTCTGTCATGCAGCTGGGCCAAAGCAGCAACTTAGCGGGGAAATTAGCAGTCGCAAGCCTGGCAGATTGGGGACAGGCTTCATCAATTTCCGGGCCAGCCGTTGGCACTCTGGGGATCGCCCAGGCGGGGGAACTGAATCAACTGGAGTCTTGCCTTGACGCCGAGCAACCCATTGAGAGGCCTGTGAGTGGCCGCTTGACGCTTGGCTTCCCTCTGGCTCTTCACTGGCTTCGCCTCCCCCAGCTTTCGAAAGAAGCCTGTCTTTCTGATCTAAACCAATCGAGGAAGTCAATGCCCGCCCTCCACTGCGTAGTACTGGTGTAGGACAGGCTAGCGCAGGCACTGCAGGGGAAAACGAGCCCGTCGGTGGCCACATGCATATCCAATATTAGCCCCGTGCCGGCCAATGGTGGGCTCTCAATTCCTCTGGGAATCCTTCTCTCCACCATCATAAATCAAGATTTGCTCGCTCTTACCAAGAAGAATAAGCTACAACGACAAGAATGGTGCTACTCGATGTAGTAAGTCTCTCTCTAGTTTAGCGTCGTCAAGCCAAGAGGCAATGAGATACTTGGTGCCGTCATGGCAAATATGCTTGTTTCTGGCACGGAGTCTTGTTACTGTTTACCGAGTCTCATCGAACTAAGCGCCGTGATGCTGCATTTCCTTGACGTTGGTCCTATTATGACAGCACTGCAGCCATAATGGTAGCATTGATACCTGGGATCCCCTGCGGTATCTGGAACATCAACACGGTGTCGAATCTAGTTGAAACACTTTCTGAAGAGTCACTGGTCACCTTTGGTGGCGGCTAGCATTATCGTGAGTCGTGCTCCTTTGTCACGAGTGAACGAGACACCTACAGATCGTCATCGGGCGGCACAATTCCCAGTCTGGTCGCCGCCCTCGCCCATTGACCTATTGGCGCTTGTAAGTTACACCGATTCATGGTTACTTTACAGCACGGAATGTACATCCTGAGCCAAGACGCGGGGACGCATCAGTCCACACTTTCGTACAGAAATTGATCAGGCATTGCAGCTGCGCGAGTACATGATCGCCTACACCTAATCCAATCCGCTCCTGTTGGTACTCGCCAGCGGGGTGGTCTCCGGCTGTCGGGCACCGAGCAACACCGCAGGTGTCAAGCAATTGTATTCCCCCGTGTTGTCAAACATATCGCACAGTCAGAGAGATCTTGGTTGACTCTTTGTGTTTGAAAGAATTACAGTTTCATGTATCCCCGTGCACTCACAATCCGGGATCCCGCCATGTACGCCAGAGGGGTGCTCGTCTTTTGCCGACCGTCTTACTCGAGCATCGCCCAAAACTCTCCGAGATGAAAGAGACATGCGAGCTACTGCCAACCGGTAGTAGCTTTCGCAACCTTTTTGCAATGCTTGACACACGCTTTCCCCAGAGTGGGAACGGCCGATCGCTCGGAGATGTGCCTTGTTTGGGGACAGCCTCCACACGGCTGTTGGACGGAAACGGGTCGCCCACCAACACTTACAAGCAACCCCGGTCACTCACCGCAGAGGTACATCCTCTTCTCACCTAGACGAGAGCAAGAATTGTGTATCCCGTCCGCATTCTCTTCACGAGGCATGAGCTCACAGAGTCGTAGTAGCAACGACGGGAATTGCACGCTACTGCGTTGTCGGCCTGGCCTGGGGCAAGGGGATGATCCTGCTCTACGCAAGTCCTCTCTCCACATGCAACCCAACCCCAGACCCATCCGAGCTGGGTGCTACGCAGTACACAAGCAGGTAGCAGTAGCTGTGGGATAAAAGGCACAGCTCCTCTCAGCTCCAGGCCCTGTCGCTTTCCTCCCTCTCCCCTTAACCACGCTCGTTCGTTGTTGATCCATTCGCTGTACTGTAACCGTACCTATCCCAGAGCATCTCGATACCTTCACTGCTTAGACTCTTCAGTCCAACCACACAACCCCAAATCAGTCAACATGAAGTACTCTGCTCTCATCGCCGCCGCCGTCGCCACTCTGGCTTCTGCTCAGTGCGTCTCCGACATCCCCAGCTGCGCCCAGAGCTGCATTGAGGACGCTGCTTCCTCTGCCACCAGCTGCGGTGCCACCGACTTTGAGTGCCAGTGCACGACCGCCAACCAGGCTGCTATCCAGGGCGCGGCTACCTCTTGCGTCATCTCCGCTTGTGGTGCTGACGTCGCCGTCAGTAAGTGTCTCCCTCGACTTCTCTTATATTAATTAGGTTCTAATTATGCTTGATAGACGACGTTCTCCCTGCCAGCTCCAAGTTCTGCTCAGCCATCAACGCCGGCGAGACCTGCTCCGAGGGTGGCAGCTCTTCCTCCGCTGCTGCCTCTTCATCAGCTGCTGCTTCCACCTCAGCCGCCGCCTCCAGCTCCGCTGCTGCTGAGACGACGGCTAGCGAGACCAGCGCCAGTGCCAGCGAGACCGAGGCCTCTTCCACCCTGGTTGTCAGCACCACTGTGAGCAGCGCCGTCGAGACCACTGCTGCCCCTTCAACTACCGCTGCGGGCACCACCGCCGCGTCGACATCTGCTACTGCTGTTACCACCGCCGGCGCTGCCATTGCTGGCTCCATGGGCACTCTGGGCATGCTCGTCCTCGGTGCCCTGGCTCTGTAAGCTGCTTACCCTAGCAGTTTCCCATGTGTCAAAAGTACCGGTGTAATATTGGCTACGGAATTTTACCGTTCGCCATGTATGTATTAAAAGATCCCACGGTGGGCTGAAAATAGGACTTCGGTCTGGGCGGGATGTAATAGTCTACAAAAGCATTTTATGGTACATGCAATACATGCCAATATCAAACAACACAAAACACACCTTGTCCATGACCCAAGCAACTCTTGATATGAAGTGGCCCAATTAACACTCGTGTGCATTCACATTCATTGCCCAATTCACATCTGCTAGAGATGAAGCTCCAAGTAACCTTGGATTTAGAGTTGGCGGCCCGGCTTGTGGAGTATCTGTCAAAGTTCATTGCCTGGGCCGGATCAGCCGGAGTATCATCATGAGGGCCTCTGCGCCTCTGATGGCGACGATGACGTCACAGGGTTTACATTACAGATGGTAAGAAATGATATTTTTTGCGCTATACTAAGACGTTGAGACTGCTGACATTGCCTTCTATCACCGGAAATGGTAAGTGTCAGCCCAAGTAGTTTGCAAGTGACTTGAGAGTACAAGTTGATCACAATTGGTAGGTAGGCTTGGAAGACAACCAGCCTTACAAACGGCCTTGAAACTACGCAGTGTGAACAAGAAAGACTCGAACATAGAAGTCATTTATTGCAAATACCTTCGGTGATCACACACGTTCCTTGGACGGATTGTGTTCTGGTAAATTTGACATAGCTTTATAATTGTCTAAATGTTAGTTGGTTTCTGCATCACCTCAGTCCAGGTGGCTCACTTCTTCGCACAAATCGAGCGCAATGCTCAATTGAGAAGCTATTCATGCTATAACATATGATCCAAATAAGAAATCATGCAGACTCTATGCCAAAGTTCTATGCATGCCCAATCTCGCGAGGAAGCATGGCCAACAACGCCTAGAACCCGTCCGTCCAAGTTTATTATCCCGTTCTGTATAACGAACCATCCGCCTAGTAATTAGCTATTTATAGCGAAAGCATACTATTGAAACCGACTATTCCCTCCGCTACGTATGCGTTTTCGTTAGGATTGTCTTCATGCTGGGACATCGAAATCCGACGTCCAATGATCCCATGGCCCCCAACTCCTATCTCTAGCCTTTGGGGTAGTTTCACTTCCAAGGATCGTTCGTCCGAGTTTGTATAATGTGATGCTGGTAGAGAGAACTGTTGAAAGACAGTACATTCATTTCGAGGAATAGTCAAGTCCCCCGTGGAACTATTATGAATATTAACACAAGCTTGTTCTCTCACAGATGCAAGTTCAAGCTTACTAAATGTTGATTGATAGGTCTGAGAGTTTTCCCAAGGCATTGGATTCCGCCGTTGTCAGTCTTATATGGGTCGCGACTGAGCTCTTATGGTCTTTGTGGTTGAAGAAGACAACATTACATGACGGAAATGCTTCGCTCTGAGGTAAATTGGTTGAGAGACGCGTGGATTTGGAATTCAAAACTGCCAAAGCTCCATATCGCCTCGGATCATTCCTAGTATACTGACTCTCGTCGCCGCACATCTTCTCTGATTCTCGCACGATGTTGAGCGATCGTCGAGTTGCAGCAATTGCTATTAATCTTTCAATACGATTCCTGTGACTGCTTATCGCATGTGCCTCAGCTGTAAATAACGTGAACAGACTATCAAGGTGTTTATGACGAAGATCGTGATGGCTTGTCAGCTGCAAGTGCGTACCTTGTTGGACACGCACGCTCACAGATGATCCAACGAAATGACGAATAACGTGTGTATATATATAAGTGTTCATCAAGGTACTCGATTCCATGCAGACCTCACCGCGAGGCATGTTCATAGTACCCAATTGGAGATCTAGCTTCATAGTTGCTTTGTTGTAGTCTCAAACGCTCCAAGCGGCTGATTGAGCAAGTTTGCGTGCAATTGCTCCATCGAAGCCACACTCCCCACAAATACCTACATCGCCGAGAAAGGTGTAAGGCAATACACATTTCAGCATTCCCACAAGCTTTGAGGCGATTGTACACGTTATCACATTTTGGATACATGAAGTATCAATTCCGGAAGACGAGTGAGTGAAATGCCGGCCCTGACTAGGCGAAATCGTTGCGGATTAGAAATCTACCTGAGAAGTCATCCCCCCCCCCCTTTGGGGTTGGAAATGCCTAGAATCTCTTCCAAAGCAGTCAATCATTCCATTTTACTGCCATTCTGGTTCCAAAAGAGCACATTTTCTCCCATCTTAATCACGAGGCGGGACATTTTGTCGTCAGAGCAATGGCCGCGTCCACTTACACCCTCCCGCCTCTCCCATATGGCTACGATGTAGGTCTTCACACTCGATTTTCATAGATGAGCCAATATAGCGACGAGAGATTACTAAAATTGCCTCAATACAGGCGTTAGAGCCAAGCATCTCTCGCCAGATCATGGAGTTGCACCATAGCAAGCATCACCAAACGTACGTGACAAATTTGAACAAGGCCGTCCAGTCTTATGCTGCCGCCGTCCAAGCAAATGATATACCGGGTCAAATTGCGCTGCAGTCCGCCATCAAGTTCAATGGCGGTGGCCACATCAATCACTCTCTGTTCTGGGAAAATCTATCTCCCGAGTCTAGCTCGGATGCCAAACCGGAGGCTGCCCCAAAGCTGATGGCAGAAATCAACAAGACTTGGGGAAGCGTCCAGCGATTCAAAGAAGTCTTCTCGGCTGCACTGCTAAGCATCCAGGGAAGTGGCTGGGGATGGCTCGTAAATGAGGAAGGCACCGGGCTCCGCATCGTGACCACAAAGGACCAAGATCCTGTCGTCGGAGGCGAAACTCCCATATTCGGTGTCGACATGTGGGAGCACGCGTATTATCTTCAGGTTCGCAGAACACCTCCTCAAGTAGGAGCCTACATATCTAATACCTTTTCTAGTACCTCAATGGCAAAGCCGCCTACGTGGACAATATCTGGAAGGTAATCAACTGGAAGACGGCAGAGGAGAGATACCGAGGTGGTCGATCGGATGCGTTCAAGGTCTTGAAGTCGTCAATGTAACCAAGAATTGGACTTTATCATTTAGATTAAGTATGCCTATTTGGTTTTCACAATAGACCCCTATCAAATAATGATACCGAAGTAAGTCCCTACAAAGTGCAATAATGAGACAAGTGGCTCTAGAACAGCCACTGTTTCCTCGTCCCTATCTTGTCTCGTTTAACGCATCTACTATGACCTAGGGGGGGTTGGTATATTTTAAATAAGAAATTATCAGAGTTCATGACTTTGTTATAGAAATTCGGCCAACAGAATAGCCGTGCATTCCGTAGGACTCCCAGTTTACACAGCATCTCTAGCATGCAAATTGGAGAGCCCAGGCGTTCAGACAATCAATAGTCAAGCAAGTGTTCCAAAATATCGTTTATGGCAACAATTTCAACAATACAAGCAAGGAAGAGGCTGACCCGCGAGTGCCTTTTGCAATATCGGAAATGTCTCGTCTTGATTGTTTGCCCTATAAATCAAAGTTTGTGCCATGTCCTACCCCTATTTTCAGTCGTTGATCTAGCAAAATCTCGGATGTCGATCGTCGACAATACGTCCATTTGAAAGAGTGTAAAGGTAGTACAGATCAATAAACTATTGAGCTAGTTTAACCCGGTGCATAGCCACTACAATTGTACCTCCCCGGAGCTCAAGTCGTGATGATGCGTCAAAACATTGTCGACAAATCAGCGGCTGATCGTGATGTGCAAGATACTCCGATACTTGCTTCCATAAGCGTGCTTGTACACCAGTCTCTCCATATTTCGGGCGTTCGATCATCGCAAGTTGCATTTCTCCTGACTTGATGGTACATTTACCGGGCCTTGTTAGGCTGAAGCCAATGTAGGACAGAGATGTAATTTAAGCATGTCAGTCCTTGTATGAATTTTCATTTCCACATATTCCTGTTGTGGAACACATCTAAAGCTCATTGCTTTGCTTCCGAGAGAATGTTTTACGGACTTGCATAGCAATGCCACGGGTTGACTCCTTCCATCATGCCGACTCAAACGGGACCCTGCATGTCAGCCGCTGCAGGAACACTTTATTTCTCGGGATCGGCCAAAATCATGGATAGTCTGTGTCCCCAAACGTTACAGGAACCTTTGCACATGTATATCCTCACGTAATATATACCTTCTCTTTCGTTGTTTGTCAAGATCCGTTACCTCCCGACGGCGGCCTGTCGAGAGTCAACAGTCTCAGCGGCCACTGAGCGGACTATCAAAGATATGCGTTCTCCAGTTACAACCTTTTTTTTTTCAGTAAGTTTATCATCATAGCTGCAAATATAAACTGCTCGAAAGAGCTTTCAGAAGCCAGTAACTATAGTGATAAGCAATGCAATTTCCATGGCCATATGTGATCCGAGACCAGCAGGCAAGAGTGACCTGCCTGTCCGTTGCTATCCGGCTTACTATATTTCTTGTCCAAAGATTTGCTTTCATGATGCAGCTGCACCTGCAGCTGCTGTGGCTAGAGCGATGTTTGTGCTACGAAGCCGGAAACAGCTTCCGCCACCTACATCTTCGTGGCGACGAGTTCTGTACGAGTATTAGGGCTGAAGCTACAACATATGTGCAAATGTGAGAATAAGGACTGTCGATCCAGCAGGCCAACATCCACGGCCATGGTGACAGGACCTACGTGTGAAGGCTGCAAGCCCGTTTCAATCGGATGTCCAGCCAAACTCGACCAGGAGGTGGGACAAACAGGTTGAGGGCTGACAACATGGCGAGGCAATATGACTCCAACCAGCCACTCACTCAACTTGAGGCCAACGGAAGCGCAGCCCGACAGTTTTCAAACGGCGGGCCCGGGAATCTACATAATCACCGCCTAAGTGGCTGCGTTGATGCATACATTGCTGGATCATTGCAGATGTTATCCATGCTTGACACGGATCTTACCATGTTCTTGCGGACGTAGGACACAAATAGAAAGAAAAAATAGAAAAAGAAGACGCTGAGAATACGAGGCAGTTTAGATATAAATCTTTGAAGAATCCAACCATGCCAATACCAAATGCCATGTTCATATGTTCTTTCAAGGCATCTCCACTCGTTAGGGCCTGAAAAGTAAAGAACAGTTGCAATGCAGGGTTTCACTCGTTTAGCCCTGCTCGGCATGGGGTAAGTTTCATTTCATTGTGATGATATCGAATGATATTGACAAGCTACAGTGCTGCCTTCACACACGCCCTGCCTCAACAAGGCTACGGCCAGACAACAACTGTCACTGTCACAGTATGTGGCGAGTCGTGTGCTGTCACATGTACACCATCGACAGTCACAATCATACCGCTTTGTACGGAGTCTACTGGGATTTTGTCGTCTACTACTCCTATTACCGAGACGTCTCTAACAGCACCGACACTCTCATCCGAGACGTCCAGTATTCCGCTCTCATCCATCTCCGGGTTTTCAAGTGCTGGCCCGATAGGAGGAAGTAGCTCTTCAGCTTACTCTTGGACACCGACCGGTAGTTTTCCAATCTCAAGCTCTCTCGTTCCGACACCATCGACAACTGGATTCTCCGAAATTTCCTCTTTAGCCCCTGTCCCTAGCACAAGCTCAGATCTGAGCTCCTCAGCAGAACATTCATCTACCGCAATCATCGAGTCTTCTTCGACCACAGACTTCCCTAGCAGTTCCACGTGGACTTGTACATATGGCCCATTATGCTCATTCAGTATACCTTTAACTGAGACCTCGGAGACGGCACCGATATCTGGAAGCACAAGCCTACCCACTGGTTCAACCTCCGGAGTCGTATCCACGCCAGCTGCTTCCTCAACACCAACCGGAATTTCCTCCACATCTCCGCTTTCGACTAGCATCTCTTCGGTGTACAGTTGCGGTGGGCCTGGAGAGACCTGCTCCCCTAGCCACTCATCTACAGAGACTTCTGAAACAGCACCGGTGTCTTCCAGCACCGGCTACTTCAGTTCTACTTTAATAGAGACAACTTCAACGCCATTCTCATCAGTAACCGAAACTTCTGAGACAGCACCCATTAGCTCGTCTTCGTCCCAGGAGACTGGCTCGACAAGCAGTTCGACGAGCATACACCATACTCGGACGAAAACGCGGACTCATCACTCTCGGACAAAGACAAGAACTCACCCATTCCCATCGTCATCTCAATCCACCAGTCTCAGTACAGGATCCTATGGATCGAGCACGGCTTCGACTCCAGGGGTTTCATCAAGCCCGGGAACGACACTAGAATCAACTCTGCCGATTCGCAGTTCCACCACAAGCGAGGAATTGACGACAGTCATCACAATTGGAACCACCAGCATCATCACAGTTGTTCCGTCAACATCGTCGATTGTGGAGACTTCGGAAACAGCTCCTATCGGGGGATCTAGCTCAACGAGGTTTTACGGATCATCAACGACTCCGGTGACTGAGACCTCCCTGACTCTTCCCACAAGCTGGGGGACTTCTTATACCTCGGAGATCGGCACCTCATCCTCGCTGAATCTATCAAGCACCTATACTTGGCCCGGCACGAGCTCTTATGCCACCAGTCTCACATATGCCACGACTTTGACGGAGACTCTATCGAGCGAAACGAGTGAGACTGCTGGGATTACGTCCTCAGGAGGCTACAGCTCGAGCCCGACGCTCACAACCATCACAGAGACAGTATCAATAAGCTCGACTTATGAGACCTCAGCTACTCTCAGCAGCAGCGTAAGCTCAGGAGGCGGCTGGTCCTCTGGTCTTTCTTCATCGTCCCCGTACACAACCACTGAGACTATCACGGAAACGATTCCTACGCACTCGCATAGTGCCTGGCTCTCGACTTCCTCGGGCTTTTCAGCAACTTCAGACTCGGGACCGATCGGAGGCTCAAGCGCAACAAGCGGCGTTGAGAGCGTGACCTCATCGATTGAATCCACATCGACCGACTACGGATATTCATCGACCCAGACTGAGACAAGCAGCACCGTTATTGAGACGTCCGAGACTGCTCCTGTCGGGGGTTCAAGCACCTCGAGTGGCTTCTGGGAGAGCAGCAGCAGCTTGTACTCGTCGACGAGCGGCGCCAGCGGGGAGACGACGGCGACCGCTCCTCTGTCTTCCTCAACGAGCAGCACTCACGGCTGGCCCGGCGGATACACTTACGCCACGCCATCGACATCTTCAGACACGGCCATCTCTAGTGACAGTCCGGTCCAAGGTTCAGAGACGTCTACTCACGGCGGCAGCTTCCCCACCACCTTCGTGACCACCTCCAAGGCACCATACAGTTCAACAGGGGCAGCATCCAGCACGTCGTCGACTCCGGCTGGCGGGTACGGACATGGAGGATGGGGCTATGGCTACGGCGGCAGCAAGGGTCATCACAACTGGAGAAAGTGGGCTTGGTAGATACATAGACGCGGATCTGCTTGGAAGACTAGCAGCAGCTTAAGGGGGAGCCGTGAGTACAAATGTTGTTGTCGCTATACAGACGGAAGCTGGCATTGGGGCCGTTATTTTTATCTTCTTGACTCTCATTCATATCCGATTCTTACAAGATTAATTCATTGTACACCTCTTGGTTCAAAATTGATACACCCTATGGCTGCTGAAGCCCATGTCTGTACAAGTGAGCAACAGTGACTGACAGTATCCCTAGCCTCCAACATTCAATCTCACACATTTTATGAAACAAGCACACTGGAGATAGAATTTCATTAAAGTAAACTACTGTATGCTTAAACACTGTTTTGCGAATCTGTCCCGGCGCGCTGCCTTTTGGTTCAGAATAAATCATGTCAATTCTACCATTCTCTGTGCTGCCTTGCCATATGCATCTTCTGCATGCGCCAAATTATCCTACAGAGTTGTATTTTCTGAATAATCGCAACTCCTTTCCTTTCCCTCAACTTTACAAGAGAACCATGGCAGCTCCAGCACCCATGGCAACAACCGCATACATACCCACAGCCAGGTCGCCGACGGTCATGAGGTTCTTCATCGGGATAGGCGCGGCAATGTTGCTGCTGGTAGCAGAGCTGCTACCACCAGTACCAGTTGCAGCAACGCTGTTGGCCGAGCTGGCACTAGCCAGCGACGCCGAGCAGCCAGAGGCAACGGCAGCGGAGGTGGTAGTCGCCTGGCCATCAGAGTCACAAGCGTAGGACTGAGAGCCCTGACCCTTGTAGTAGACATCGAGAACATAGCCCAGCTGCTCGGTGGCATTGCACATAGAGTAAGCGCCATAGACACCGGTGGTTGCGTTGGCGTCGATGCCGGCGCATGGGCTTCCATCGGTACCGCAGATGAAGCCGAAGATGTCCCCGTAGGCAGTCGTGTTCAAGCCGGCCTTGGGCACGCATGTTAAAGAGCTGTACATGCATGAGCAAAGGTTGGCATCTGGCGTAGGGGGAAGGTTCGAGGAAGCCTGCCAGTCATCAGACACGTCGGGGCAGGCAGCTGCTGTGTTGCTCGGTGTGTAAGCGTCCATCGAGGTGGAGCTTGGGGTTGCAGCCGCAACTCTAGAGCTCAGAGAGTTGTAATCAGCCAGAGTAGAGGCCTTGGTGCCGGAGACGCTGACGAGACCTATAATATGCCAGTCAGAAGATCGACACTCAAGTTTGCCAAGAACGAGGAGTCTTACCGTAGTCATTGGACTCTTGGAAGTACATGTAGACGATACCGCCGGAAATGACGCCAGTCATATCGTCAGAGTAGAGAGCAGTAGTCTCCTGGAAAATACGCTTGGCAGCACCGCCTTGGGTGTTGCAGCCATACTCGGCGAAGAAGACGGGGACGGAGTAGTTCTTGAAGAAGTCGACCTGAGTGGCGTAACCGGAACCCTCAAAGGTGTTCTGACCGCACCACTCGTAGATGTTGTAGCCCCAGTAATCAATGGACTGCTCGTCTTCACCGCAGTTGAAGTAGTGCGCAATGTTTGCACGGATATCGGCGTCATCATTGGCGGCGTAACCAACACCCATCCATCGGTAACCCTTGTCGGTGATGTAGGCCTTGGTATCACGGACAGCGGCCTTCACGAAAGCCGATGCGGCGGTGTTAGAAGCGTTGTTCGTGACTTCGTTGCCGGCAAAGAAGCCAATGACATTGTCGTACTGACTAAGCTCGTCAATGACATCGGTGTAGCGGGAGTACAGCTCAGTGTTCCACTTGGGGCTGTCCTGTTCGATAGACAGGGACGGCTCGCTCAGATCGGAAATAACGTAGATGCCGGCAGCATCCAGCAGTTTCATGCACGCGCTGTGGTCAAGAGTAGGGTCGATGGCGTAGGTTCTGATGGTGTTGGTGCCAAGGGCCTTCAGGAGGGGCACATCACGCGTGCAGGAGTCCTCGTCGGCGAGAGGATCGACGTAGGTAGTGCCAGAGGTGGTACCTGCAGCGCCGGTGTGCTGCTGGTAGGCAACACCCTTGATGAAGAATTGAGTGCCGTTCTCGTAGAAGAACTTGGTGCCCTATCATCAAGGTCAAAGAGTCAGCAATGGTGGGTGACTCGCTGGGGAGGGCTGTCAAGGAGATAGGAGACGCACCTTCTTGACGATGGGGGGCAATGAAGCGTTGACCTGGCCCAGCAGCGCGAGGGCAGCGACAGACGCGGCAAGCTTTGAGAAGCCCATTGTGAATGGTTTTGGTCGATGTCGACCTCCTCAACGTTTCTACTGGTGATACCGGATGACACGGATAGTGGGCGATGCGCGCGTCGAGATCGTTAACGATTCTGGAAGGATGCGACGGGGTAACAAGCAGTCAATTCGCTTTCCAAAATGTCGGCCTAGTCAAGGATGGGAGTCTGGTGATATGACACGCGTGGAATTGGTGATGGGACGAGAGGCGGTAGGTCTTGTAATGACGTGAGGGTTATCAGATTGGAAACACTCCTGCTGCTCCGATCTGGCCCCTGATTTTCAGCTGGCGGGAAAAACAAACAAGAATTGGTCAGTCAACGAGAGTGAGGAAAGATTCAGTCAAACGAAGGAGCCGGCGGACAACGACGACGACGCACGGCGGAAGAAGGCGTCTCCCAGGCGATGCAGAGACAAAGATTTGGAGGATTGAGGACAAGAAAACAGGAAAAGAGCGAGTGAGAAGAAGTGGTAGTGGTGGTGATACAGTAGGAGCTACCGCTACTTGGAGGGCCAAGAGATATGTAATTGCTTGCTAGTCCAGCGAGTCCAGTTACCACAGGGAAGGGGTCAAATAACTGCGAACCAAGCTAGCAGCAAGCATCCTGGTCTGGCCCGTCTCGATTGGGTAAGAGCGACTGGGCGACACGCACAGGGGATGCCCATTGCGTGGCGGAGCAGCAGATGCGACACTACGGCAGAGGTACATGGTGTTGTGCCCCCGAGACAGTGGGCGCTTCAGGTACCCGACGCGTCGCCGTGGGTCTTCATCGTCATCTCGGTGTTAGAATGATGGTCCATACCGTCTGCCCCCACACGCCTCGCACCGTCTCCCTAGGCCCCACACTTCTCATGCATGCTAATGCTCTATCATATTGGGCGTCACTACAGCAGAGATACTGTTAGCCATCTACAAGATGTCTCGGCCAAATCTTGGCAAAAGCTTGGCACTGCCCCAAACCGCAATCTGAAGAGTCGTGTTTCCAAATAGAACATTCGACCCGCACTGTGCTTCTTTGTCGGATCTGAAATTCGCCTGTAGTCAGATGGACGCCTCCGTTCTGCAACCAACTGGATATCAGAAACAGCCCGTTGCGCTGAGATTCAGCGTGAAATAGGGGGAATTCTCCACTGGAAAACATCCATCAACAATGGATTGTAGTACGTCTCACCCTGCCTCAGCCTGCCTGCCTGTCGTATACCTCCTAGTGCAGTACACTACCGCTACTGTACAGATGATCGTCCCCGATGCCCGTTGATCTACTCGTCTGCCCTGAACATCACCATCAACAATCAATGCAACTCCATATAACATATCTCCTCTCTCTCTATGCCCCTCTATCTAGAAGAGGCAGATCCTCTTCAAATTCCACGTCGAACCGTGCCGGTCAATTCCACGCAGACACTCGACAAATGAAAGCCTGCGGAATATCTTGCTTGCTGCGGCCTGCTGGTTCAGCCCGTGAGCGCTGAAATGTAGGGGGCCCTAAGACCGCCGCCCCGAGTAATGTTGTCTCGCCCCCTCGATACTGCCAACCTTGCGAACTCGCTGCAATAAGCTTTCAGCAACGCCTCGTCGCCAGTTACTATCGCCGCCCAGTCTTGGTGGGTCGGTGGGCAACAAAGGGGCGGTCCTGGAATGGACGGATTGCGCGTCGATCCACCCGTTGTAATGGAGGGGCTAATAGCGTAAAAGCCGTTCAGATGCCAGCCATCGATGCTGCCCGTCAGCGTGAAGGATACGCCAGCCTGCCGTGGTGAGCACATTGTGCCACACAGATCTAGGGCTGAATGGATGGATGGCTTGCGGTGGGATTCGCGGATTGCTTTCATGGCATGAGTGTGTGGAGATGCTCTGATACGAGACTCTTGGGAAAGTCCCATCCAGAAATATCGTGATATGCTTGTTCAACGCCGTAGCTTGTAATAGGCTTTGCCCACTACAAGTAAGACGGCGTCCCAGAGCTCATAAGTCTCCCACATGATCGTCTTGATAAGGCCACACATGTTTGCGGTGTGATTGACAAACGTTTCGTTGCGGGTTGTAAGGTCTTGGATCTTCTGGTGTCCTGTATGAGGAGTTGGACTCCTTTAAAATGTGCTTCTTGGCAAATTGATATTGTGATGCTTTGATGAGCACAAGTGTAAATGCTACTTGTGGAAAGGGATTACACATGTCTTTATCCTTTCTGCTCAAATTCCCAAGTTCTCTTGCTCTGTCACGCCACCCTTGGTGCAGAGAAGCCTGAGGACCTGAGTCATCCCAATTGGTTAGGTCTCGTGCGCAGCCTTCGGCTGTGCAGGTGCTCTGTAACATGTTCACAAGGCTGGAGGATTAGGCAGATCATGCGGCGACCAGTGGAATTTGCTCGAATTTCACAGCCCGGCAATAGTCCTCACTGCTCATCATCTTGGCTGCATCTTCTGCATGTTCACCGTACGTCTCGACCGTCGGCCCATTACGGTAGCCGGCGCGAAGCGGCGAACATCATTACAATGTCGGCTTACATCCCGCCATGAGCGTCCCGTGCCTCCCGCATCGTCCCTGTACAGCATTCACTGCCCCCTGAGGCAATCCACAGCGCCGTTGCAGGTGACTGCCGATCGGCAGGGGCTGTCAATCCTCGATGGACAACTGTAAACGTTTGAATCCCTTTCTACCAACACAGGCACTGAGAAATCAGAACGCAGTGGGCGCTTCTCTTTTGTCCCCTCTTTTCATTTACTTACCACCACAGCTGGGTGCCGATCCAACGGACCGATGCTGATGCTCGTATTGAAGGGTTAAATAGGTCTGATACCTTCAATATTACAACACTGGACTGGTCTTCTTGAAAAGCTATAGCTGCTCAAGGAGTGCTGTAACTAAAATCCCTTCGGGGGTGTGCTAGTGGGCTTTCTTTACAAGTATCAACCAGAGTTCATAATAGCTAAGTATGCTACCTAGCCGCAAAGATGAGATTTGCTTGCCGCGAAATTCACTTTCATGTTTCGTGATGATGATCAGAAATATCCCTTCTGCAATAAGGATGTTTGCGTATTCATAGAATCAACTCCTCAAGAGATAGCTGCCTTGGTTAGCTGATTGCACCAGCTGACATTCGAATAATAGAATCTTGCAGTTTACGAAAAGAACTGAAACGAGGAAAGACACGGATGAGGTATGTCAACGGTGAGACCTCTATCCACATGGTGGATGAATCGGAAGAGTTTCTTGGGCTGGTATCAAGTGAAGAGACAAAGATCACGTGTAGAGCCTGTGACGTCAAATCGAAGCCCCGCGTAAGGCGGTGAGTCTGGGCTTGATGCGAAATGACTGTAAATGACAATCATTATTGAGGTAGCTGGCATGCTATGTTGATTTTCAGTGCACTGTGAATTTACTGTTTCTCAGTAGGGTCTATATTTAGGGAAAATCATGTATGGTGTCTTTTCTCATGGTTCGGGTTTGACACAGCAAACGCTGAACCTGAGAAATCCTCAAGATATTGGTGCCTAACACTGACAAAGGACAAGCGCTGAGATCCTGTTACTACAGTACTAGATTATTACACAGATTATATGGGAATTCTGGTACAACACAAGGTACTTTCTTATCTGGGTCTCGGCACCCCCTCTAGTTTCCTGGTATCGGTTATCAGAAACTCGAAAAAAATCAGAACAGCCCCACCAAGGCGAATTCCATTTTCCCCCACCTTGATTGACCAACTCGAAGTCGACCATTTCACAGCACTTTCTTTTATCAGAGGCGGGCCGACGAACCTCTTTTTTTCTTGTTTACACAGCGTCCTAAACCTCGTAGACCGGCCATCGAGGATCTTGAACCCCCTGACGAACACGTTCACACTACAGATTCCCCGCCTGAAAAACCGCCACCATGGTGTCTGCCTCCAAGGAGAAGCGCCTCGCCAAGAAGGCCGCTGACGGCAAGAAGACGACCGTCTCGCGATCCAAGGCTGGCTCCAAGAACGCAAGCACAGCCGCCTCTGTCAACGGCGATGAGACTCCCCCTCAGCAGCTCGATGCCAACGGCAACCCGATCGAGAGCGACGAGCCCGCCACCGGGGCTGATAAGAAGGATGTTGTGGAGCGCCTAGCCGCCCAGATGGACAAGCATGGTCTGTCTGACCGTGTCACTACCGGTGTCCTGGCATCCACCCCCACAAGCAAGGACGTCAAGATCTCCAGTGTCAGCTTGGTGTTCCACGGTCGTGTCCTGATCACCGATGCAACACTCGAGCTGACCTACGGTCGTCGATACGGCCTTTTGGGAGAGAACGGCTGCGGAAAGAGTACACTGATGAAGGCCATCGACAAGCGAGAATACCCCATCCCAGAGCACGTTGATATCTACCTACTCAATGAGGGTGCTCCCCCAACAGATCTGGGTGCTCTGGAGTGGGTTGTCAAAGAGGCCGAGAATGAGTTGGAGAGGCTAGATAAGCTAGCTGAGAAGCTGCTGGAAGAGGAGGGCCCCGAGAGCCCGGTGCTGATGGATATCTACGACGTACGTGTGAAGTGCGACCTCATGCATGATAGTTCCGACTAACTTTTCGGCAGCATATGGAGCAGATGGACCCTTCAACCTTCGCCACCCGAGCCTCTCTCATCCTCACAGGTCTTGGTTTCAACAAGGTTACAATCAACAAGAAGACCAAGGACATGTCTGGTGGCTGGAGAATGCGAGTAGCCCTCGCCAAGGCTCTCTTCGTCAAGCCCTCGCTCCTGCTACTTGACGACCCTACTGCCCATTTGGATCTCGAAGCCTGTGTGTGGCTCGAGGAGTATCTGAAGAAGTGGGAGCGTACCCTGGTTCTTGTTTCTCACTCGCAGGATTTCTTGAACGGAGTCTGCACGAACATGATCGATATGCGCATGAAGCAGCTTATCTACTACGGTGGTAACTACGATTCTTATATCAAGACTCGATCAGAACAGGAGACGAACCAGATGAAGGCATACCAGAAGCAACAAGACGAAATTGTACACATCAAGAAGTTCATTGCTAGCGCTGGTACTTACGCCAACCTGGTCAGGCAGGCCAAGTCTCGACAAAAGATTCTGGACAAGATGGAGGCAGACGGTTTCATCCAACCTGTCCACCAAGACAGGGTTTTCAGTTTCCGCTTTGCCGATGTCGATAAGTTGCCTCCTCCGGTCCTTTCCTTCGACGATGTCACCTTCTCTTATTCCGGAGACGCCAAAGATGACCTGTATCGCCACATCGATCTCGGTTTCGACATGGACTCCCGAACGGCTCTGGTGGGCCCCAACGGTGTTGGCAAGTCTACTCTCCTACGCCTTATGACCGGCAAGCTCTCTCCCACTGCTGGTGTTGTCACAAGACACACTCATTTGAAGCTCGGCCTCTACTCGCAGCACTCGGCTGAGCAGCTGGATCTGACGAAATCTGCCCTGGATTTCGTTCGTGACAAGTACAGTGACAGATCTCAGGATTACCAGTACTGGAGACAGCAGCTCGGAAAGTATGGTCTCTCTGGAGAGTCTCAGACTGCCCTGATCGGCACTCTGTCCGAGGGTCAGAAGAGCCGTATCGTCTTCGCTCTGCTGGCCATTGAAGGACCCAACATGCTGTTGCTTGACGAGCCCACCAATGGCCTGGACATTCCGACCATCGACAGTTTGGCTGATGCTATCAACGCCTTTAGCGGTGGTGTCATTGTTGTCAGTCACGACTTCAGGTAAGCTACCGTCAACCTCTAGACCTCCTTTACCCTTTAGACTCTTCGCTAATAACATATTTTCCAGACTGTTGGACAAGATTGCTAAGCAGATCTTGGTGTGCGAGAACAAGACTATCAGACCCTGGGATGGCTCGATAGGAGAGTACAAGAACTACCTGAGGAAGAAGATGATCTCTGCAGGTGCCGTCTGAGGTTTGGATAGTCTTCATGAATGGACGAGCGGTGGCAGCAGATGTGCCTCGGGATGGTTCTTACACATAGAATGACATGAGAGTCCTGGGATACGAGCGCCTACAAATGCATTGTCGCATCTCTCTGCGAAAGACGCAGCGACGCACGTGGGGTAAAAGCATGAAGAAGGAAAGACGCCGTCCGTGGACAGACCATCACGGCGCGCACCAAGTTTTCGGTACTTCACGGGATAGATTTCTGAATTGATATTCTCACCAAAGTCTTAACATGTTGGCGTGTAATATTAGCAGCTTATTCTACGCCAAGAAGTGCGTGGGCGGTTGTGGATGCCATCTTTTGCCACCTCCTGCCGAACACCCAGTAGTTGTTCTATTCACCATCAACCATAGTTTTTATTCGGTGTTGAGATCTAAAATCCGGATGTCTGGCACCTACCTCCCGAGCTACCTGACCTTTGGGCTGCTTCGGTGGAGCGCCAGCTATCTCCGACCCTGATGTGGCAGGTGCGCGCCATTATGATTGTTCGCTGTTTCCTTCCATACTCTCTCTCTCTCTCTCTCTATCTCATGGGACGTCCCTTCCTTTGGCTCTCAGGTATTGTCTATAAGCATCGTGACATATCACATATCAACTACTGAGTAGTATTGCTTCCCAATTAGGTGGGCAGTTTACATGATTTTTTGACACGTGTGGAGGAGGAGATGCTGCCCGAGTCATTCATACGATCGAATCAATCGTTCAGCACTGCCTGTGTGCTATGGGCTGGTGAAGGTGCTGGGCACATACCTAGCTAGGCTGATCCGCGGTGGATTATGCCCTGGGGCATGAAGGAATCCTGGTGCCGTATCGCCTGGAAGAGAACGAGATCAGTACCCAGGCTCAGCCAGGTAGTTTCGGCTGGGCGAAGTTGGCTGGCCCAGGCCATTTTTTGGGGCTGGCCGCGCCGCTTTCCCTCTTTGGAGTCATGCACGTACCGCATGGCAGCCCGAGCGGCTAAAATCCGACCAGGGCTGATCCCATCTCAAAGACCTGGAGTAGGTGGGTGCTGTTAGGGAGAGTAACTATAATTGAGACAGAAATGTTGGCAATACTGCTGAACTGATGTGTGAATTCCTTTGTTGTTCAGCTGAAAGACTTTGCAAAGTCTAGATGCAGCTTGCTTGCATCACTGTATCGAGCGAAGAGAGTGTTGGTCCTATCCGTGAGCAAACAGACACTTCTCATGTCTCCTTTGTATGAGGCACTTTGGCACTGTCAGCAAAGCAGTCAATCCATCGTGGCCTTTCTTTGGGACGAGATCAATCAGATGGGGATGGGGAAAATGAAGCCATCCCGGGAGGACGCAAGGGCGAGAGATGGCCGCCCTAACAGCATGTGCTGGGGTTTACCGCATAGTATGGAGGTAGCAAGGTAGGTAGCCACCATACTGAGAGGTACCTAGGTAGGTACCTCAGGTAAGTACCTAGCACACAGCCTGACGTCGGGAGCCGGGGGGTTGCAGGGCCGTAGGCAGGGCTAGTGCGGTTAGTTTTGGAGTTGCGCGGACTGGATGGATCGATCACCTTCGCGAAAGTGAGAAGAGAACAGCGACGGGCGGGCGTCAAAGGGGGCTCTCTCCCAGGCCAGACCACAGCTTTTCGGGTTGGGGGAATAGCAGGAGAAGGAGAGGAGACGAGCAGGAGGATACCATCCATCCATCCATCCAGCCAGCCATCCATCTGTAGCATTAGCATAGAAACAACAACACGCAGAGCAACAAACCGGCATGTGGCCAAAATCATTCTTTTCACCCCATTTGCATCAATCCACCCGACCAACCCATCCATCCATCGTGGAATAGCATCACGTCGCCATTCCTTCTTCGCTTTCCCCTTCTCGCCATCACGCAACTTTCCCCTTCTCGCCATCACGCAACTTTCCCCCCCTCCGCCCCCTTCCATTCCATCCCATCTGTCATCACCACCGCCATTTTGGGCCGATTTTCCATCGCATCGCCGCCTCTCCAACAACACCGGCTGGCCCTCACCACTGCACCACCACGTACTCCGGTGATGCCCTCGGCTGGTCTGCCACCTTGTCCTCCGTAAAACACCGCGACCGCCTCCGCAAACTACCGGAGAGATCTCTTCGTGGCCGTCTCGCGAGCCAACACCGCCAACACACGACGTCCTGACTGCCCCCTTGCTGCGCCGTGCTGTCGACGAGACAATCGTGCCATCGTTGGCCTGAGTTGCACCGTCGCTTGATAATCTCGTCAATCATAGATCCTCCGCCCAGGCCATCGTCGCCAGCTCTCCGCAGCCCTCGATTCCAATCACCGAGCCACTGCATCTCTACGCCCATCGCCATCCCGGCCAGTCCAGCTCTGCACAGCCAGATAGGGACTCTGCTGTAGTCAGCTATCGTTAAATTATCAAGTAGCAACACTGCGATTCGAAAGAGCGACAACCCTCCCGCTGACGCGTATCATCGACGGTGCATGCACACATGGGTCGCTGAGGACAGCAAATCTGACATCAGAGGCGATCGAGGGAATTTTTACGAGAGGAGAACTGTGCAGCCAGCCAGCAAGATGGACTCGGGCAATTTCCATTCCACCGTGCTGCAAAGACCACCTGGTCTGCACGATTATGACGAGGATGATGATAGACGACGCCGTGACATTTTGAACCCGGCGACCAGCAGCAACAGTGGACCGCTGGCTCCTGGGCCACCACCACCACGGTCCTCGTTCAATCTCAGATCTCCGACACAATCTGACTTCCACCACCCACCTCCCTTTTCTGCATCCCCATCATCAACATCGTCCTCGCAGCCCGCGAATGCAAACGGCACCACCCGCTCCCTGCTGCACAATCCCTTTATGTCCTCTGCCTCCGCGGCGCCGCCCTCTCTACCGCCGTCCGTCGTTGCACCACCAGGATCATCAAGCGTCTCATCAAGCCTTCAGGCGCCGCCGCGCTCGCCATTGCACGCGCCGCCCGTCTTCTACCCCCAAGACGTCCGCGACTCATCGCGAGAAAAACCAACTGGCAGCTTCTACGATCCCACTACCGACACCACAACTGTCACAAAGGAGCGCAGGGTCTCCGACGCGGGATCATCGTGGCATAACGCGACTCAGGCATCTCCTCCCAAGGTAAGCTTCAACGTTATCGCGGATTTTTCTTCCTCAATTGTCTCCCAAACCTTTGGGCCTTCGCAATCATCTCAATCTTCCTTTTCTCAACGCCCCCAAAATTTTCTATTGCCTCATCAACTTCCATTCCTTTCCCTTTTTTTTTTTCTTTCTCTGGTATGGCCATGATTCACTAACACACTTTTTCCCTTCCTCTTACACAGCCTCGGGACCCCTACAATTATTCCTCGCAAGCCTCAACTGAGCCTGCCCCCTACTACAACGGCAGCTACACGTCGCCTGTTACATCAACCTTTCCACCACGAAGCCCAGTTTCCCATTCCCATCCTCATCCAGCTGCTGGATCCATCAGCCCTCCCAATCGAGCACCTCAGATGGCTTCCCCCAGCCTGAGGCACTCAGCTGCCCCAGTTGGGACGCCAGGCTCAAATGGCGCTACGACACCATTACACTCATTCTCCAAACCTGAATCACCTGCGCCATCTGTCCTGAAGGCTCCGACTCCCGCTGCTAGTGTATGTCGCGCTGCCCCAATCGCACAAATGAACTCTTACTAAATTTCCCAGACACCAAGCCGCGCCGCCGAACTCATGTCGTTTTCCAACATCCTATCGAGCTCGGACCCTGTCCCCAAAGCCAAACCAAAGTCTTCTACCCTAGAGAGATTGGTCAAGGAAATCAAGGTTGAAAAGGCTGATAAACCCGAGAGAGCTGAGAAGATAGACAAGCGGGAGAAGCCTGGCCGCAAAGCCAAGTCTCGCATCTCCGATGTCAAATCTGCCGAGCCAACTCCGAAGAGCAGCTCACGCCGAGTGTCCTCTCACAAAGAGGCGGCAGCGCAAGCTCGGGTTCCTGCCAAGAGACAGGCAAATGGTCAGCCCAAGCAGAAGATGTTCTCAGCTGATAAGGAGAAGAAAATCAAAGAGCTGATGGATCAGTTCGACAACCAGTCCACAGACGTTGAGGAGGGAGATGTTGATGAGGAGGAGGCTTGGAAGCTGCGCGCTCGCAAGCGACGGTCCGATATGGAACTTCGTGATACGAAGCATCGCAGCTCAAGGCGCAATAACTTCACCGAAGAGACTGTTAAAAACCTCGGCTCGCACACAGATATGGGCAAGCGACGGTACGATGAGATGTACTACGACGAAGCTCTCCAAGAAGTGCGAGAACAAGAACTTTTTGCAGAGAAGGAACGCAAGAAGGATATGCAGCGCAAGCGTCGCCGAGAGAAGTCTATGGCTGTTACCATGGAGCAGAAGGAGGCTGCCCTTGCCAAGGCCCGTGAAGCTCAAGACGAGAATGAGCGCCAAAAGCATCTCCGCGAAGCCGAACGCGCCAACAAGAAGGCACAGCAGACCAAACTCATCCTTCAGAAAGGTCTCAAGGGCCCTTCGCGAAACATCGCACCCCTGGAACTCAACCTCGAAGGCGGCACCATGGCTACATTTCAAGCAACAGACATGGAACCTGGCAAAGGGAAGGGCAAGGGCCGTACCGGTGCACGGCCCAAGAAGTCCAAGGAGCAGAAGCAGGCCGAAAAGGACAGTGCCGAAGCTGCTCAAGCGGCTATTGATGCTGGCGAGGAGCCTCCTACCAGGGACGAGAACCCCAAGATTCGCATCAAGCTTAACAAATCCAAGCTCCACAAGGAGGACTCGACAAAGGACAGAGACTCTCACGAGCCAGGCGAAGGCAAGGAGAAAGAGAAGGTCGTCGAGGAGCCCAAGAATCCTCTGGAAACCAAGTTCCAATCTAAGGGCTACAATCAGATCTACGACCAGATTTTCCGCGACCTTGCTCGTAAGGATGTCAACAAGGTCTATAAACTTGCCAGCGATTCATACGCCACCAAGGCTTCCAACCTCAAGAAGACAGCCATTCTCGCCTCCAAAGAGGCCAAGCGTTGGCAGCTGCGCACCAACAAGGGAACAAAGGATCTTCAAGCGCGAGCCAAGCGTGTTATGCGTGACATGATGGGCTTCTGGAAGCGCAACGAGCGTGAGGAACGTGATCTTCGGAAAGCGGCTGAGAAGCAAGAACTCGAGAATGCCCGCCGAGAAGAGGCCGATCGTGAAGCCGCTCGACAGAAGAGAAAGCTCAACTTCCTTATCTCCCAGACGGAGTTGTACTCGCATTTCATTGGCAAGAAGATCAAGACTCACGAAGTCGAGCGCAGCACGGACAACCCAGATATCGCGACCGAGGACAAGGCTCCTGATCCGAACCACATCAAGGTTGCCGAATCGTCTGGCCCTGCCGGTGCCAAGGTCACGAACTTTGAGAATCTCACTTTCGAGGAGGAAGATGAGGCCCAGCTTGAGGCTATCGCCAGAGCTAACGCAGAGAATGCTATTGCCGAGGCTCAACAAAAGGCTCGTGACTTCAACAAGGATGCCGAGCTGGACGAAGAAGGCGAGATGAACTTCCAAAACCCAACAGGCATGGGTGATGTGGAGATTGAGCAGCCGAAGCTTCTCAACGCTCAGCTCAAAGAATACCAGCTCAAGGGTCTTAACTGGTTGGTCAATTTGTATGAGCAAGGAATCAACGGTATTCTCGCAGACGAGATGGGTCTCGGCAAGACTGTGCAGTCTATTTCCGTCATGGCTTATCTCGCAGAGAAGTATGACATTTGGGGCCCATTCCTTGTCGTCGCACCGGCGTCGACGCTCCACAATTGGGAACAAGAAATCAGGAAGTTTGTTCCCGAATTCAAGATCTTGCCTTACTGGGGCAGTGCTGGAGACCGAAAGACGCTTCGAAGATTTTGGGACCGCAGACATGGTACGTATAAGAAGGATGCACCCTTCCATGTTATGATCACGTCGTATCAGCTTGTGGTCTCGGACGTCAGCTATTTCCAAAAGATGAAATGGCAGTACATGATACTCGACGAAGCTCAAGCCATCAAGAGCTCTCAAAGTTCGCGTTGGAAGTGCCTATTAGGCTTCCATTGCCGAAACAGACTGCTTCTCACGGGTACTCCCATCCAAAACAACATGCAAGAGTTGTGGGCATTGTTGCATTTCATCATGCCGTCTCTGTTCGACTCCCACGACGAGTTCAGTGAATGGTTTTCGAAGGACATCGAATCTCATGCTCAAAGTAATACCAAGCTTAACGAGGATCAACTCAAGCGTCTTCACATGATTCTCAAACCTTTCATGCTGCGTCGTGTCAAGAAGCATGTGCAGAAGGAGCTTGGTGACAAGATTGAGATGGACGTTTTCTGTGATCTGACCTATCGCCAGCGTGCGTACTACAGCAATTTGAGGAACCAGATTAGTATCATGGACCTCATTGAGAAAGCTACCACGGGTGATGACACCGACTCTGGCACTCTCATGAACCTTGTCATGCAGTTCCGTAAGGTCTGCAATCATCCTGACTTGTTCGAGCGGGCCGATACCACCTCACCCTTGTCGCTTGGGTACTTTGCTGAAACGGCGTCGTTCGCTCGTGAAGGCAACAACGTTCCCGTTGGGTACTCTACTCGCAACTTGATTCAGTACGAGCTTCCAAGACTTGTCTGGGGAGATGGAGGCCGGCTGAACAAGGCCGGCTTGGACAATGAGAAGGCTGGTTTCCGCAACAAGTACCTCAATGAGTTGATGAACATCTGGAACCCGGAAAATGTTCGAAGCAAGTTGAGCGACACTGACACCTTCTCATTCCTGAGATTCGCCGACACTAGTGTTGGCGAGGCCTACAAGGCCAGCCACCAGGATATCTTCACTCGGGCTACTGAGCTTGCAACCAAGAAGAACCGCCTCGGTCTTATGAACGTTGCTTATGATGAGCCAGGCGAAGAGAACTTCACACCAGCTCATGCCCTGTTTAAGATTCGAGAGCGGGCTGATCGCAAGCCACTCGCCGACATCACCAGTGAAGGCGTCTTAAACAATCTGATGAACGTGTCCCGACTTGCCTACGATGATACTGGCCTTGGTCGCCTTGAGCAGGCTGGCCGCCCTGGCGCCACAGCTCCTCCTATCGAGGTACTCTGCAATAACCGTGCCTCCAACATCGAGCGACAGGAGACGTTCTTCAATGTGCCAATGCGCAGAGCCCTGTATGGACCAAACCTGATTGAGGAGAAGGCTTTGGTTGCTCAAAAGGTTCCCGTGGAGAGATATCCGCTACCCAAGCTGCTGCCCGCCCCGGACAATGAGAAGACACGCTTCACCAACATCGAGGTTCCCTCTATGCGTCGCTTCGTCACAGATTCAGGCAAATTGGCGAAATTGGATGAGCTCCTCTTCAAGCTCAAGGAGGAAGGTCACCGTGTCCTTCTTTACTTCCAGATGACACGCATGATCGACTTGATGGAGGAATATCTCACATACCGCAACTACAAATTCTGCCGTCTTGATGGATCTACGAAGCTTGAGGATCGTAGAGACACGGTCCATGACTTCCAGACTCGTCCCGAGATCTTCATCTTCCTCTTGTCTACACGTGCTGGTGGTCTGGGTATTAATCTAACATCTGCCGACACTGTCATCTTCTACGATTCTGATTGGAATCCTACGATAGATTCGCAGGCCATGGACCGAGCTCATCGTCTTGGTCAGACAAGACAGGTCACGGTTTACAGATTGATCACCAAGGGCACCATCGAGGAGCGCATTCGCAAACGTGCTCTGCAGAAGGAAGAAGTGCAGCGAGTCGTTATCCAGGGTGGTGGCACTGGTGCTGGTGTCGACTTCTCTGGCCGTGGCGCTCGTGGCCCAGAGAATCGCAACAAGGACATTGCCATGTGGCTTGCTGACGATGATGATGCTGTGGAGAAGATGATTGAGCGTCGCGAGCAGGAGTTGCAAGCAAGCGGCGAGCTGGAAAAGAAGAAGCGTGGCGGCAAGCGTAAGCGAGGAGGTGATCCCGCTGCTGCGGCCGCCGGTGTCAGCTTGGACGAAATGTATCACGAGGGTAAGCCGATGAATCTGATCAACAATGATAATCATTTGCTAACTATGTTATAGGCGAGGGTCACTTTGATGACAACAAGGCTTCGGGCACGGCTACGCCGGTTGAGGACCCCCGAGCCGGCAAGCGCAAGCGTGTTAGCAAGAAGGCCAAGACGGCTAAGCAACGTCTTGCTATTGCGGACGGCGAGGTTGATGCCTGAGCATAGGGGCTAATTGTAGGATCATTCTTTTTTTAGAGGGGCATCATTGTGCAGGACCTGCGGAAAAGAAACTGCTTTTTCTTTTGGGGTTGAAGGGGGCTCATTACAATTTACACAGATCAGAGTATGATACAGGCAAGCAATGCCGGGACAGGGGCGATCCGGGGCTTGAGCCATGTCGGCTCGCTTTGTGATAGGAAGGGAGGGAGGGACACTGATACAAATACACATCGCTAGGGGCTCCATGCTAGAAGCCCTTTAGCGGACATTGTACAACCATTATCAATAGACGATTGCATGACATCAAAGAGAGTTAATTTGACACAATGTTCTGGAATTTCGCCTCATGAACGCTTTCACTAGGCCTAAACACTATAAGACATCGTGCAAGTATATATCATCGTTCATTGCTTGAGGCAAGAGAGAAGCGAAGACCCTGTTACCTTTGTAGATACCATCCGTCTGTCCTGGGAATCCTCCTGCAAGCTCATCATACAGACCCGACGACTTTCCCATCCATAAACGCCAGAGGCCAGTTTTTAAAACGCATACCAGTCGTACCGCGTACACGGATGTAATCCCTTCGAGCGGCTTCCAAACTCTCGAACCTCGCCAGCGAGACCGGCCTAGCCGCTCTGACCCCAGCAGTTGCTGGAGCTCCAGCTGCAGCTTTTAACACACCACCTCTCCACCTTCGACCTTCTCGGCCCTGACACCGTCCTCGTCCTTCCGCACGACCAGCTTCGTGCCAGTGCCGGCACCGCCGTTCGGCTGCTTCTCCAGCTCGATGCCGCCGCGCACGCCGACGGGGACCAGGTTGTACAGCCAGCGGGCGACGACGAAGGAGCCGACGGCCCAGGCCCACAGCAGCGAGGCGAGGCCGCAGGCGACGGCGAGGGTGGGCGCGAGGACGGCGAGGGCGACGCCGATCCAGAAGAGGCTGAAGAGCAGGCCGGCGACGAGGACGAAGGAGACGACGCTGAGCACGAAGGAGGAGAAGAGCACGAGCGGGAAGAAGGCGAGGGTGAGCTGCGCGACGAGGAAGGACTGGTGCGCGGGCGGGCGTGTGTTAGTGGGCATGGACCGACTGATCAAACTGATGGGGACGAACGGGGAGTTCATACAAAGAGCAGCGGACGGGCGGCGGCAAAGGCCTTGGTGCGGTCGTACGCCGTCTGCCGGGTCTCGGGCGGAATGACGCGGTCGACCTGGCGCTGGGCGAAGGCGACGGCGTTGCTGGCGTGGTCGGAGACGGCCATTGTGTGTCTACGTCTCTTTTCTATCGATTGGGTTGAGATCGAACGATTTCTGGTGTTGCTGGAGCTTCTTGGGGAGATATGACCGGGCGTTCCGAGGCCTTGCAATGTCTTTTAACCGTCGGCGATGGTGTTGAGAGAAGGCAAAAGTTGGCAGAGAGATTGGGTCCAAGATGCTCCAGCTTGGAATGTGTTGGCAGGAGCTTCGCGATTGGCAGGCCGAGAGGTCACTAGAGGTTAGGTGCAGCCTTAATTAAGCTGTGCACCTGGAAGCTGAAGCTGGAGCTGGACGGGAGCGCGGATTAGCTGTGAATGACGTGTGTGTGGTGGGTGCTACGATAACGGCACGCGATAAGGCGCCATAACTGGGGACTGGGGACTGATGGATCTACAACATCTATCATCTACCATCTACCATCTACGGATGGCGTGCATCATTCCTCCTTGACAACTCATCAATTAATTAACGAAGACGCAAAAGCGCTCATTGTTGTTTTCACAAATTCGCTTTTTGCAACACAGATTGCGTGGTGACGAGTCTCTTGTGTTTCCGTTTCTCGTTTGCCAGTCTCTATCATAGGCCTAGGGTAAATATGTTGAAGCACTATCCATCTGCCCTCAGTCTATAGTCGGACAAGCACAGGTACCACACTGCAAATCAACTGACTAACATTGTCCCTGTTCAGACAAAGAGGTAGATTTTACTACCATAGATAATCCCTGCAGGAACGAGGGGAGGTCTCTGAAGGCCTCTGGGTCTATAATCGTATGACGAGTTAAAGACGTATGGCTATCCGCAAAACGTCTCTAACACTAACGTTCTCTTTGAAGTGAACCAATGGTAAAATAAAGCCTCGCTATCTGACGGTTGTTGTGGCCATCTGCCCTTATTTGTCTGTCTCTACAGTTGCTCAATGGTAAGATATCATGACTCAAAGAGTTATCTCTAAAGAAGGGGAAGATACATGAATATTTTATCAGCATAATTATCTGTTCTCCCCGAAAAGTACTGGAAAGGAGTGATCTGAAGAGAAACATTTTGCAGCGTCTCGCTCTCCGAAAATTCATATTCTTCTGTCCAATCGCCTCGTTTCATCAGCCTCGGAAAAGATAGAATAGCATCATACCCTAGAGTTCTGCGTATATCTGAACCCTCACAATCAAGTTCAGAGAAGATTTGATCTCACTTCTTCAAGTAACGAGTGTTACTTGGCATAATTTCTTTCTGAACGACTGGCTGCTGCGGGGCAGCTTCTTCGATGTCATCCTCAACCAGTTGTGCTCTGTAAGTGGTCGGCGGTGCCTGGACGTTCGACTGCCCATATGGTGTATCCTCGATAGAGAAGGGTCCGCCACCTCCAGGAATGTACACCATGTATCTCTTCTCTCGCGTCTTGTTGCGTTCATGCGTTTCTCTACAAGCACGCACAAACAGAGTAAAGTGGAGGCAGCTAACGGGGAAAGATGTTTCAGTCTGTATCCCGATGACAAAGGGGAAGTATCGTGTCACTTACACCAATAAGAGCATCATATTCAAGAGCGCAATCTCCACGTCCTCATGATTGCTATATGAGTCCCAATAATACCACCAACCCTCAAGGCTGATGTTGCGTGACAAAAGCCCCACCGAGGCCAGCATCCCCCCACAGAGAACCAGCTCGGCAGCCACAATGATCCCTGGGTGGATGCCTCGTTGTTTCTTACGGCGAGCCAGTAGAGTGGCAAACTCGAGTCCATTCCAGAAGAACGCTGTTAGAGTCGGCGGAAGGCATATGACGGTCTACATGATACAAGGTAAGCATGGATATTGTACACGGCGATATAGTCTGGTCGGGAACATCCGGGATGCTTTGCCATCGGCATCCATGGAAACCACTGTGAGGTACTTACATCATTGGGACTCACTCCATCAGTGCCTTGGACGCCACACAGGGCAAAAACGACAATGCATATCGCTACAGAGATGCCACGGAGAACGATCTTGGCAATATGCCATGGCTGTGAATATGGTACCAGCCGCACTGGAGTTGACGGGAATGGCGGCGGAGGTTGTGCCTCGTTCTGTGCCCCTACTGCCATGATGAAACTAAAAGAATGTTGAATGTAATTGGTTTAACTGTGACAGATAGACAATTTCAGCGTTAAATAGAGGTCAATGAATCCGTATGCCGTGAATATTATATCTCCATGTCCAACCTCTTGGGAGTTTCTTTATGGACTCCATACCGCTCTATCTTCAAGTGTATCATGATGGCTTACTGGACCCCAACTGAGGAGTATCTCGTATTGTGGCTGATCGCCATGGGCCGTGGAGTTTCCTGAGGAGTCTCGCCAGGCTGCCACTTTCGGGCCAACCACACGTCGTATCCCCAGACGCTCGACTTAGTGACAGCACATATACGGCTTGTTTCATCTGTTTAACGCACAGGAAAAGAAACCATGATGTCTTGGCTAGCATCTAGATGCATGGGATGGCACTTTTAAGCTTAGAGGACGCGTCAGCTCTCTCGATCATCGATGGGAGTGGCCTTCATACTTGGCTGGTCTCGCTGGTTCACGACGAGGCTTATGTCCATCTGTGTACGTTTGATTCGTTAATATTATGTGGTATCATAACTACGCCGCCCTATCCGCGGGCTATGTTCCGGTAATAACTCTAAATACTGTGACATTTGACGGGACTTTTATCCTGTCCCCCATCCTCTCGACCCCTGAGCAGTACGAGAGTCCAACATCCTATAGCAAACATGACGCCTTACATGACCAAGATGGCTTACACATCGTACATATGTCGATCCTAGGCACTTTTCCAGTGCCGACCCCCGGTACTACCTCTCATAACTTGGTTTCGGGTCCTCATTTGAATAGGTCGGCGTCATGGGCGTCAAGTCCCTCGGCCTCTTCCCCTTCCCTATCACCTCCATGCCATCAAGCGACATCCACTGCGCCTGGCTTTCTCCCCGCGTGGCCCTCGCCTGCTCTTCTGGATCGGGCACGTAGTCCGGCCCCGGCGCGGACCACGGGTTTGCATACGGCGTGCCTCTTGTCGGCACGGGTTTCCGCCTCGGCATCACGGTCGGCGGCACCCCTGGATTCGAGGTCCGCCGCGCCTCGTACGGCTGGCGCTCCGGCGAGCGCTCGGTCGACGGCCCTCCCGCGCGGTACGGCTCAGAGAGGGTCTCCGAGGAGCTGGGAATCTGAGGGAGCGGCCGCTCTTCCGAGGGCGACTGGGAGTCTAGGGTCGAGCTGATCCGCCTGCTCTGCTCGCTCGACTTGCCCGGCTGGTTGGTGGGTTTTGGTGGGAAGGGCCGCGGCACGACGACTACGGGCTCGCCAGTTGGGAGATACATGATACGCGGTGTTACGTTTTTGCCGCGCCGGCGGTCTTGGATATTGCGAATAAAAAGTACAAAATGGAGAATCCTAGGTGTCTCGTTTAGCTTGGTGCCAGGAGATGAGGCTGAATATGCCTCGACTCACATTAATATAGCCAACATAGCTATCTCAGCAGAAGTGCTGGGGCTGGTGCTGTAATCGGTGCCAATGTAGTAGCCAATGTCTGTGAGGCCTAGAGATACAAGCGCGACACCACAGGCGGCGCCTAGGCATAAGGTGATATCGATGCCGATGTGGGCTTTTGACGTGATGCCGAAGCCTCTACGACAGCATAGCGTGATGAATTCTGAAGAGTCCCATAGGATGATGGCAGCACACTGCATATTGCGTCAGAAGGGGCACCTTTATTGAAGTTTGTACGACAACATGACATGAAAGACGTATGAGAGCACCAATGCTGATGAGACAGCAACGTACCGGTATTATACAGGCAAGAAACTCGGTGTTGGTGTTGCCCCAGTAGAAGCCGCCATCGGTGAGCAGGACAAGCTCGAGGATGACGAGGGCGGTAGCAAAGACGAGGGAGAAAGAGCGGATGACAATCTTTGCAATCCACCAGCCGTCCTTGAGAGGCCGGACATCGGCGCCGCGTGGTATCGAGTCCTGGTGGTAGACGGGCTTGGGCTGGCCGACGGTGAGCTCCTCGAGGGCGATGTCCTGCAGGCGGCCGGCCGAAGCCCTTCGTAGAGTCCGCGGCATCGTGTCGCCGGCCGTCCTCCTTATGCTTATGCTGTAGCCAAGGCAGGTGCTTGCGGGCTGTCGGTCTTTTTCGCTGCAGCCTGGGCTATGGAGTGAGAGTCCGAGTACTTGAGTGTCGCAGGCAGTCAGTGCTGTGCTACTCTTGGCTCACGGATGGATGCGCAGAGTAGCAGCATTGCTGACATGACGAAACGGATGGATGAATCCAGTGGTGGTGGCCGCGTCTCCAACGATCAATTCGCCAATGCTCATCCAACCACTTCCTCTTTCTCTCTCTTCACATTCAAGATGTGATGTGTCTGTTGATGCACACTTCAGACGTTTGATAATTTTCGCGCCGGTGGTGAGAGACAACCCCCTCGGCCCTCAAGCGCAGCAACAGACTGGTCACACGGCAATTGCCTCCTTGCCGATACCTCCGATAGCAAAGTAGCGAAGTCGATCAACAAAACGGGGGAGAGGGGGAAAAAAAAGTCGCACTGTTTCGCCCACGTCGAGCTCGACTCAGACTCGAAGGGGCGAGTAACGAGGAGCGAGGCTAGGAGAGACGCCGGTCCAGGCAGCCGTTTAAGGTCCCTGCAAGATGCGCTAAACTTGCCGGATCCCCGCGTCCATCTCCCTAGAGAGACTAAGTCCTTGCAGCCCACGCCGGGCAGGTGGGCGCAGCACGCCAAAATGTTCCAATGTCAGGGGCAGGATGTTGCATCGAACCAATTGGAGCCGCAGTCGGAATGGGATTGGAAACGGGAAACAAGTCGAGAAGCTCGTATCGCCTTTGAGACCGCAGACCACCACCAGCCACAATCAGTCAATCAATCGTCTCCAGCGCCAGGTTCATTGACATCATATCACCAACATTGTATTGCCAACACACATGCATGGGGGAACAAATAAGCATATTTGACCCATAAAACGCCAAATCAATCTCTAGAGAGGTGGATCGGCACTGGCGCTGACAGTTAAGTCACTTGAGCACCTACATGAGGTATGTCGTCTCTTTAGCCTACTCGAGAGTCACGCCAGCTGTCATTCTTCGTGTTGAGGATCAAAGCTAATTAGCCCGAGTGGCCAATGCATCCTAATTCCTGCTTCCTTATTCCTCTGTCTTGACGAATTCAGGTGGAAAGATTTGAGATTTGAAGACAATTTATTACACGAAAATGTCCGGCTTGTAAGATGAGGCTACGAAGACAATGACAGCTCGTAACTTTTGACACGATGCCACTGTCATAACGCTTTGTCGATGTCAACCATCGATTATTGTGCAAAATAAGACGCGAGCCTCATAATTGTTAATGTATGATAAGGACATGCTGGTAAATATGAAACGGAGCAATATAGTTTGCGAGGATGAAATGCCTTTCTTGCAGTAAAATCATTCGCTCAAGTCACACGACTCACACTATATCAACCTCAAGATCAGGTAAATTGTAGCAAAACAGCCCTGGCTTTACCAAGGTCCCGGCAGTGCATTTGATTTTGATTGAAGTAGGAAACGCCTGGATGAGGCGGATGATATCACTGGTGCAAGGCAAAGCTAGGCAATACGAAGCGCGCATCGGTCATCTTCACGGCGTTCATAGCCCCAGTGTACATCGCTGTCGCAGCAAAAGTCGCGTAAGTAGGCTATTTACTTGATAATATTCCTCAAGAGTCGACTTCAAGGTTAACAACTATAGTAAGACTGCTTAGTCTTATCACTCGTTAGAACTACCTGCTCCTTACTCGAAAAAGCAAAATCATTTACCTTGCACCACAAGAAATGAATCGCACAGAATATTCCACAGTTTTGAATGCCCTCTGAGGCAAATGTGACATATTTCACGGAATTGAAAGTTGGAAATGAGCGAGGTTCCTTTTTGGGCTGCACAATCTGACTTGTGTTTCAGCCCCAAAGCATGAGAAGACTTGGTTAGTCCTGCAGCCTGGCTGCGATTCTATTGGCAGATGCCCATTGACTTGCTATCCGAGCATTAGGCAGATTTGACATCTGGACAATTCATTGCACAACAAAAAGTACTCAAGAGCACCAACAATCTTGAGTTGAGGGTACTAAGTGAACATATGCTAATTACATCTGAGCGTCTGACATGACAGAACAAGCAGAGACTGGCATACATTTATGTAACACCCAACTGTACTTCACCGCTCACCTTGTCGAAGCTGTTGAGTCGTCTTGAGTCAAGCCGTATGGCCAAGAATAAAACGCCTATTACAGAGGAACCTTCTTGCCTTGCAAACGCTACTTTGGGTCCATCAGCTTACCAACAACTGGATCTCAGGAACAGGCAAATAAGGATCATCCGGCTGCTTCGTGGGGGCTTGAACGATCAGATACGATGCAGCCTCTACACTGCATATCTCGATGACAGACCGTTTTATGAAGCCCTGTCATATGTCTGGGGAGATTCTCAAGTGTGCCAGACCATCATTGTTGATGGAAAAGTTACCGATGTTACGACAAATTTATGGTATGCTCTAAGGCGTCTACGACGTCGCTTCTCCGATAGACACATTTGGGTTGACGCTCTTTGCATCAACCAGGAAGACAAAACCGAGAAGTCACATCAGGTAAATCTAATGAAAGACATATATTCCAATACATCAAAGGCAATACTCTGGCTTGGAGAGTTCTCCGACGCCGTGGACTCTGGATGGAGGTTTGAACGAGGCAGTAGCGTAGCCTCTACAATCAGGCAGCGCCCAGAAACCTCTCAGCAAAGTTCTCCCTACAACACCAATGCTATACTTCGACGCAGGAATGCTATAAGAGCTTTCCGCCTCTTGAGGTCGATGGCTGCAAACAATCATTGGAAAACCACAGGACTGTTTACCCATACCTTTTCTGTCCAAGACTCATTCAAGGCCTTGGAATCACTCATGAGGCTCGCGTGGTGGAACCGCCTGTAGACCGTGCAAGAAGGTATATTGCCCAAGGAAGCCACTTTGGTGTATGGCACGGAGCAGATATCTATGTTTGACTTTCTACAAGGATACAAAAATTCCGCGGCGCATGTTCGTCTAGGCTGTTGTAAGAACCACAGCCTTCATCGCTTTTGGGATACCTGTCACCGCATCAGATATATTCGTAACAGGGAACAATCCGTGAGCCTCTTCATTACAGCCCTCAGCATGTTCAGGACACGACAGGCATCCGATCGCAGGGATCACATGTTCGCCCTATTAGGGCTGGGAGGCACAATTGCTGCGGACTACTCCCTGAGCTGGCAAAAAGTCTTCATGCAAGGAACCCGCAAGCTTATAATTGACTCCGGAGAGCTCCTTCCCCTGTTGAGAACTTCAGAGCTCGAACGATCTCCGGAATTGCCGTCGTGGGTGCCTGACTGGTCTGCAAAAGTCGATGAAGAGAGCCTGGATGCAGAGCTTGCTTGGCTCTATAATTGGAGCTTCTTCGATGCAGCCGCAGGTACTAAGCCCATGATCGATGGCTCTCAGTCTGCTTCATTGCTAGATCTTCAAGGAGTGAGGGTGGACCGCGTTTCTGAAGTGGGCAGTTGCATGGATAATTTCAGTAAGGAAGAAAGGCTCAAGTGCCTTTCTGAGTGGCAGGATATGATCAACAAAGCTAGTGAAGACCACAAACACGACGTTCCGTACGGGAGAAGTTATATAGATGCATTCTGGAGATCAGCGACGGCAGACATAGTTGCTGAACCCAGGGAAGACGGTACAGTAAATTATAGAAGGTCTGTTCCAGCTGATGGCCAAGAGTCGCATAGGATATGGTCTCCGAGCTACAAGGGATTTGAAGTAATGCCAAGCAAGTATTTGCGAGGCTTTATTACCCAAGCTGGTATGATCGGAGTGGGTCCACGGGATGCCCAAGTCGGGGATGAGGTTTGGGTTTTCCTGGGAGGTAGGATGCCTTTCGTATTACGGCCGATTAAGCTGTCACTGGAGGCTGAAGAGACTGAAGACTATCACGAATATATCGGGCAGGCATATGTCCATGGGATCATGGATGGAGAAGCAATGAGGGAGGCTCAACGGGGAGACCAGAATTTGGTCACTAGGTGTGTATTAGCCTAGTGTACACTCATCCGTGTAGGAAGCCTCGATTTTACAAAATGTGAGTAGAAAATATGCTAGTTCATTCATAGAAATCACGATATGATATGTCAAGCACTCCAATTTCGTAATATCTCCTCTTCCTCCAGCGCCTGCATATCTCGCTCGTTCAGCATGACAGCGACCTCGATTTTCTCGGCAGCAAGATCCAGAGACCTACGTCTCGGTAAGGCAAGCACCATGCCGTCTATATAGGGCATATATGGGATCCTGATGAATTGCGGCTTGCTCCTTAAAATGGGCCCGAAATCACAATCATACATCCCTAAGTTTGCCCAGCTAGTATAGGTCACATCCAAACAATGATTCGAGTTCCACCCTGGCCCGATATCTTCAACGTCAGCAAGTTGATCTGCAAATGCAACAATTTCACCGACATGGGTGGCTGATACAGCGGACGTCGCCGCGGCAATAGCGCGGATGACTGGTGCCATAACTGATAGATTGATGGGGGCAGGGCTGGCCATTGCATTACCAGCTATACTCTCCAGCTCGGCAACAGGGAACTCAACAACCTTGAGCATATTGACGTTGCCCAAGTAGGACCTGTCAGACACCACGGGCTCTAATTTTGAGCGCGCGTTGATGGCAAAGCCAAGCTTCGAGGTAGTGGAGTCTGGCACAGTTGCTACACCGTCCAGGCGCATGCGTTCGAGTCGAATACGTGTGATAGCAAGCCACAAGGCAGAACCCAGGACGTTGTTAACTGTCAGAAACTTGGCCGGGATTGCACTGCTCATGCCCTGCTTGGCCTGTTGTAATTTGGCATTTGAAAAGGTGAGTATCTTCGCAGCACACTTGACCGGGCGGCCAGGGACATTGGTCGGCACAGATGTTGGGGCTGAGCTTAGAGATCGAAGACTGTATTCCGGATGTCGAAGGAGCAGATCGTTGAGCGTAGTTTTCGGCTC